CCTGTAGACAGTAGGCCTACTTTAGGACCGAGATGTCCTGGCGCGAAGTGTGTCGGATATAGAGGTGTAGCAGTCAGCTATCACCTACACGTATCACGATGCACAGGTTTCTATAAGTATCCTCATTAGGTGTGCAGTCACTCAGTGGCTGCAACACTGTGCATGCGACCTTAAATTCCAACTCATCATTATTTATCACTCATTCTGCTCATCAAAAGCTAACTGATATTCAGGTTCATTGCCATTCATTCTGTTTAATATGATGCATCAATATGCACCATTTACTGATCCATGTCTAAATCATTACATAACGTGCACTGTTCAATAGTGTAGAATGTACAGTCCCAACAAAGTGCAAATAGTAAGAAGTACGAGAGTATCACAAACAACGTAGTAAGAATTGGTGTCTTTTGGGACTTCGATCACAACAATATACCAACATTATACCAACACTATAACCAACATTATACCAACCCAACATTACAACCAACATTATACCAAACATTATAACCTACATCATAACCAACATTATAACCAACATTATACCAAACATTATACCAACATTATAACCTACATCATAACCAATACTATACCAACATTATAACCAACATTATACCAACATTATAACCAACATTATAACCAACATTATAACCAACATTGAATACTTTGAATGTCGTCCTGTTTCTGTGTCAACAGTTAAACTTACAAACTTAATCTAATATCATTAACTCATTTGGGATGTTCCTAATTTCACTCATTACTTTGCTATCATTTCACTCATTAATCCATTATCATTTCACTTATCTAAGTTATATCAAAACTTGTTATTATTTTCTGTGTACCTACCTACCAAGATGCCAGGAATGCAACCTTCAAGGCAGTAGTATATCAAGAGGGCCAAAAGGTATTACATCTTTGACACCTGGTGTAATCATCCTGACTGACAGACAGACACCTTCATTAGTTTGTGTCTGCTACTTATGACTCATCTCTGTGGCCTATACAAAGCCTCCTGTACGGCCAGCCTCCAACAGGAGGCCATGGTGGCACGGCACAATGAGCAATTTCATGGAACATTCTGAAGACTTTATTCCTGCTTATCAATATGCCTGCATCAGACTTGCCTGAAAACTAATTACAGTGAAAGTGTTTGGCAAACTCATTTGGTGCATGACTGCAGACCAAATTATTTCAGAAAATACAATGGTATATAACACAATTTCTTACCATACCACAGCACAGTAGTGTTAGGAGTCAGGCAGGAGTCTTTGATTATATTCAACAGAACATCCCTCAAGAATAGAGCACAAAATCTCTGAATGGGAATTTTTTTACCAGAGCAGAAACTATTTAGAAACGCATATAAAACGACCTGACCATGCATACACTGAGACTTAATCTTTACTCAAACATATAAAATGCAGATGGAATGCATGCACAGTCAGAGAGAAATGTGAAGATTAGCAACCTGCAGCGGAACCATATACTTTTATTGTTATCATCATTCAACAATATATCACGTGTCTAGCCACAGATTGGGGTGGTCCTGTTGGTACCCGGGTCCTTCTCAGGACCCACCCCACCTGAGTACCAGAGTTACCCGTCCCAGCCCTAGTATTTGCAATATTATTGATCCAATTCTAAATAATTTGAAAAAACAATTTTAACAAGCTATTATTTTTCATTCCAGTTGTTGAGTGGAAATATACATGACTACTAGCAGAATGAAATGATGAATAACTGTCAGTGGCTGATATGGAAAATTACAACTAGTCAAACATATGTATGGCCAGACTTACTCCTGTTTACTATGCAACACTCTTGATGGAAAAGAAATTGGTAGAAATAACATTATCAATATTGCCACCATGGTAATGTTCAAGCTTGGCCTGATTCTGTGAACTTGTTTAAATGTCACCATTGCTATTTGAAACAAAAGTTTCACTTTCACTTTATTGAAGTTTCAGGGAGACATCCAAAATGTGAGAACGGGTCCGATTGATGACGGATGATGGAAAACCACGATGGAACACCACGATGTTAGATACATACATCACACATGCCACATATTAATGCTTATCAAATGACACATTCATACATGAACAAATTGCTAAGTAATGGGCTGAAAGCATATTTCAATATCCTGATAACTGGTTGCATGTTTTGTGAATTGATTACAGCATTACCTAGAAAACACTCACCCACTGCATCTGGCAAAGCTTACAGTGGCCATGTCTGCCTGTGTGACCTGGGATGGGGAGGGACAATCTACATGCCCTGCATCCTGTAGAAGTTACTTATCGCTGGCTATGGATTTAATACAACATAATAACTGCCATTTGAAACAATGACATTCAGTTTAACAACGGTTTGGTGAAAATTAGAGTTAAAAAATTCTTAATAAAACTTAAATTAAGCTATGAGTTTCGATTGAAACAGCTTGGAGCAGTACTCAGTTATATCTCAACATGTCAGCTTGATGTGAGAGCACAGTGGGATGGTCTTAGCATTTACCACTTAGATGAAACACAGAAGCATAACAACCCTAGAAACATGATCAGGGCGAACCAAGATTCAATTTGTTTGTTTGTTGTTAAACGCCGCACTCAGCAATATTCCAGCTATATGACGGCGGTCTGTAAATAATCGAGTCTCAACCAGACAATCCACTAATTGACATCATGAGCATTGATCCACGCAATTGGGATACGATGACATATATCAACCTAGTCAGCGAGCCTGGCAACCCGATCCCGTTAGTCGCCTCTTATAACAAGCATAGTTGCCTTTTACGGCAAGCATGGGTTGCTGAAGACCTATTCTACCCTGGAATCTTCACGGGTCACCAAGATTCAACCCACATTCACAGGATTCTGGCACACCTAAGGATGCAAATCGAAGTAATTTGGGAACTGCGACAGGGACATCCATGCTTCCCATGCTAAGATTATGAGTTTGGGGAATTGAACTAGGATCTTAAGTTTGAGGTGCAAAGCAAAATCTTTAACTACTAGGCTACCCCTCCTCCCTTGAATTGTGGACCCCTGAAGATTCCGAGGTAGAATAGGTCTTCAGCAACCCATACTGGCCGTAAAAGTCGACTATGCTTGTCGTAAAAGGTGACTAATGGGGTCGGGTGCTCAGGCTCGCTGACTTGGTTGATACATGTCATTGATCCCAAATGCGTGGATCGATGCTCATGATATTAATCACTGGATTGTCTGGTCCAGACTCGATTTTTTACAGACCGCCGTCATATAGCTGGAATATTGCTGAGTGCGGTGTTAAACAACAAACCAACCAACCTTGAATTGTGGTCCTTTACTTATCTTAACACTTGAAGTCAAAATTACTGTTGGAGAAAGAGCTTCCCACTTTGAACCTATATTGGCATTCAAGCTCGGCTTTGTTTGTACCAGCATATTAACTAGGCTGCATTATCGCTTTCCCTCAAAATGATGTAGGGTTACCAGACACCCCACTTGCGAGTAAGATGGGTTTTATGCTGCTTTAAACAGCATCCAAGTTATATGACGCATGTCAGCTTGATGTGGGAGGAAAGCCTGACGTGATGCAGGCCTCAGATGTTTACCACTTTGGAGAATCACCCGAGGCATGGGCCTGGTGCTGACAAACCTTGAAACAAAATTGGGGCTAACCGTGGATTTGAACCCATGATCATAGATTTCTGACGTGACCAGTGGATACACAGTGATATGTGGTGCCTTAGACAACTAAAAACAAAAATTTAGCTTCTATCGCTGTAGCAGCTAGTTGGATATTATCAGATACTTTATGATTAGGTCCCATGAATATGATAATTGCTACTCTGGGCAATTTCCACCAATACATTTTTTACATATTTTTCCTTCCTACTATTCTATTATTCATAATGAATATATTTCACCACAATTTTAACTCAAATTTTCAATATGTAGGCCTGTAGTTCAGCATTGTGTTTGGCAGGGTTTGTATTGTGAAGCAGTTTTCTTTGTTCACCTGATGCAAAATATTGTATTCAAATTGACAACAGATTTTATCTGATATTTCTGTTCTCAAGAAACACAATCAATGTTTGGACAGGCGATGTCAGGTTTTCTTCACTCAATCAAGTTTCCATTCCAACAAGGAAATCCCCATTTGTATTAACAAACAAAAAAACTAAACGAAAGCTTTACTAAACCGGGTAAAGATAAAATGCCCTTGTAATGTTACAACAATGGGGAAATTGGAATACAGGGATTTGTACTAGCCCTGGGCTAGTGTTAAGTTCAAACCCAGTTAAATAACCATGATGCATCAGGCATACTTTGTATTATATTTGCTGTTGGTTATACAGTGGTCACTCTAGGACCCACTTTTTATGCTGAGACCCACGAAATGTATTCCTGAGGAATGTATAACTGTAATACCAACTCAACTGGGATATCCTCAACAATTAAAAATATGTTGTTTCATTATATTGATAATTAAAACAACTGTCAATATTTAAACATAAACAATTAGTACCATATCTGATTGCCATAAAAGTCCTAATATTTTTCTTTGATATTTTCGTTCTCATTTTGACAACCTTGTTTGATCATAAACAAACAAATACAAATAGTAAGTAATTATCACAGTTCATCACAAGATTAAATATTTCAAATATAAATATATGCTGACAAAATAGGTCGATACTTCAGTTCACAGCATGAGGGTAATGAAAGCAAGACTATAATTAGACAATTATATGCTAATAACTAAATGATGGAACATGACATTTAGCAAGCATTTCTTGGTTGTCTTTACACAGTGTAAGTATATATTCAGCACAGCTAATACAGTGACACTAAAAGAGTGAGGCATAAATGGGGCTGACCATATGTTATGTGGGGAGAGACAATAGGGGGATTAATGGCTCTTGTTTTGGAGACTGTGTTCCGTTTCAGGCTGTGTAGGGCCTGTGGTGCACTACATGGCCATGTCGCCATGCTTAAATGTCATGCAGGAGAACATACCTGATCTTCCCGGAACAGTTCATTTTGTCGTCCTTCGTCGAATCCCCCTGCATCATCATGAGGGTTGGAGGTTGGAGGGATAGGTGATGATTTGGAGGCCTGCTGCTGTTCTGTGCTTAACCCATAGCGGCTCCAATCTGGCGATTTCTTGTCTTTACCTCGAGATCCTGAGGACATCAGGTTGGTATGCTCGCTGTCACTCATATCAGACATCTTGTGTCGGCTTCACTCAACTGTCACATACCCTGACATCAGCTAGAACTTAGGTTGCCATAGTGACAGTAGAATGGTCAGTCAGTGCCTGGGAATGAGGAAAATGGTAGCTTCCTGACAGTGTGGAAGGGGTTGGAGGTCAGATGTCCAGTATGCAGCCTCGACCACTCCAACAAAACTCACACCACGACCTGTCGTTGTGCTCTTCAGACAGCAAAATCACGCCTCATCCTTCACTTCTTTGCTTCAAGATGGAGAATCCATGAACCACGACAGTATGGCCGACTGCCTTTGTGCAGATCTGTACGTTCGTACAAAAACTGTTAATGAATAATCATCCGCTAATTCACATAACTAACTGGAATGACAATTATTGGCATGGCGAGAGGGCAGTGCACTAAACGAGCCACATATTTACCACATCGAGACGTGTTGAGAATGCACACTGAATCGATATAGAACATAATACACATTACAATGCAGGCATTGCTGGCGTCTGATTGGGCGGGCTCGCTATGGCCACATTGATTTTTCTTCATCAATATCTGTAGAACGTCACCACACAGCTGTGTTGGCAAAGCTCATACTTACAAAGACGACATTATACTTATAACCACGGGCGTGGGTGGTTGGTGGGGGATACACTTCACGGGTGGGGAGAAACCGGAAATAACGGATAGATTAAAAGCTTAACTCTTATCCTAACAGTCAAATGCGGATAATTTTTATTACTAGAAGAAAACCCAGAGGTGTTCATACATCATAATGCGGATTAAGTGGATTTTAATTAACTATTGACTTTATTTTTGTGACAGTTTATGGGAGTTTGATACTCTGTATTTGGTGTCAGTAGATAAGCTAAATGTTAACGTTTCAATAAAACATATATAGTAGCAACTATAGCCACAACTCGATAATAAAATATGTACAAAATTCCAACCAGTTCTCTCACAAATATATTCTAACTCACTTTCATCCACGATTATTCCGTTTATTATAATCTACATCTCAATTCCATTATAATAAATAATACTATGGAATTATATTACACTTCATAATCGAGGTTGGCTCTTTTAAATGTATAAAATACTTCGTATCAAAAGAGAGATTGGCTGTGTGAATATCGAATGAGGCAGCATCAGTTATCCTCTTCATGTCGAGAAATGTTTTTTGTTTTTTTTATATAACAGCCTATTATACAGAAAATCTATCGTGTAGACAATATTAGAATTCATATAATGGTATATATTATATAGCCATAAAAGACTATACAATGTAGATAAGGCAAGAACAAAATCAATAGATTATGCGTGAGGGGACCACTAAACGTACAACCTGAATTCCAAATTCCTAAGTATCACCGATTTGCACATACTTTTGTGGCTGTGTTTCAAGCTGTGTATAAACACAGAAATTATGAAAACGAGACAAACTTTAACATTAGGCGAACTGAATTGTAGAACTAAGATTGTACACTCCGAAGTTTGTAGTTTGCTGACGTTATCTGCGAAGTTCAGTAATTCGAATATAAACTGACTGCTGTGGAAGATTTAAAGGGCGCTTCCGACAAAAACGTATTTCAAACACGGGTCAATCGTTTTAAAAAATATTTGTGTTTGTTTGTCTGTTGTTTAACGCCGCACTCAGCAGTATTCCAGCTATATGAAGGCGGTCTGTAAAATAATCGAGTCTGGACCAGACAATCCAGTGATTGACATCATGAGCATCGATCCACGCAATTGGGATCGATGACATGTATCAACCAAGTCAGCGAGCCTGACCACCCGATCCCGTTAGTCGCCTTTTACGAGAAACATACTCGCCTTTTACGGGAAGTATGGGTTGCTGAAGACCTATTCTAAAAATATAATGATAAACAATAGATATGCCCCCATATTGAAACATGGCAGTTTTATAGTTTTCAAATATTTGTGAAATTTAAACATAATTTAGAGCCTGGTCATAGAATATATACAGAGAGAGAGAGAGAGAGAGAGAGAGAGAGAGAGAGAGAGAGAGAGAGAGAGAGAGAGAGTTATTTACGGTACGGGGTACTGATTATGTCGTTGATATTGAGATGTTGGTAATACGGTTCAGGCACCAGTTGTCCCGGCTGTGTTATATTAGAACGCAATGAGGAGAAGTTCACGAAGATGAACAAGAAGCACGCAAAGTGAACTGGGTTTTATTTGCGCCAGTCACCACTATTTCAGCACTTTATCACGTGTGTATAGCCTTTAAACCTAGTGGCTTATGTTGAAGGGCACTACCCACGTGTGGCTATAAATAGAGTTTGGGTTAGACAACCAGGGGTTGATATTATGAGCAATGTCCTACGTCTGGGTTCGCTGATACGTACGTAATCAACCAAATCAGCAAGCCTGGCCACCCCGTCCAAATCTAGCTGCCAGTATCGACTAGTTAGCAATTCTAATTGTGTACAAACAAAATTCTATTCCTTTCAAGTTTGGTTGAATATGAAAAAAGAGTTAATGTTGATTTATAAACAGAAGCAAAAGAAGACCATGGATGGAAATTCTAAATATATGGAGAGAAAAATCGCTGTGAGGAAATTATATATTTGCTGTGGGAATGTTCACCCATTTAGAGTCACACAGTTTGTGGGCAATTTCAATTAATAAGAATGATTAATTTTGGTAAGAACAAAATACGAATTTTGGGTTTAGGGTGGGAAGTAAAAAATGGTTGCAATAAAAATATGGCAATGGATTCACTGTGTTCATGTTAATAATATAACAGCAACAACTGCAGGATTTATATTGACGAAATGCAAATTTGAACTATCTGGTCCCGCCCACCCTCGATACTGACGTTTCTCAACGGAATTCTACGAGGGTTTCCGACTGCGACAGGTACCCGTCCCTGACTGATATTTCCGTAAAGCAAACGAAATGATTCTTTGCGCACTTGGTCAAAATCCCCTTCATAGACAGAAACGAGTCTAGTTAATGTTGGAAGACTGGAATTACTAGTATAATGCGACGCACGTCATATAATGCAGACGATACCCAGTTTAACTCATGCACCAATCGTAGTGCGTGTCACTTCTGCCGGTCGCCATTACCAAGTCGCCGGTGCATGTTGTAATAGAAATATAGTTTATCATCGAGACACATTCCCAAAACAAGCGTCTACACAGTCGGTAAGCATAGCTAATGGTGCATTCGTCATAGAATACAAGCTGTTTGTGTGTGTAGCGTAATCGTTGGACAGTAAACACGTGCCCTTCCGGAAAGTCGATGGTGCGACCACTCTGATGATGATGTGGCAAGCGCTCAAGTCATTGCAGATAAGAAATGTTTGGGTTGAAATATACTAACGATATTTACATTGGAACGAAAAGGGGTTTAAATGCATTCGCCTTATCTTACCCAATTAACTTCTTCATACGATTTGCACATTTTGCATCGAACAGTCTAATTTGCTGCATGGGTTTGTTTGACGAATTGACCCGTCAGTTTTAGCGTGTACAAAGTCAGTATGATACGTCTCATACTATGATGCCGACCGAGTATTGCAAATGGCAGCTCGAAACATTTCAGTTAATAAACATTTCGATCAGTACAGGTTTTTTACCTCCATAGATCTGGCTGGTCATTATGTAAGAATTCAATCTTTTGGCCAAATAGAAGATCTTGGGCCTAGATCTACATGTACTTCCAAGTATACATAAATCGCCTGCAAATGAATTTAAAATAGACATATTAACAATATTAGCAATGTGATTAAGGAGACAATATCTGCACATTGGATATGTTAAAAATAAATAGTATTGAACATGTTGAAGTCATATGTTTGTCGATTGTTGCAAAAAGAAGTGATACAACACGAAATTGGGTAGCCTGCAACCTCGGGGTATCGCGGTACTTGTCATGTACGCTACACGGAACAAAATGCACTCACTAACCTTTATGTTTATTTGTGTTTTCTGTATCAGATATCATTCATGTTATCAAACAATGCATATTTTACTGATAAAAGTTCATTATTTACATCAGTAGCTCCGAGTAAAAGCCGGGCCTCGCGCTCTGTTTGACAAGGTAGAGAACTCCATCGTATCGCGGTACAGAGCAAAGTTGTGTATGGAGGTCCGAATTGGACAAAAAGAGGACATAATTCTACCAACCACTTGGTATCATCATGCCAGACATCAGTGATTTGTTCAGACAAGTGCAAAGACAGCACAAGTAAAATTCTAAATGTGTTATCAGCAATAGGTATTCAATGCATATTTACCAAAAAGTAAGAGAAAAATATTTTTATAAGTCAACATCAAAATATCAGAAATGATATTTTAATATTGTTTAAAAAAAATTGGATGACAATAATTTGTCACAAAATGGAAAAATGTTAAAAGTCAACAATAAATATATGAAAAGCACTCCTAGTATGCCCATAGTATGTATTTATCTTTTGGTTACTAGTGAAGAACGTATTTTTAAGTTTGGCATTATGGCCCTTATGATCTCCCAATAGATTCTGGGCACCGAGCGGGAAAAAATGTGTGGACTACGTAACTTCCGTTACCTAATTGTTTACAAAGTGAGCACTTCCTGGTTACTGATTTGCATTAATAGACAGCTGCTAAGAGGCGTGTCCCGCGTGAACTACCGGAAATCACAAATGCCGCGATACGATGAATGCCGTGGTACCATGGGGTCCGAGTATAATTCTTTAAAGATTGAATGCGGAAAGTGTGCGTAACATGCAATCTCTGTCCTATGCAAGGGGGGCACGGATGGCCCAGTCGTCTAAGGCGCCGCGATTCGCTGTGCAGAGTTGTGTCCCTTGGGCACGCCAGAAACCTATGATTGTGGGTTCGAATCCCGGTTCGCCCCGATTATGTTTCTAGGTTTGTCAGCACCATACCCGTGCTCGTGGGTTTCACCGAAGTGGTAAACGTCTGAGACCTGCATCACTTCCGGCTTTCCTCCCACATTAAGCTGACACGCCGTGATATAACTGGAATACTGTTAAAAGCGGCGTTAAACCCAACTCACTCGCTCACTGTCCTATGCAAGTATATTTATCCAGACCCTGTTAGAATAGGTCCCCAGAAACATAGGAATAATTGTAATTGGTGGTCAGGCACTGTGACTTAGCTGACTGCATGTCATTGTAGCCTGACAGTGTGTATCATTGCTCATAGTATGTCACTGTTTCTGGTCCAGACTTGCTTATTAACACAGCGTTAGAAATTGGCACTAGTCCTGTAGTACTTACCAAACTGCCCAATAGTAAAGGTATCCTAAGGACTAGTAGAAATTGGCCCATTTTAAGGGTTTTGCTATATGTTATCATTATAAGGACTAGTGGACAAAAACTGTTAGTTTCTAACCCTGTTAACAGACCACTGTGTTATATCTGGAGTATTGCAGAGTGTGCGTAATCAATAAACAAACAAGACTAATTCAGATGTGTATGATGTTACAGATCCTCTGACCATGAAGACAGCTGCCCCAGCATGGGGCCCTCAGTGGCTTCTGAGAATGTCTCCGGACAAACAAGACACTCTGCTCAAGATGATGGTCTTGGCAATTGCTTCTGTTCTCTGTAAGCAGATTTTAACAGTAAACAAGATAATGTTTAGAATATAAACAATCATGTTACATCGAAAGACATACATAACAAACATATCAAACAGTGTTCAAGATTAAGCATGAAAGTCAAGGGTCCTTGTCATAGCCCTAGTGTTAAAACTTGAAAATGTAGAGAGTTTCTAGATTTAAATACAACCGGATTAAGCCACAAGGACCCAAGGAACCTTAATTTCGAACATTGCAGAGTTAACATTATATTGACTGTCTGGCAGTATCAACATATGATCAAATAATCATTTTAACATACCATGATATATTATGATTTGTAATGAGTTCTGTTTGAACAACTGATTTAGTTAAATGATGAATAATGCTTATGAATATTATATGATTTAGTCATTTATGTATTTTTCTTCCTATACTTAAATCATTTGATAATCTTTGTGCATTGTATTTCAGCCTTTTCTACAAGACTGTTCTCTGTGTTGCGATTTGAAAGTGTTATCCATGAGTTTGATCCTTATTTCAACTACCGTACAACTCGGTTCTTGGCTGAGGAAGGGTTTTACTCATTCCACAACTGGTTCGATGACCGGGCATGGTACCCCCTTGGTCGTATCATTGGTGGGACCATCTACCCAGGTGAGTCTTTCTGTTTAATTATCACTTTTCCATGTTTAAAGATAGTTTTTCCAAGCCATAAGAATAAATTGTCAAAATTATGATCGGTAAAAAAACATGTATGAGCTAAGATCCAAGATGAGTGACCAAACAATGGAATATGTACACACTTTAAATAGAAATAGCCACTCAAATTACAAATAAGACACAATCCCCAAAAGGTGTGCATGGTAATGATTTAGACCCGCCACATTTTTAATGGAACCATAAAAGACGTTAAAATATGGTACTTTTTGTTACCCTGTCTGGCGCTTGGCTTTCAGGGGCTAAAACAAGGACTGGTTGGCTTGGAGTCAGTATACTGTGTCTGACTGGGGTATTCATGTTAAACTGCGGCATGGTATCTCAGTAGGCTAGCCCTATAAATCAGCATCAGTCCGGACTAGTACAAGCAGCCACACACGTATGTGCATGCACAGCAATATATAAGTGCAATAATCTTGGAGGCCACGTTAAGCCCCATTTCACATCACCTCAATGGAATGCAGTAAATCACACAGACGACAACAAACCGAGTGCACACATTAGGTTTGTTGCTCTCTCCATTGAAAATTAAGCCTGTGAAATCTAACTCTTTCTCGATGTACATACAGGTCTGATGTTGACATCTGCGATTCTGTACCACGCTCTCAACTTCCTGCACATCACCATCGATGTGAGGAACGTGTGCGTGTTCCTGGCGCCTCTCTTCTCCAGCTTCACCACCATCGTCACCTACCTCCTCACCAAGGAGCTCAAGGTAACCATGGACACTTTCAACTTACCATTTTCAATTTGGGAAGGTTAAGATAAACATTTTGATTATTACTTTTTTTATGACACATGTCCTGCCAGTCATGGTTGTGTAAATTGGTTGGATCAGCATAAGACAAAAAACATACCCAATAAATGCCAAGGTTTTATTATTATCATATTAAAGGTACAGTAACCGAGGTAGCAAGCATTCATTTCTGCCAAAAACCGATATAACAAATTTAAAATCCTGATCAGTTGATCAATATGTCGAAAAATGAAACTTGGTACAGGAGACCAAGTTGTCTTGGCGAGTTTCATTCCATATGTTGGTGCAATTTGTAAAGCATGTTCTCTATTTTGATGTGATGTATTGTTAAAATAGGTTCAAACTACATAAGATCAGTTCTAGTGTTCATGTTGTCATGGTAAAAGGTAGTATTTGTCCTGTAGAGAATCATTACAACTGATGTGTTTCAGGATGCTGGAGCAGGACTGGTGGCAGCTGCCATGTTGTCCATCGTCCCTGGTTACATCTCCAGGTCTGTGGCTGGTTCCTATGACAACGAGGGTATCGCCATCTTTTGTATGCTGTTTACCTACTATCTTTGGATCAAGAGTGTGAAGACTGGCTCTATCTACTGGGCTGTTTTCTGTGCCCTTGCCTACTTTTACATGGTAAGAAACTAGTGTATATCTGCTTTGATGCTTTTGGAAAACTCAATAAAAACAGTTCGTTGAATCGCTTATACTTGCAATATATATTTATACTTTTGACCACTATACATATGACTGGATTAAATCAATACAGGTGTCCTCATGGGGAGGTTATGTTTTCCTCATCAACCTCATCCCCCTCCACGTCCTGGCTCTCATGTTGACTGGCCGGTACTCCCACAGGATCTACGTCGCATACACCACGGTAAGACACCCACAGGGATCATGGTTAATGGCACTATTTTCAGGCCGAATTATACGGTGGGTCCAAACTTATGCCTGTTTAATAGGGCTAGTCCACTGAGATACCATGCCACAGTTTTACATGAATACCCAACTCCAAGATGACCTGTCCCTAATGCCAAGTTACAGGCAGGGTAACAATAAGTACCATCTTCTTTTAACACCTTTTGGTGCAACTTGGCTAGGGGGATGAAACCATGGCCTCCTGCTCCCTGGGCAGATGTTCTGTCCACTACAGTGCAGTGTTTGACACTGACCAAAATTTGTCTGTGGTCCAAAGGACCAGCACATAGAAAATCTGCTGGACCTGTTGGATCGCTACTAAACACAATGGTGCTGTCCAAATTGGTTTTTGAAAGGCATTACTTCTGCCTATTTCTACAAACTCTTTTAATTTGGGACTCACTTTCCAAGGGGGTATTAGTCACCTCAGGTCTGAGGTGCTGCAGTTTGCTATGCAAAGTTGTCTCCCTTAGATAAGCCAGAATCTGCTGGTCATGGATTTGACTCGTATCTACTAAGATATTGATCCTTGGCCCTTAACCATTCAAGTGGTTGACATCAGATGTCAGCTGGTTGTCCTGGCCCAAGCTGGGTTTTTTATGTACCGCTATAGTATTGTAGTATCAACAACATGCACTCATTAAAGGCGTTGAAGCTGTTTTAAGTTTGACCTTTGTTTCAGGTGTACTGTCTGGGGACCATTTTGTCCATGCAGATTCCCTTTGTAGGCTTCCAGCCAGTCCAGTCCAGTGAACACATGGCTGTAAGTACATGTACATTGACCCTGTATGGATTGCAATTGGTCTCCAGCAATGTATGCAGCTGCCACAAACCTTAATGGATTGGGTGAAGGCTTGGTGACTATGTTGATTGCATGTCATCATATCCAGACAATGTGGATCATTACTCACAATTTCAACCACTGGATTGTGTGGTCCAGACTTGATTGTTTAGGAGTGGTGTTGGACAACTTATTAAAAGGTATTGAAAATGTGTATATGAATTGAGTGATGAGGTATCTATCACCAGAGCTCCAGATAAGCTGCGTATCTGCGTAAAATACGCATCAGAAATGCAGAAATATGCAGTAAAATAAAATCCAAGCGTATCAAATACGCAACGAACATTACAGATACGCTACAAAAATAAAACTTTTGCGTATCATCAAAATATTGTGAAGTCACCCTGCGTATTCGATTAGCAAATCAGCAACTTATTTTGAAATTATAAACGGGCATTCCATCAACCTTGCCAAACTCCCAAGATGACAGTTACATCATGATCATTTGCCATCACACTTTCTTGTGGAAGTATCGTGGTATTTTTGAGTCCTATAAAGCTCTCAAACCCACATGACACCAGTTCGCGGGGACTAGATGAACAGTGTTTTTAAATATTTAACATAGATACCCACATGTGTAAAAACTAGTGGGTAACAGAAATTTGAATACCCAGATAGAATTACTGATACCCAAGGATTTTCAAATGCATGGGTAAAATACCCACAACACCAAAAGCTTATCTGGAGCTCTGTATTACATTATTGATTCAGAGGTACAAAATTCAGTGTCTATGTTGCAGGCTCTTGGTGTGTTTGGACTGTGTCAGATCCATGCCTTTGTGGACTACCTGCGCTCCAAGCTGTCGTATGACCAGTTCACCCTCCTCTTCCGCAGTCTGGTTCTGTTTGTGGGCTCAGCTGTGTTTGGTGCTGCCGCCATCGCCACCGCTCTCGGCAGTATCCTTCATCTACACTGCATGATTGCACATCGGCTAGCGCATGGAGAAAAGACAACATGCCTCTTTTATTGTTTTATACCATTTTATGGCACAACATTTTGTAAAACGTGCAGCTGTACGGAGACAGATTTGATTGGAATAACTGCTCAGCACATATAGCAGGTGTGTTTAGAAACCTTGTTTACTTAAACTTTCAGAGAACATATTACAGATAAAGTTAAGGATGTATATGAATATTGAAAATGAAAAATATATTCTGTTTGTAGCAAACATTTATCTTGGTAGATTGACAATGATAGAGCTCAAAAGTCTGTTGTATTGGTTATTCATCACGAAGTAAAAGGGTCGTATTTCATGAATATGAACATGAAATGTTAGTAAGGAATGTTAAGACTGTTGCGTTCCTTAACCATGTGAGAAATCTCCCCCTGGACTGGGCGTTTCTACTCCCTGCTGGACCCCTCCTATGCCAAGAACAACATCCCCATCATCGCCTCCGTCTCTGAGCATCAGCCCACCACCTGGAGCTCCTTCTACTTCGACCTGCAGTTCCTGGTCTTCATGTTCCCAGGTCAGTCACAGCAGGGGGTGGGGGTAGGTGGGGATCAGTGGGAGGTTGAGGATCAGTGGCAGGGGAATGAATAGTGGGAGGATGGGGGTAGGAGGAATAGTGAGGATTGGTGGGAAGGAGGGTGAGGTACAGTAGGAGGGTGGGGAGCAATGGAAGTTTGGGGAGCAATGGAAGGGTGGAGAGCAATGGGAGGGTGGGGAGCAATGGAAGGGTGGGGAGCAATGGAAGGGTGGGGATCAATGGGAGGGTGGAGAGCAGTAGGGAGCAATGGAAGGGTGGAGAGCAGTGGAAGGGTGGAGAGCAGTAGGGAGGGTGGGGAGCAATGGAAGGGTGGGGAGCAATGGAAGGGTGGAGAGCAGTAGGGAGCAATGGAAGGGTGGAGAGCAGTGGAAGGGTGGAGAGCAGTAGGGAGCAATGGAAGGGTGGAGAGCAATGGGAGGGTGGAGAGCAGTGGGGAGCAATGGAAGGGTGGAGAGCAGTGGAAGGGTGGGGAGCAATGGAAGGATGGAGAGCAATGGAAGGGTAGGGAGCAATGGAAGGGTGGGGAGCAATGGAAGGGTGGAGAGCAGTGGAAGGGTGGGGAGCAATGGGAGGGTGGAGAGCAGTGGGGAGCAATGGAAGGGTGGAGAGCAGTGGAAGGGTGGGGAGCAATGGAAGGGTGGAGAGCAATGGGAGGGTGGAGAGCAGTGGGGAGCAATGGGAGGATTGAGAGCAGTGGAAGGGTGGGGAGCAATGGGAGGGTGGAGAGCAGTGGAAGGATGGGGAGCAGGTGGAGGATTGAGAGCAGTGGAAGGGTGGGGAGCAATGGAAAGGTGGAGAGCAATGGGAGGGTTGAGAGCAGTGGGGAGCAATGGAAGGGTGGAGAGCAGTGGAAGGGTGGGGAGCAATGGGAGTGTGGGGAGCAATGGGAGGGTGGGGAGCAATGGAAGGGTGGGGAGCAGGTGGAGGATTGAGAGCAGTGGAAGGGTGGGGAGCAATGGAAGGGTGGAGAGCAGTGGAAGGGTGGGGAGCAATGGGAGTGTGGGGAGCAATGGAAAGGTGGAGAGCAATGGAAGGGTGGGAAGCAAAATGGGAGGGTGGGGAGCAATGGAAAGGTGGAGAGCAGTGGAAGGGTGGGGAGCAATGGAAGGGTGGGGAGCAATGGAAGGGTGGGGAGCAGTGGGAGGGTGGGGAGCAATGGGAGGATGGAGAGCAATGGAAGGGTGGGGAGCAATGGAAGGGTGGGGAGCAGTGGGAGGGTGGGGAGCAATGGGAGGATGGAGAGCAATGGGAGGGTGGGGAGCAATGGGAGGGTGGAGAGCAATGGAAGGGTGGGGAGCAATGGGAGGATGGAGAGCAATGGGAGGGTGGAGAGCAATGGGAGGGTGGGGAGCAATGGGAGGATGGAGAGCAATGGGAGGGTGGGGAGCAATGGGAGGATGGAGAGCAATGGGAGGGTGGGGAGCAATGGGAGGGTGGAGAGCAATGGGAGGGTGGGGAGCAATGGGAGGGTGGGCATTAGTGGGAGATGGGATTTTATCTGGTTTACCTATTCATCCAGGAGCCATGTAGTTTCTGTCTGAAATTTTCCAATGGGAGGATAAGAAAAGGAGTTCCTAGACAGTATCATGCATCCATGCATGTAACCTAGCTATGACAGAAATCACATGGTAGAATTTTCTTCAAAATGAGAATCAGCCTGATTTATTTCATAAGTCTTACTGTTCATACTGGGTTCTATTTCAGTTGGTCTGTACTTCTGCTTCTCTAAGCTGACAGATGCCAACATTTTCATCATCATGTATGGAGTCACCAGTATCTACTTTGCGGTATGTTCTTAGGGATTCACAAAATGATTGACCCACTTTTCTTATTTCTGCATTGAACTTCCCACTGAAATAAAAGTAATGCTTTGAATGAAGCTCTTAAATAACGCTTCAAACCAAACGAATCTCAATGCTTAGAATAATGAGTCTGAAATAATGCTTCAAACAAATGGATCTTAAAATGTTTTGAACAAAACAGATCTGAAAGAAGGTTTTGGGAACATGGTGGAAGAACTCATTTACAGATGGGTATGACATAGTCTATTTAAATACTTGAAGCTAGTTGTCTGACAGTAGTAATTGGTTGTTCCAGGGAGTGATGGTTCGACTGATGCTGGTTCTGGCCCCTGTCATGTGCGTGTTGTCTGGCATCGGTGTCTCCTCCATCCTCAGCACCTACATGAAGAACCTGGATGTTGCCCGCAAGGACAAGAAGCCCAAACGGGCTGATGGCTCATATCCTCTGAAAAATGAAGTAAGTACATTTCTGACCCCTCACAATCAAGAATATGCTTTCGTTTCTTCATATCTTCCAGCTCCTGTGAAGATTCCAGCTCTTCATAAGGGCCGACTACAAATTAACATTGTATGTGTATGTGTGGCCCGGTTGTGTGTCATGGTGCTCTGTTGATGTGACTGATGCATAGACACTGGTCCAGATTTCTTTAAAGGCTGAAAGTGACATAGTTGGAATATTATGACTGTAGCATTCAAAGGCTTTCTCTTGCCTAGGGGTTGAAGTGTTCGCTCACTGTGCCAAAGTTCTGGGTTCGATGCCCCACATCGGTACAATGTGTGAAGCCTATTTCTGGTGTCTCCAACTGTGATATTGCTTGGAGCGATGTAGAGGTCTTTCGGTGACTATATTCAGGGGGATTAAGACTGTACCTGTATGAAAGTTGCAAAATCCCAATATTGTGATGTAATTCTTTTCCAGATCGCCTCAGGCGTGGTGATGATCATGACAGCCTTCCTCATCATGTACACATTCCACTGCACGTGGGTGACCTCCGAAGCCTACTCCAGCCCCTCAATTGTCCTCTCTGCTCGTGGTGGTGACGGCAGCCGGATCATCTTTGACGATTTCAGGGAGGCTTACTACTGGCTAAGGCACAACACTCCGGAGGTTAGTGCGACACTTATGTCAAGGTCTTGTTTAAATGTTTCAGTTTGCACAATGAGCAGTCTAAAACTTGTACCATTGACTGTGCCTGAGTCAAGTCAAAATATCGATATGTTGATACAATGTGTTTCCTAATACAGTATTGATATCATGTCATATGGACATTAGGGCTGGGACGGGTAACCTTGGTACTTGGGCCAAGTGGGCACTGAGTACTGACCTGTGGTCAGTCATGTGATGTAATGTTTAATGACAAGCATTATCTGTAACTCCATGGTTACACTACAAGTCACTAATGTTCGCATTTCTTTCGGACCAGTCATTATGCATGCATTCCTTCTGACTTCAGTATGTTTGAATAAATACAAAGCTTCAGTAATCTTCAGTGTAAGCATTACTGAATCGCTTTATATGTGTTTCTAAATACGTTTTGACAAGGCTCCAGTCAAAGAATTCCCAGTCTGACATTTTGTACCCATCTCTTCAGGGTCAGTTATTGGGGGTTGGATTCCCAGGTAGTAAATTTGGACTCATCCCAGCCCTAATAGAAATCATGGGCTGACTTGTCTGTTACAAATGTTACAAACAAAAAGTCTTTGCAAGGAAACAGGAAACAAATATGATGAACACCAATCATAAGTAACAGAAGAAAGATCAAAATCTTGTCTACATTTAAAAACCAAAGTTGTCAAATTCTGTCTGTAATACTCTCTGTAGTTTGATTCATCTGAATGTAATGTTACTTTTCTGTGAATATGTACTGAGTTATCCAATGGTGCTGATTTTCAGGATGCCAAGGTGATGTCCTGGTGGGATTATGGGTACCAGATCACAGCTATGGCCAACCGGACAATATTAGTGGATAACAACACTTGGAATAACACGCATATCTCCCGGGTTGGCCAGGTAAACCATGTTCAACATAGAAAAATCTTTCTTCCTCTCATGGTTTTTTGAAAGATTTATTTTCATTTCTAGTGTGTAAACTTTGTTTGTTGTTTAATGCCACTCTCAGCAATATCCAGCTGCTTGACGGCGGTCTGTAAATAATTGAGTCTGGACCAGACAATCCAGTGATTGACATAATGAGCATTGATCCACGTAATTAGCATATGATGACATGCATCAACCAACTCAGCGAGTCTGATCACCCAATCCCGTTAGTCGCCTCTTACGACAAGCATACTTACCTTTGATGGCAAGCATGGGTTGCTGAAGACCTATTCTTCCCCGGATCTACACGGATTGTGTGTAAACTCATCGCTTTGCATACATTCAGTTATTGAACTTACAGCAATATTATGCTTTTTATTAGGTTATCCTTGGGCAACAAGTTGTTGAGCTGCTAATTTCAGTCACTCATACTAGCAGTAAAAAGTATAAAACCATAGAAGTTGCATGAACATGAATACATGACACTTTTTTATAGATAACAGCTTCAGTATTCTTTGTGAGGATGAAGGGGCAAGAAGTAGCGCTGAGACTTTGTTACAAACAATAAAGAAGTTGTTGTCCATAAAAAAGTGTCATGTATTCAAGTTCTTTGATCGTTTACTGGAGACTAGATTACTAATCATGCTAATGGTTTCTGTCCTCTGTTGCAGGCCATGTCCAGTACAGAAGAAAAAGCATATGAGATAATGCGAGAGTTAGACGTGAATTATGTGCTGGTAATATTTGGAGGCCTCACAGGCTACTCCTCTGATGGTGAGTGGTGGTCACATATTTCCCCAAACTCCTGGTTGCCTCTTATCACAGTCTGTCATGTGACTTTAAAAGATGATACTTGTCGTTAAGCTGTCTGACGCTCGGCAGCTAGGCATTAAGGGGCTAAAACAAATATTGGTCGGCTAGGAGTCAGTATACTGTGTCTGAGTAAGGTATTCATATTAAACTGTGGTATGGTATCTCAGTGGACTAACACTATAAAATTGGCATCAATCTGGACTAGTAGAAACAGCCCCACACACACACAAATGTCATGTGCATGCATGTCACTATAAAAGTCCAATATTTTGGAGGCGATGTTAAACCCCATTTCACCTAACCTCATACAGCTGATGATGGCTCAACATTATGGCTGATGGACAACAGGGTTTGAAACATCTGTCCAGTAACAGGTTGCATGGTGGGACTTGGATGACTGTCAACATACCTCCCAGATTGTTGGTCATGCTGTAAACCACTGGTGGAGTCTATTAGAGCTAGTGTAGATGACTGCTGAATGCAGCAACAAAGTCTGGCGTTCCTTAAGGATAAAAGTTGATCCATTAAATGGCAGGGGTGGTTCACATTTCTTAACGGAAGCGTATGATTTCATGTTAATAGCTACGTTTCACTGCTCCATGTGCTTCAGATATCAACAAGTTTTTGTGGATGGTGAGGATAGGTGGCAGCACTGATCGAGGTCAGCACATCAAAGAGAGTGACTACTACACGTCTCGCGGCGAGTTCCGCGTTGACAAGGAGGGCTCTCCCATCCTCCTCAACTGCCTCATGTACAAGATGTGCTACTACAGGTTCGGCTCAGTCTACACGGAGGCCGGTAAGTGCAACAGAACACATCAACATGAGAGATGAATTGTCACAACGCCATAGTGTTTTAGTTCTTGTCAATGACCAGAGTCAATATTCTGGTTTCCTTTCAAAGCCCGCCCAATAGCTGCAACATTGCTATTAATGTGTTTGGGACACTCATTACTGATACTCATATATAATGTTTAATGGAGAAATGTGTGATAAATGTGTTGAGTATGGAGACAGAGACCATATAATAGAGGGACGGCCCTCACCAACAGTTTATCATGAACCATCAGCGCTACGGTCTGGCATGTAACTGATACACCCTGACACCCTGCTGTTAACCTCCCTGTACCGCTGCAGATGCGCAATAGATGCGCAGACATTCACGACTGACCATTCTGGTAACCACGTAAACAATATTACATAATATCCGGGGTAAGAGTTAATTCCCTAAGCCGAGATTTCTCCGACTACGACCAGCGACAATCCAATAAAAGGACGTCTCTTAGCGGATTACACAGATTTTGTATGATATCTCTCATTAGCACATGTCAGTTGGCTGCAAATTATTTGCTGAACATGTGTGTCTTCCGGGACATTTATTTCAATTTACATATCTCATTTTATGCTGCAATTGTTAACTATTATAAATAAACAAATATACCAAATCTACTACGAACGCCACAGAAAACTACGATCCGGTAAATTGCACAGGAACTCAGGAAGTGTAAATAAAACTCATTCAGAAGCAGGGAAGACACTTGTAACATATCACCATATTCCCGATGTTCACAAAATATATCTCCAGATTAACTTCATATCTTATATTAAGTCCAGACTAGATTTACTTGCAAAAATGCATGATCACCGACTGGTGTAAATGCTTTACTATTAGCCAGAAAAAAAATGACGCCATATTAATGTTTTTATTTCATGTAAATTCGCTACTATTTTATAATGCTAATAGTTCCAATGAATTAAAAATACACATTAAACTACGAGCGTTGTTAAATGAATTTTCGATGTGTCAGACAATGGGCTTCGAAAGAATCAAATGTTATTGGTTAATGCCAGTTTGGGGCTAGCAGTGATAATAGGCTTTGACGGAGCGAGATAAGTTTGACACCTTCGACCTTGTTGTCTGGAACTTCTCTCCCGACGACTGCCGATATAATCCTTCTTTTTTCTTGGCATTTACAAAGCAAATGATAGTTTTATAATACAAATATTTCATGTAACGGATTTTTATTTTTGTATGATGTTTTCATTGTTGTGTAAATACACAAAGTAAGTAGTACCTTCATCATATTTACATTATTATGATTGGGTTTAGGCCAAGATCATTTTGCTCATAATCAATATTTACACGGCATAAAATAAATAATTGATTAAATATAGTCATGATTAATACAGACAAAATCTTCAGAAGATAACAAATATGTAGTATTGTAGTATGTAGTATATGCGCGATATGTGATAGAAGCCTAACTGAAACAAAGTTAAACTTACGAAAAAATGGCGAAAGCAAAGGTAAAAAAAATACGCGTCTTACAAAAACAATTCTAATATCATACAATATAAGTCACTTTGTATAATGTTTCAAAAGATATATGCGGATGATAATCACAGACAAAATGCATGTTATTTCGTCTGCTATATGGTAATTTAATTTAAAATATGTGACGTAAAATATGGCCTTGCGCCAAAAATCATACAAAAAAAACTACCGATCGTACCTAAATAACTTTGGTACCAAGCCAAAGGGGAAATCGTGATGAATGTAAAACTATTTAATTCAGGACCGATGATAGGAACACATTCGTCTGAAAGCATGCGGAAATTAAGAGTTGTGGTGTAATTATTTCGGGAAAAGTCAGATTTAGTCCCATTTCTGGAGTCAAAATCTGAAATATCGCATCCGCCCTAAATTTGTAAATGGCACTAAGCCAATTTTTAACATATATCCTTTTTATACACCTTGGTAACCAAGGACTTTCATTGCGAATTAGAGGCCGTTATTGAAAATCAAAATCTGCACTTTTGCCGATTTTACATATGCGCCATTTTGTTCTCTCGGACAAAGACAAAGCGTGATCACAGTCATCAAATACAGTGACAACGACATGCTTTAGGGCACTAACAAATCTCAGTTGTAATGTTAACAATGTTAAGAAATACATGAGTGTAATTTTGTTTTGTAAAATATATCTTTTGCATGGGAAAAAAAGGCGACAGCGATGACTGCAGTTAACGCGTTTCTGCTCGCTTCCGGACAGGCTGCGCAGTACAAGCCGTAGCACTGATGGTTTCGCGCATAGGCTAGAGGGCCGTCCCTCTATTATATGGTCTCTGATGGAGAGAAATACTAAGCATGGCTAGTGGCTAGCTCTTTTGATATGTGGGAACTTTTATTGAAGAATGATCATCGGAAACATTTTCAGTTTGTAAATGGCAATAACCAGTTTAAAATGTACAGCAAACTTCAGTGGCAGAGAGATTAGTGATGTCATCTGATTGTGGAATCATGGCAGCTGATGACATCACAATGGTCAGCAAGGCATTCATTATAGTGATATCTTCAGATCTTCCTGATCTCACCTCTGTGATATCTCCTATGGAAGACAGTTTTGGATGATTGGTCACATTAGTACTTATGATGTTCATACTATTGACTTCTGGTTTCCTGGTCAGAAATCTGAATAATGACTGGCTATGGCATATTACACCATGATATTCCCTCCCAAACACAAGTTTATCAAGTGCACATTCTGTATTTCAGGCAAGCCTACTGGGTATGACAGAGTGAGGAATACTGAGATTGGTAACAAGGACTTCGAGTTAGACGTCTTGGAAGAAGCTTATACCACAGAACACTGGCTGGTCAGAATATACAAGGTGAAGAGTCTGGAAAACCGTGGAGTGTAGTGCCTGTCTCTCTCTCACTGGCTGTAGGGAGACTGGCTACAGTCTAGCCTGACACATTTCACGTTTCAATATTGTCATGCTTGCTGCTGAACATTCAGATATCCTCTTATTGGTTTTCACATGGCAGTGTTGGAGTATGGACATGGTCAACCAGAATTAACAAGAATACTTTACAAAAAGTAAATGAAAAATTCCTGAATTTTTGGGAGTATAAGTTTCCATGACGATCTGGTAATAGTTGATCTATAATCTCTTACTGACACAAGTTGGCCGCCATCATCCAGCTCACAGCGGCATCTCTACAGCCTACACTCATTTCCTTGTACATGTTTCACTTAATAAATATTTTATTACAAAGAGGAATGCTTTGGCACTTATTATCCCCCCGGCATATGCGGGGGGATATAGCGATCAGCCAGTCTGTCTGTCCGTAATCATTTCCTTTTCCAGGGCAGAATTCCAAAACCATTCAGTGTATTTGATCGCAACTTGGCATATCTATCAGGCACATACTGAAGTGGTGCCTTTTGATATTTTGGGATTTTTCTAATTTTTATTTTTTATTTTTTTTATGGAATGAAGTTGGACATAGACTCAATTGGGGATGGGGCAGAATTCGAAAACTATTCAGTGTATTAGGTCGAAACTTGGTAAATCTATCAGTCTCATACTGAAGTTGTGCCTTTTGCTATTTAGGAATTTTATAAATTTTTATTTTTTACGTTTCCATGGCAACAAGTTGGACTTAGGTTCTATAGGTTAGAGTTCGTTTCCGGAGCATAACTCAAAACCTATTCAAAACTTTCTAACAAAACTTTGCATGTCTATCAAACTCTTGCTGAACTGGTGCCACGTTCCCATGGCAACAAGATGGATTTAGGTTTTAATATAGGGTGGGTTCACTTATGGAGTAAAACAAATAAACTGTTAAATATTTCCTTGCCAAACATTGCATGTCTATATATATATATATATATATATATATATATATATATAAAAAAAGCACATACTGAACTGGTGCCATATTGATATTAAGGATAAAAAGCACATACTGAACTGGTGCCATATTGATATTAAAGAAGTTAATAAATTTGAGAAATTTCCATTGCAGCTATTTTGAAATGGGCTAAAAGAAATGTTGGGTCACTTACCTGGTTTTGGACCATAACGTGTTAAAATTGGCGGCGGATATAGATGACTTCGTGACTGTACGCTTGTTTAGTCATTGTTTCTTGTAATTTGTTTGCAAAAAAAACAAACCCACAGAATAGCACATTTACTTGCGGTTACTTTACAGACAGCTGCCGGGGGGGATATGTCATCTTTCTGATGACTCCTGTTGATTGTTACTACCACTCATATTGAAAAATTGTAACAAGCAGTCCATTACTGTTTGTAATCTCTCTTCATCAGCTCTTGGCAGAAAACATTTAGTAAGGGTTTTCTGAAGGTAAATTGCTTGTGTCTGACCTTTCCAACTTGCATGTGATTTTTGTGCTGCACTTGGCTATATCATCTTAGCCTGACATCAGCATCGATCCACACAATTGGGATACATTGACCAAGTCAGCGAGCCTGACCGCCCGATCCCGTATGTCGCCTCTTACGGCAAGCATGGGTTGCTGAAGACCTATTCTACCCCGGATCTTCACGTAGATCAAACCCAGTTCAGCCTGGAAAGATAAGCGGTCAGACAAATCAGTAGTGAGCCCTGCTGTCAAGAAAAAAGATGCAATCAGCCTGATCCTCATTTCAGTGCCCCCTCCCGACACTGTAAAAAAAGGGTAAACCAGGGTCCCATCCTGATCTGTCAGTGGTTTGACCAGCGAGTCACCTGGTAATGACCTGATGTTTTTCCCAGCTTACTGGGGTCAAATGTTAACATTACTTTGAAGAGTGCAGTGTTAAACGTCTTGCCCAAGATGACCAAAACAAACACAACCATATTGGTCTATTTGGAACAGACTTTATTGATATATACAATAATAAGTTACCATGATGTAAACACAGTTGTTTTTTTTCTAGTGATACTAGACAAGGTTCTGAAAGGAACACTTGAGTAACCCCTCCAATGTAAATATGTACAACCTCAGTGATATACAGGCATTTGTGATGGCAATGGGTATGAGGAAATTATGATAAACTAATGGAATTAAATAGAAAGTCATAATGATTGGAAGAAAATGTACACCCAAAGTCCCAGCCTATTTACATTTGTGGAGATCTGGAGATTGGTTGGTGTTCAGTGGAACACACTCTTTGTTCTTGTCTTAGAACATGTAGTTACTGAATACCAATAGTTCCCCAATACCTCCAAGGCAGAAGCAGCATGTTCAAGTGAGTAGTAAGGAAATTGTACTACTCAACTTTTGATCACGTTGAGTAGTCTCGAGCCATTCCAAGAAGGCAGTGGAAGAACTGATGTAAATCTCCCATCGTTGTAGTTTGTTTAGGCATTCTGATGAATATTTGCAATATGCAACTCTTGTGATATTTCTCATATTAGAAGGGAAACTACAGCAGTAGAGGCCCAAGGATGAATACCTACCTACCAATGTAAGTAACATTCTCCTCTGGCCCACAAGGTGTCAAGCAGCCCTCCCATGCAATCCTATGACTATCACCAGTCTCAGTGGTGTTGAGCGAAGTAGGATTAATGCTGTTCTAACAATAGTTTTGTTAGATTTTGTCAGCTAAACATGGTAGCAGCTAAGGGGCATAACTCTGCATAACAAAATGTAGCATCTTAGGCCACTGGCTCAAGTAGTACCGGTAATTAAAGTTGCCATTATGACATACCCAAAACCTGGATTTCAGCTAGTGAAACATAGTAATGAACTTTATACATGATTATTAATCCCTTTGGACATAAATAGTGTACTGCCCTCTAAAATTTATAAGTAAAAACCATACATTTATACCACTCCTTAAACTTGAAATATTTCTTCACCAAACAATCCCATCAGATTATGTGACCGTCTGCTTGATAATGCGTTTCTACTAGTTTTTCATGATGGCAGAAACAATTACCTCCCTTTGTAAAGGAAGCAATGCAGATGGTGATTAAAAAAGTTTTAAAAAAACCAAAGAAGATAACTAATATTACATATGGAAATTGGATGTTTTTTTAACGCATCTCTCAGCAATATTTCAGCTATATGACGGTGGTCTGTAAATAATCGAGTCTGGACAAGACAATCCAGTTTTTGACAGCATGAGCATTGATCCATGCCATTCGGATACGATGAAATGCATCAACCAAGTCAGCAAGCTGACCACCCGATCCCATTGGTCACCACTATGACCTATGGAAATTAACTGAGGGGAGATGTATAAAAGTGTAGACAAAAGAAAAATGCGAAGTGATCATAAATAGTTCTAACAGTTTACTGAATTCAATACCTAGGGTCATAACTCCATGTTGAATCCTATCGATTGTCAGACATACTAGTGAATCAGATACATATGTATTCAGACATGTCAATGTAGCCTATGTCTCTTGGATAAAGCAATGGTACAATGCTATGTGGAATATTAACAGCAGTGTTGTGACAAAACAATTCTTACACTTCACTTTCACAGGTACACAGGTTTTCAGCTTCACAAACAGAAGCATTCAAAAGCAAAACAAACTAAACAAGCAAATGTTAGGGAAAGAGGTAAGTCGGTGCCACAAATTCTAGTATCTCGAAGTACAAAACACTGTTTACCATCAATCTCATAAAAAGTCTTCATGGTAAATTTTGTTTGTAATTTCCACAAAATATCTTTGAATCACACCTGTCATATTAACAACTTGTATTAACCATCCAGTAAACTTACACCACAAAATGTACAGGTACATTGATGTTTTAACTAAGTTTGTTCTCTCCTGCTCGATTCAGTCAGGATCTCACCTGCAGAGAAACTGAAGTGTTTGACAGCTCAGTGTATAAAAGATCGCTAGTTTCCACCAAAAGAATGCATTCAAACTCGGAACCCCCGTTTTGCAGTGAAACTGACGTGTTAACAGTTCACTGGATAAAAGATCGCTATTTTCCCCCAAAAGAATGCATTCCAACTATCTGTGGCATATAATACAGAGATACACATTTATATTTATTGATGTATTAACTATCCTACAATTCTTCACCCTTGACTACCCTCATCTCACATAAACTTGAGGGTCACAACACAAACATGTTCCGGAGACTAGTGAGTTAACTGACTATAAAAGTCCAGTTTACACCCTTGCCGAACTGGGCTGGAATTATGGAGTTATATTTTGACTGGACTAACAAGTCCATGCATAGTCCAATCAAAATTGTGTAACAAAATCGACATCTGGTTCTTAAACTGCCATGCAGATTTCGGTCGACTGCAGGATTTGCAAATCATGTGTACTACCAACTTGGCGTCTACTGATATTTTCCAAATCGTTTCATGTTTTTAATCACGTGATTTGATGCACTTGGCAAAGTAAAACCAATTTTATTACACTATAGATTTCATTATCGTTCTTATCGTCTTGACTGGGTGCTGCTATTTTGTTTGAAGCAAATGTAAGCTACATGAGAGGTAGAATCTGATTGGTCAGTAGGAAGGACATAGAAGGGACATAACTCATAATAGCTACTGATGGCACTACGATCCAGCCCAGAAACTCCAGCCTAGTTCAGCAAGGGTGGAAACTGGACTTTTACTGTCAGTTAACGGCCTTGCCTCAGGAAGATGCAACACAAAAAGTTGATTACTAGCCTCTTTCTGCCTCCCTTTGCTTATTTTCAACAAGACATTTACTGCATAATGGCTTCATTGGCCACATGTATGTCTACTCAGACTCATGTAAAGTCTAATCTCTGAGCACTATGCATATCTGTCATAACCTGTTGGTTAAGAAAAATAGATTGTGTTGAAAGCAAATTGAAGTCTTTCACAAATATGTTGCCATAACTTAATCATGTTAATTTGTTCATAAAATCAGTTTCTCATCTTGGATCAAACACCGAATAAACAAATAACTACATTATTGTAAGGCTTAACATTGTATTCACAACTTGTGAATAATAAAAATATGAAAAATATGGATTTGACTCATTCTGTCACTAATACACATAACTGAGATTGATACGTCATGGGGTAATCAACAAATTCAAACACATTTATGATGAAACATTGGTGACGATGGATGATGAGCAGTCTATGAACACAATCACCAGCAAGCACAACCATCAAGGTTTCACCAAGCTTAGTGCAGCCACCATCTCACAACCCCTTTAACCTAGCAGCTACAGGGGAACTGGTGGACTCCATTGGAAGTAGCCACATCATTTGGTTTCATTATTTGAATGATGTTTCAGCAGCCAGATGTGGAATTTGGTCTCCTGGACTGCTGAGAGTGTGAGTGAGTGAATTGGCTAAACACCATTTGGAACAGTTTTTCAGTTTTATCATGGCATGTCAGCTTAATGTTTGAGGAAATTGCATAAGAGCCAAGTCGCGGCAGGCATTAAGAACACTGCTGAAACCAATGAGTATGGTGAAATTGGTATGGTGCTGGCTTAACAAGGATCATAGTTGGGTTAATCTGGATTTCAAATCCATGACAAGCAGATCCTGGCAACTAAGGGAAGCAACTCTGTTCAGGGAATTATGGCACCTTGAACTACTGGGCCACCAGAAAGTGAGTAAGTGAAAGGGTTTTTTGACTGTTGTCAGTAACATTAACTACATCATGAGAACCTACTAATGCAGGTAAAAGGACCTATTCTGCCATATCTGAACAAGGGTTCTGTGTGATAACATGTTCATTAGTGAGAGAGTAGGGATACATAATGTTTTTATCAGCTTTCAGTCACAACAAAAAATATCAATACATCATGAATGATCATCACAAAATCTTGACATTGATGGAAACTGGTCACAAGACTGCTAGTGCTAGGTCCACACATACTTCAATACATTTAGAACGAGAAAGATCTGGGTCTAAACAGTGTACAAAAACATCATCAGCTATCCATTCATTGCATTCATGGCTGTGTTTGGATTCCACTTACCAGTATTTATTTATTATAATGACTTTCCCAAAGCTTATCACCCCATAACTTCATAGAATATATATGCCTACAGATGTTAACTCTCTCATTTTTACATAAACACACTTCTCATATCACAATACCGCAGTTAATAAAATATTCGTTAAATGCAAAGAATAACATCATGGAAGAAAACTTAATAGACATAACAATAAGCTGGAGAGCTCCGAGTCCCACACTATTCTACCCCTTATACAGATTAATTCACATCTCCACATAATCCGACCCTTTCACTCCTCGGAGTCAACATCTGCATCCTCAACACCCACCTCATGTTAAAATGACAACCAAACATTAATCCATCTTGAGATTCACGTATATGTAACGGACAAATTTGAGCGAAGCAAAGAAGGAGACCGTTCCAAGCATGAGGAAAAATACAAAGCAGGCCAGCATTGTGTAGCCAAAGAACTCCACAGTCTGCAGCATGCCGGACATATTGGACCGCTTGAAGTAGTAGAAGAGGGCATACAGAAACACGAACACACCGGTCGATCTGAAACAGAACATGTCGGTACAGTGAGTGAGTGGGTGGCAGGGTGAGTGAGTGAGTGAGTGAGTGAGTGAGTGAGTGAGTGAGTGAGTGAGTGGGTGGCAGGGTGAGGGAGTGAGTGAGTGAGTGAGGGAGGGAGTGACAACTCGAGATCGGTTGACAACCTATAATGCATTATCCCCTCTTTTGCAATAGGTGTGTCCTCCACATGTTTCGCAAATAAACTGAAGAGTATCTTTTATTAAGATAAGGAACTGACCGTTTGGAGGGCATGGGTCTTTGTTCTATTGTGTTGTCATTTTAGTATTATTATGAAGTATTAAGATACCTGGCACTAAAGTTAGCCTAAAGTATGAGTGAGTGAGTTTGGTTTTATGCCACTTTTAGCAATATTCCAGCAATAACACGGCGGGGGACACCAGAAATGGACTTCACACATTGTTCCCATGTCGATAATTGAACCCGGGTTCTTGGCATGACCACAAATGCTTTAACCACTCGGCTACCTGAACGCCCCTACAGATTAGGAAGATGTAATAATAAGTCTTGTTGTTTGGTTACACAAGTGAAATGTTTCTATATCTTGTAATTCCTTTCTTATCAAATAATTTTGCTTCAAATGCATTAAAGTTTGAACACTCAGAGTGAAATTAACATGTCAGTTCCTTTCCACTTAAATATTCCCTAAGTGGTAATTGTTCATAGCCAACCAGCCTAGACTAGCTGTCTGTTATGGTTTCAGGCAAAATTTATTATGTTAAATAACCTGTTAACGTCACGATCAAAAAACAATCTAATAGGGTCCAAATTTACTACCCGGGTACCCACATCCCTATTACCTGACCCTACCGGGGTACCCACATCCCTATTACCTGACCCTACCCGGGTACCCACATCCCTATTACCTGACCCTACCGGGGTACCCACATCCCTATTACCTGACCCTACCGGGGTACCCACATCCCTATTACCTGACCCTACCCGGGTACCCACATCCCTATTACCTGACCCTACCGGGGTATTGCTACTGGTGTCAAGAGATCGGTACGAAATGTAGGATTGGGAATAATTTGACAGTAGCCCTGGCAAAATGTATTTAGATAATGTATAAAACGATGTGGTCATGCATACACTGAAGTTGGCAGAAGTTTTATCTTTGTTCAAACATATGTAAGTCAGAAGGAATGCGTTCATAGTCATGAAGAAAAGCGAACATTAGAGACTTAAAGTAGTTGTGTAACCATGTAGTTAAATAGTGAATTTTGTCATGAAAGAATATATCACGGGTCCGGGTAGTCCTGTGGGTACCTGGGTCCCACTCAGTACCCACCCGACCCGAGTACCCCTGTTATCCGTCCCAGCCCTACAATCTAAGGCTAAAGACTAAAGGCTAGGTAAGACTAACCTGATGTAGTTTGAGATGTTGGTAAGTTATGAGTAATTTATGCACATAATTTAACATACTGAGAAAGAAAACATATTATGATATAAATCCTCCAATTCCAGAGATACATCTCAAAGAAATCCTAAATAAAATAGTATTACCGTAGTACCACAGCAAATAATTTCTCTTAGTATTGGCAACTGAAGTAAGGGAGACAACTTACCCAGCACTAAAGATTGACCTCCACCACCATCGATAGTCCTCTGCTGAGAGTTGGAAGTAGGTCAAGGCCACGGATATGCATGCAGTAACACTCAGCAGTATCCCGTACACAATGAACAGAATGCCAAACAAGGTGTATTGCTCTCTACCCCATAGAGTAGCAAATATGTAGTAGAGCTCCACAGATATAGCACTGCAATTAGACAATCACAAACATAACTCAATGCAAGACATAAGCATTGACTAGTTGTAATTTTTTAAATGAAAAAACCTCTCTGAATACCCTAAGAATTACTATTGAAAAATGTCAAATAGCAACAGGAAGTCTACATTATAGGAAGGAAAGCCTACTCATCACATTATCACAATACCAAAACCCAGGGTTATATTGGACGCATAACAATAACAGATTATTTGCACTGGGAGTCCCATGGGATACCAAAATGTCTGGCTGTTTGAATCCTCAAAACCAACTCAATTGTAGCTATGACAAATTCTAAAATCCATGTCCAATTTTCTTTAGTAAATCACAGTTCAAACACAGAAATACCATCAGTAGTTACAGTAAGGTTTCAGCTAGTTAATATTTGTTGACGGTACAAAGATGACCCCAATAGTCAGGCCCTCTGAATACAATGACATACCTGAAGGGCAGGAATCCTCCAACAACACAGTGGGCGAAGGCAGACCTGTACCACGGCACGGATGGAATCTCCCGAGATATATTCTTCGTCCTCACTGGTGCATCAAACCCATTTGCCCAGTTTTTCCCAAATATTCCACCAATGACTGTCAGAGGATAACCGACTGAAGGGAAAATAGAACATGTTAAAGTAATCTATTGATGTTATCTATCTATTAATCAGTTTACCTGTAATTTGTTGGGGAATTATATTTGCACTGACAGCGATGGCTGGTGCCGAAGTACTCACTGAAGAGCCAGAGTGCCATGAGCATGACGACTGTGGTCCAGGGAAGGGCTTGTGTTGTTCCGTATGCCCACGCCACCGAGTTGATGAAGGACCACACAAGGAAGAAGGGGACTGAAAAGGACATTCAAGAGTTTAATCTTGGCTAAAATGGCTAGATCGGCTAGATCTTAATGGATTTATTTGAGTGAGCGAGTTGGTGGGTAAGTCTTATGTTGAAAGTTGGACTAAGCCAAGCTGTTACACAAATAATGATTAGGGTTATAGGTCGCACACAAAAAAGTCCTCAGAAGGACGGACGGACGGACTTCCTTGGTATAACTGTAATAATGTTTGGGGCAAGCAAACCAGTAGCATGAGTGAGTGAGTTTGGTTTAACCCTGCTTTGATGAGTACTTCAGTTATCAAGGCATGTCAGTTTGATGAGAATTGTTTGTTGCCTGTTTAATGCCGCTCTCAGCAATATTCCAGCTATATGATGGCGGTCTGTAAATAATCAAGTCTGGACCAGACAGTCCAGTGATTGACTTCATAAGTATCGATCCACGCAATTGGGATACGATGACATGCATCAACCAAGTCAGCGAGCCTGCCTACTCGATCCCGTTAGTCGCCTTTTACGGCAAGCATGGGTTGCTGAAGACCTATTCTACCCCGATCTTCAGGGGTCCAGTTTGATGAGAAGTAAAGCTCAATGTGACGTTTAACACTTTGGTAAAATCCATGAACATGAGTATGGTGCAGACAATCTTAGCAACATGAGGCACATCTGGAGTGGAAAGCAAGAAAGACGGCTTGTGGACATGCTTAGACGGATGCAACACCGTACAGCACCTTAGACGACTGGACCACTCATAGAGCAGCATGTGCACTGAAGTATGCCATTGGGTTATGATGACACGTAATCACGTCACACAATACAATCATGGATATCATCACAAGCAGGGGGTAGTTGGGACAGATTCTGGCCAGGAATACACCCTGGTAAGTAAAACAGAGCTCCTGGTAAGCTGATATTTGTGTAAAATATGCAAACTAAATCACCATTGCCCAATTTGAGTTGCTTAAATACAAATATGCATGAAAAACACCCCAAACACTTCAACTTGTATATACTTATTTACTGATATCATAGAATGCAGGAATCTCACATTCATCAACACTACTGCAGTGAAAAGTGCACACAGAAGGTGTTATGTCTGGCTTCTTGTTAAGTTAGACAAGCTTATTGTTGTTGTGAGTTTACACACTTGGTGCAGCACACCAACAGAAGCAGCATTTAAAGCCAAATTATTTCTAAAAAAATGTCTACCCATTGGTATAAATATACCCAGTACACTGGAAACAAGGGAGTAAAAATATCTTGAATATCCAAAAGAAAACTATCAATACCCAATATGAATGATGACATGTGCATAAATACTCAAAGGCTAAAGAATTATCTGGAGCCCTGGTACAAGCCGTCCATACTACAAGGTCTTGTTACACAGGACATACAAGAGAATAGTTTTTCATAAGTCAGAGTGCTTATGATATCAATGTACATTTCCTGACACAACATATTGCAATTTTTTACCAAGTAGTGATCCAGTGAACTAGAACTCACCAGCAAACAGGGCTGATGTCAGGTTGATGATCCACACCCAGTTGTCGCCGCCCATCCTCTTGTAGAAGTTGGTGGACACGTAGCCACTGATGCCTGCCCAACACAAACAGTGCCATACATCAGTTGCGTGCTAGCCCAGACAAGTTTTGTTTATGTTGAAGGCACCCTAAGGGCAAGTAGAATTTCACGCTTCTTGAGGGGTATTGCTATATGTTATCACTTTTCGGGCTAGATTTTCTTGGTTAATTTCTATCCCTGCTCTGTAGACAACCAACACATGGTGTGATTCACTGCACATGTTTTGACAATCAATCCTTGCATCTACTGGTCTGCAAATGATCAACCTTTTTGCAATTCAGCTTCTGGATAATTAGACAAAGTAATAGGAAAAAACAGGTATTTTTTCCTAAAGACATCTTCACATACATTTTGGTGATGATTTGCATGAGCTTTGGTAATAACGACACTGTAACCATGGTGACCGCTGATTCCTCATTCTACTTATTTATTCAAATCTTATGACCATCAAAGGGTACTGGGAATCCCCTAAGGTTTACAGGCATAACTGTACTTACATGAAGTGAAGGCATAGAGGACGATGGCCGCAGAGTTGATGGCGCCATGGCGATGTACGTTGAACATTCCCATCAGTGCCATCATGAGGATACCAGCTGCCAGACACAGGAACTGACTTCCCACGCCTGCAAACACACAGCTGCTGTCAAGCCATGGTTTTATGTTTGTTTGTTGTTTAACACCACACTCAGAAATATTCCAGGTATATGATGGCGATGTGTAAATAATGAAGACTGGACCAGACAATCCAGTGATTGACATCATGAGCATCGATCCACACAATTGGGATACAATGACATGCATCAACTAAGTCAAGCCTTGGTATAATGGTACCATCAACATACCATTCAGTGTCTTCCTAAAGGTATAACCTGATTCTGTTCCTTGTGGTCAAGGATTTATCTTGGATTCCAAACCAAGTTCATTGGCAGGCAATTTGGGAAAAAATAATTATTTTGTTCAAAAGTGGGATTCTAAATTGGAAACTTAACAGAAATTTGAAGCAGACATAAGGCTGAATATCTTCCTGTGAGCAGGACTAGACTATGGTAAGATTAGACTGTAAGATCTGACAGACCCTCACTGACAGAGAGAGAGATGGTACTGAAACTGAAATACTGAAACATTTGAGTTTGTCCTGTTTGTTTGTTGCTGAACGCCGCACCAAGCAATATTCCAGCTATATGACGGCGATCGGTAAATAATCAAGTCTGGACCAGACAATCCAATGATTGAGCATCGATCTACGCAATTGCGAGCTGTTAGTCCTGTTAGTCGCCTCTTATGACAAGCACGGGTCGCTGAAGCCCTATTTGTCCGGATCGTCACGGGTACAGCAGACAGGCCCTAACTGAGAGAAACAGAGAGATACCATCCTCATGCTCTTTTTCAAATACTGAAAAACTTGAGCATGTTGAGTGTCCTGTCTGACTTGGATCTACCTAGGGTTGCACACAGTGTATGAGTGAGTTTGGACAAGCATTGCTGTGAACAGTATTTTAAGAGTGTAGGAGAAAAGCCCCAATTGATGCAGGTAGTAGACATCTTAACTTGGTAAAACTCATGACCATGAGTTTCATGCTGGCAAGTCAAGGATCATCGTCACATATTTTCAGGGATTCGAACCCATGACTCTTGTATCCTGGCACAACAAAGGGATGCAACTCTGCACAGCAAATTACAGCGCCTTTCACCACAGTAGCTCATATGCCCCCATATACAGCACATGTTCTATCAGACTGACCTAGGATGGCACAGAAGAGATTCTTGGCAGCAGGGAAGCGGAACACATCAGTCTGTATAATCTTCCAGCCATTGTCGTCCTGGTCCAGATCCTCGCTGTCATCCTCATCCAGGTTGTAGCGAGCAAAGTCACTCTTCAGAACACGTGTCTACAACACAACAAGACACGATTGTCCATGATGTAGATTGATGTAATAAACATACTGCACAGGGATAGGCAATACCTTGCTAGCCTGAGAGTGTGTCCCATGAGTGTCATGGGGTGTCATGGGGTGTCATGGGTTGTCATGGTACTAAACATTTCAGGTTACCTCTGAGTGCTGTGGTGTAGAACATAGATGATGCATAGTTGCAAAATTTAAAAAGAGGTAAGTCACTTTATATTTCAAGACATTAGGCCCACTTCAACCCTAGTTGATAACTAAATGATCTGACTTACCAATATGATGACCACAAAGCCAATCAGTAGAAACACCAGCACTATAGAATTTATGACAGATAGCCAGTGGATCTGAAAAAACAACACAACAATATAAACATCCATGCAAAAATCACATCGACAGCATCTATCTCCACCTTGTGTGGTTAGGGATGCACAAGAAATATCTATAACTGGCATAAGAGGAGATAAGCTTCAGCTAACAAAAGAGTGAGTGAGTATGGTTTTACGCCGCTTTTAGCAACATTCCAGCAATATCACAGTGGAGGACACCAGAAATGGGCTTCACACAATGTACCAATGTCTGGAATTGAACCCGGACGAGCAAACGCTTTAACCGCTGGGCAGTCTGACCGCCCCTAACAAAAGACAAAACACTGATGTCCATAAAACCAGAACAAACGTTACAGTTTTATTTCAAGTTTTGGGTGTTGGTGTGTAATCAGGGAGGTTTGGTTTCAGACATTTCCCAGGCATTGGCGGACTTGTCAACAGCAGTGGAAGGTATCACAGTCACTAAATGAAACAAATCTATCTAAGCACATGTTATTACCATGATCACAGGTTGGTATTGATAATTTGACAAACATATTGTACATGATTTCAAATTAACTGTTTTTCCCTTAACCTAATCAGGATAATGGGCACACCCAGTCAAAGATGGCCAAACTCACTCAGTTGATTGAAACTAAATCTGACATGCTTGGGACAAAGACAGTTGTTTTTCACAGTGGTCTTGCTGGAGCCAAATATAATTAGGCCATTTTCATGATTTTATCCACTTTTTATAGGACATGTCTTAATATCATTGCAAACCTTGGAAAAATAATTTTTCGGCCATTTCAAATGAGTCAATGTCCTAGAAAATGATCGGATATGAAACCCTGTATTGTAATGTTCAAGTTCAACTTTTCCCTACTGTCTCAAGCCAAGCATGTGAGTCAAGTCAAGAGTGACAAAGTATGCAGGATGGTGGGGTAGTCTGCTGATTAAAGTGTTTCCTCATCACGCCGACCACCCGCGTCTGATTCCCCACATAGGTGCAATGTGTGAAGCCCATCTCTGGTGTCCCCTGCTGTGATATTGCAGGAATATTGCTAAAAGTGGTGCAAAACCTCACTCACTCAAAGTATGCAGTACAGAAAGAGAAATGTTGGAATCAAAGGCAGGTTATAATGATTTAATACCCTCTGACCAATCTGAATTAACTGAGTTAACAACAACGCAGATAGAACTTCCACCTCACAGCATCAAGTGTTTTTCACTCACCTCCAATGTCTTGGGGAAGAAGCTGTTGTCACGAAGTCTTTTCCCTCTCTCTTCATATTTCAAACTAAAAGCAAAGTCAATCACAATACTTAACATGATTCAGCAAAAATATCATCTATGTACATAAATTGAACCCACTCAGCTGTAAAGTGTATAAGTCGCATTCTGTCCATTCTTAAAAGAATCAAGTAGTCCTTGTCATAACCCTAATGTTAAAAGTTGGAGATTCAGGGGGTCCGTAGATTCAAATACAAATACAGTCAAGTATTGTTCATCCGACACTCGTTAATCCAACAATCAGCTGTATCCGACACTAATGATGGGAACCGATTAAATTAGTGCTATTTAGACCCATTAATCCGACAGTCTCACACTCCGACTCACCTAATTTGCAACCAATTACCGAAATCACACATTAATCAGTCTCGTTAATCCGACACAGTGATCAGCGTACTCCGTGGTCATCTGCCCGCGAGTACACAACTCGTGTTTTGATACAAGACAAGTCGGCTGGTAGCTGCATATTACAATGGCTGCAGAGATAAACTTGCTTAAAAATAAACAATTAATGCTTTAAATAAAGACAAGTATTTGTCACAGAGTGACGAAATATCCCCCGCCATATACACCATAGTACCAAATATGAAGACAATCCAGCGATTAGTTCTTGAGATATTGTGGCAACACCGTTTTCCAACTCAAAAAGCAGATTTGCCTGCTGTGACCTTGAAAATGGGGTCAAGGTCACCAAAACCGACTGGTGTCTGCGGTGTCTGTATATACACCATAGTTCCAAATATGAAGACAATCGAGAGGTTTAGTTCTTGAGATATCGCGGCAACACCGTTTTCCAACTCTAAAAGCAGATTTGCCTGCTGTGACCTTGAAAATGGGATCAAGGTCACCAAAACCGACTGGTGTCTGCGGAGTCTGTATATACACCATAGTTCCAAATATGAAGACAATCCAGTGTTTAGTTCTTGAGATATCGCGGCAACACCGTTTTCCAACTCCAAAAGCAGATTTGCCTGCTGTGACCTTGAAAATGGGGTCAAGGTCACCAAAACCGACTGGTGTCTGCGGTGTCTGTATATACACCATAGTTCCAAATATGAAGACAATCCAGTGTTTAGTTCTTGAGATATCGCGGCAACACCGTTTTCCAACTCTAAAAGCAGATTTGTCTGCTGTGACCTTGAAAATGGGATCAAGGTCACCAAAACCGACTGGTGTCTGCGGAGTCTGTATATACACCATAGTTCCAAATATGAAGACAATCCAGTGTTTAGTTCTTGAGATATCGCGGCAACACCGTTTTCCAACTCTAAAAGCAGATTTGTCTGCTGTGACCTTGAAAATGGGATCAAGGTCACCAAAACCGACTGGTGTCTGCGGAGTCTGTATATACACCATAGTTCCAAATATGAAGACAATCCAGTGTTTAGTTCTTGAGATATCGCGGCAACAAACAGGTGGGACGTACGGACGGACGTACAGACGGACGTACGTACGGACGGTCGTGAATACTATATCCCCCGCTTCGCGCTTTCGCGCGGCGGGGGATAAAAACAGGATTAATCACATGCTTAGATTACCCCAATCTCATTAAAATCAGATACAAGTTCTCCCTATCAGCGAGGACATCCTATTACAGGTCACGTCAGAACAACTTTTCGCAAACTATGACCTACCAATGAAATGACTAACAGGAAGTCAACGTTAGCCACTTAGAAAGCAGCTTTATTAAGCTTTGCGGTACCAGTCACACAGTCCATAACATTTGTTTTGTGTTAAATTTTAGAGGTTGCATGATTAAAAAACATATTCCGCCAACAATGTAACATAAAAATAGGAATTTTATTAATTATTTTTGTATTACTTTTGAAACATTATCTATCGTGTAGTTGTTGATTTTTTATCACGAATGTTGATACTACTTAATTTCTTTTATCCGACATATTCGTTAATCTGACATAATCATATGCAACCATCGATGTCGGATTAACAGGACTTGACTGTATCTGTCATATGAGCAAATCTCCCTTGACTATGCTTGTCGTAAGAGGCGACTAATGGGATCAAGGGGACTTGGTCAGGCTCGCTGACTTGGTTGATGCATGTCATCGTATCCCAACTGCGTGGATCGTTGGTCATGATGTCAATCACTGGACTGTCTGGTCCAGACTTGAATATTTACAGACCTCCATCATATAGTTGGAATATAGCTGAGAGCGGCATTTAACAACAAACAAACAAACAAACAAACTGAACACTGCTTTACTTATCACAGCATTATTATCTGTGCAAATGAATTTTAGACAGAGGTTTTCACTTATGCAAGTTCAGCAGCTCTTGCCTTTTGATATTGGTTGGTTTGGCTAGATGCCATGTTTCGAATTAACATAAAAAATTGTGAAAATCTAGATAGCATTACCATGAGGCTTAGAGAGTCAGATTTTAGAGCTGGCTAATTTATAGATATAATTCTTAGAGATAGATAATCATTAACCCAATATCGATCAATTATCAATAAATATCAGAGAAGTAACTTTGAGCAAATATGCAAAAAGCTCTGTGACAAAACAATATATTTCATGTCACTGGTGAGTGGTGATACACTTATACGTGGATTACTTTGTTGACATTTATGATACAAAACAAAATCAGTTGCTTTTGGTTTTCGGCAATGGACAAAAACAAGTCTGCTTCGGTAAATCAAAACTTTATTTCATTACAAAAGTTTACGCAGATATTTTAGATGACATAATCCTTAAATCGAAAATCTTTATATTTCTTTTCGCCGCGATAATTCCAATTATCAATCTTTTCAGTCAGCCCTATGAGATTTACAAGCTAAAATCAGTTGTCTCCCTTGAGGTGGAGGCCTTCCCTACTGTATTCAGCCATATAAATCAATACACGATGATGTGTACAGAGCTTGCATCTGCCATTGTTGCCGTATCATACTCATAGCAGTGAGGTAGGAAGTATTGACATATTGCAACAGGTATGAGTCTCTTCATGATCATATGTCTCTTGTCAATATTTGTAGCAACAAGTTAACATCAATATACACACGTGATATAAAAAAGAAGCCTTTAATGAATGGATGTTGTGTGACAGTTTGGGGTATCAGTGCATGCAGCATCACTATACATTGTGCCCTGGTTACAAAACACATCATACATGTATTTATAATGCCTCACAATGAGATTGACCAATCAGAGAGCAGAACTACTAAGCCCACATGAGCCTGTATACCATCAGTAAAAATCCAAGATGGTTCTTTCTGACCTAATATGATACTGTATACCATCAGAGTTTCCAACACCCACCTCACATATTTCAAATGAAAATTCTGGTATAGAAATTATTTGACCTTGTTTTGTGTTTTAATATAATTAATTGTGATATGCAAAGACATTAATTAATTAAAGAATTTTTAAAGAAACTATGTTCATTAGCAATGTCATAGAACTAGTATAGGATGACGTCACAAACAAGAAACATGATGCCAGAGACGTCACACAGCAATAGCAGCCCAGTGTTAGGGAAAAGCTGACTTCGATCACCATGATCAAGTTACCTAACCTTATATGACACTGTATACGGCAACTAATTACACAACTAATAGAATACAGGATGAGAGCATATTCATGACATTTGGAATGAAAATATGTCCTTACAGTAAACTTATAAAGGGTCTATCATTACATGAGTGAGTCTATCGTTACTAAAATAACCACAAACCTATCACACCCCTGTGGTACAAAAGTTTCACATGTTACTAGAGGCGGAATGATACATTGGGTTCGTGACATGATACATATCCTGATACTATGGCTGCGATACGATTCGTATCCTGATACAGTACTTTTATTTCACAAGTTCATATTCCTACTTTTTGCAGGTCAATCACAACCCTGATCATTTGTTTTTAAATTTCGAAGATCGAAGATGGGATATTGTAGGACAGAAACATAAAGGCTGGAGAGCATCTATCAACCAGGAAATACTAGACACTGCATCAGCTGGTTGTCGACCAGTGTCTGTTATTGTTCATGTGTTTTACATCAATATGCATCACGACACAGTTGTTAATCCATGTATTGTAACAGGGGCCTCATATCGCGATACCAAACTGTATCGTCATACCGTTACATCAATACATCTCACGCACTGATGACACACTATGGACAAAGCAGGCTGTATGTTACATTAGTTATCAAGGCTCATATTGTCACAAGAAATAAATGACAAGTGGAAGTTGTTTATTGTACAATAAAACACTGCATGGAGAATAAACCACTTGTCGTTTATTTGTTATATGAGCTATCAACAATATGTACAGCCTCTCTAAGAATGTTGATAAAATGTATTAGCTTTAAATTCTTTTACCTGTATTTAAATACTGGTGATTCGCTATACAGAATCCAACCTCGGCAATGTCAGACAAGTCAATTTTATGAACAGGTGGGTAAAGTTTGGTATTTCCAGCATATTCTCACGTCGATTATCTGTACCTTTTCTCCTCATACCGATTGTAATGTCTCTCCCACTTTTGGATGTGATCTTTCGGCCACTGCATTTATCTGCGTACCCAAGCTACATCTATGGGGAACAACTTACTGGACACTTCCCTCCCAAAAATAATGTCGTCCAATATATGACATCATCAAGTCTTATCTCCAATAATGACATCATGATAGAACAATGTTTTATTGTTAAAAAACCCACGCTTCATTCTTCAATGTTCTTTGCAATTTATTGCATACCTATCTTATATATACGGGTAAACAACCTGCGTTCATTGTACAGACAATGAAATCTGTTCCGCCCACACTCAATGAACAATTTCACCATTAACTCATTTCAAGGTACACACAATATTACGACATTAAGAACTTTCACGTCTAAATCTGCAACTAATTAGGAGTATCAATGGGACTTTAACAATTGTGTAACATACACAAACTATGGTGGACAAAATCCTACAAAGATGCAAAGCCTGTGAATGTATCGCAAGCATGACACTGGATGTCAACAGCTGTATTACCATTCCTTGTATGACTGCACATACTTCTCGTTTCTTTGCCATGGTTTCTCTTGTTGTAACCATAGATATATTGGCCCAAACACATATTTCGTAATGTCCATAAATAATTTTTAACAATTAAGATCAAAGTCAAGAAAATATGTCAATTTTCTCATCTAGGATTATGAACTCTGAACCTTTTAATTGTCATGCCACCAACATTTTGAACTGGTAGATGAAACATTTGGAACTATTTCTGTTATAAGGAATTCTTTTAAGTTAACATGTCATTAAATGAAACAGTATATAAACATTTACTTTCCTGAAGTGGAGTATAACTTCACACAGGGTAACCGACTTACTTTGTTGCATGCCACTTGACACTGTAGGTGAAGGCTACTTCAAATGGCGTGGTGACGGAATCAAGAGACACGGGCGGCTGTTCCTTGGTGGACACGTTGGCATAGATGACCTGTAGCATGATAGTAAGATGACATCACAGAGTCAGTGAGTGAGTGAGTGAGTTTGGTTTTACGCCGCTTTTAGCAATATTCCAGCAATATCACGGCGGGGGACACCAGAAATGGGCTTCACACATTGTGCCCATGTCGGGAATCGAACCCGGGTCTTCGGTGTGACGAGCGAACGCTTTAACCACTAGGCTACCCGACCACCCGTCACAGAGTCAGTGATTGAATGTTACACAACAATGTAGTCAACAGTATTCCAGCACAATCACAGCAGGCTGCAAGTAATCAAGTCTGGACCAGGCAAACCAGTGAATGATAACAATCCATACATTCAGAGCACAATTGACATACATTCAGCCAAGGCACTGCTATTTATCACTCAATCCAATATTCTTTCCTCCTACAACCAGCAATAGTTTGCAGTGGAACAATAGTTCAGTTATATTATGGTACAGAAACAACTACTACTTAGGATCTCTGGGCATGTCAAGATAAATCAAAGTTATATCACTGGGAGTTAGGTTTAACACTGCCTTGAACAGTATTCCATTTATATCACAGAGTCTCAGCCTAATGTGTGAGGAAAGCCCGAAGTGAAGCAGGTCTCAGGCGTCATCCACTTTGGTGAAACCCACAGGGGTATGGTGCTGACAAACCTAGAAACATAATCAAAGAAAATCGGGATTCGAACCCACGATCAGTGGTTTCTGGCATGCCCAAGGGACGCAACTGCACAGAGAAATTGCAGCGCCTTAGATGACTGGGGCACCCGTGCCCCCTATATCACCTGGAAGAGTTATCTACAACGGAGGAATGAACCACTCTAATCATCATGATCATATTTCAACAAGGTAGTTGTAGTGAGGTGAGGTGAAATGGGGTTTAACGTCGCATCCAAAATTATTGCACTTATATAGCGATGTGCATGCAAGTGTGTGTGTGTGTGTGTGTGTGGCTGCTTGCACTAGACCGGACTGATGCCAATGTATAGTGCTAGCTCACTGAGATACCATGCCGCAGTTTAACATGAATACCCCACTCAGACACAGTATACTGACTCCGAGCCGACCAGTTTCTTGTTTTAGCCCCTTAATGACGAGCGCCAGACAGGGTAACAACAAGTACCATCTTTTAACGTCTTTTGGTATGATGCGGCTGGGGATCGAACTCCGGACCTTCTGCTCTCCGGGCGGACGCTCTACCACTAGACCACGGAGACGGTCTCCAAGGTAGTTGTAAGCATGGGTAAGAGGTGGTGAGTCTTACATTTTCTCCATTGTACTCCACATTGAAGTGGAGATGTGCCCACAGGTAGATCTTGTGGTTGTGGGGCAGAAAACCACCTTCCTCCAGATGCCCAATAAACCCTCGGATAGGAATGTCATCTAGAAACAGAGAAACATGGCCACCTCAGAGATGAATCATACCAGGACGATATGTTTCCTAGTGTTAAGGTAACACTTCTTTTTTTAATAGGTTTACAAAAATGCAAACAATCAAGGTAATTTTCATAAGAATACAATAATAGTTAAAAGGTACAAAGAATGATAAAAATGTGATTAAAAAAATAAGGTCACAGCACAGTAATATGTAAGAATCATACGCCTTGAATGTCAGGGGTTAGGAAATTTTTCTATCACAATTCATCAATACAGAATAACTTGACATGATATAGGCAATGGGATGTAACATCACATATGAGGCATAACATATACTAGTATTCTATTGCAATAGAACTACAAACCTATAACAAATTCAAAGTAGTATAGATCCTCTATGGCATTCCTCAGCAAGTTGAGGTCAGTTTCCGAGTACATGACTTTACACAACTCCTTCTTATCTGCATCACCTGTAACCATGGCAACAAACATTCCATAATTACAATTACACAATGATCATGGTTCATGTATAATTAGCAGGCATATAAAAACAACAAAGTGAGTCTAAAATCGAACCTGACCATGAACCGAATAACTTTTCTTTGTGACAGATAACTCTGGAAATTCATGATTTTCACCATTTATGATACGTAATCAGGGCTTGTTTGCTGTTGTAAATTCAACACATTTCAACGATGCCTCAGTGGAATAAAATGTAACAATGTCAATGTATAATGCAATATGTGGGTTTCTAAATCATTTTGGTTTTCCCCTTTAATAATTTGAATGTTAATGATAATGTCTATTAACTGTGTAAGCATAATTAATCGAAATATTCAACTTAAGACACTTGTGTGCACAAATACTTATGAAACTATATGTTTTCTTTAATTTAGTTTTGATTAAATGTCCTGCCTACAAAAGAGAGTTAGTATGGTTTTACGCCACTTTTAGCAATATTCCAGCAATAACACGGCGGGGGACACCAGAAATGGGCTTCACACATTGTATCCATGTCGGGAATCGAGCCAGGTCTTTGGCATGACAAGCGAACCCTTTAACCACTAGGCTACCAGACTGCCCCATATTACACAAAAACATATTTACAATTAAATACCCTATAGTCCTAACAAATACTGACAGCTAAACTAGAACAGGATTCTAAAAGGTTTTCTATGTTACACCTTACTACTCACGTTTAAAATTCAACCCATACAATGATACTGCCATGCGGTCGCCATCCAAAACTTCACCCAAGGTAAGGCTCTTATGTTCAATCTGAAAACAAGAAAATAGCGTCATCACTATCTCCCGCCATGGGGCACATTAGAATGTTGTTAGTTCATATACCGGTAGTAGTGAATAAAAACTATAAAAGAGTTCTATAAAGCCTTAAGAAGAGATAGGCACTTGGGCCGCTTTATGTCATCAGAAAAAGAAATTGAAAAAAAGTGAAATTAATACACACAAAAGGCCCCTTCTCTGGAAAAAATAACTCAGTCATGATAAGTATCTCTTAGATAAACAAACTTCAGTAGTTTCTGAGAAAATGTGTTACCAATGCACTCACTATACACTAAGTAAAATAACAATGATCAAGGCCGTAACTCTGTAAACAAATAATTGGCAGGGACCAATTTTCTAACTCAGTCTTGACAAGTATCTCTTAGATAAGCATGCAAACTTTCATTCATATAACTTCAGTAGTTTCTGAGAAAACTTGTCCGCAAGGGCCATAACTCTGTAAAAAATGAATGTACGACACCGAAGGGATGCAACTCTGCACTGCAAATTGCAGCACCTTAGACCACTTGACTACCAATACAGCAATACTACTGATATCAGCCTGTCCTCGGGTTGTAAGGTTTGCTTACACATGCAAGCATCTCAGCCAATCACTGGATTGTCTGGTCCAGAACCGATTGCCAGTATCTGTATCAACTATTGTTGCCTGGACGACATGAAACAACTGTAATGCTGCTGAGTGTGGTACACAGAAACATTCTCTCAAGAAGAATACAATAAACAAAGTCCTGTCACCAAAGTAAAACCTCTTTCTACCCAGGCTGTAAAAAGCTGTCCCACCCCTACCATACCTATTGTTTTCGTGTTTACCTTAACGGGTCGACACACAGGTAGTTGGTAGTAGTGATATGTTTCATGGGGGTTGAAGTAAGGACCAACTTTGTTCACATAAAGCTGGACCTGAAAAATAACCACAAATTAGAAACAAGGTGTTTGTAAAAACGTATGCTCATTGTTAAAACTGAACATAACAAAACTTGTAATTCAACAACACTATTGATTTACTACAGAACCCACAATATCAGTTATAGGATATACAGGATTAAATGATCATGTTTATCCAGATTTTTATCTGCTCAAAGCTTTGACATAAACTTGATGTGAAATGAGAGCGACTTATATATCCTATTACTCATTAACAATGAGCGTTAATCAATTATCAACAAAATAATGCCATGTCCATGTGACCTTATATGAAGGCAGGTCAAAACAAAAAGTTCTAAGCCTAACAAACAAAACCAACAATTGTGAAAGTGTTTTTAACTTTTTTTTTCAACATTAATCTTTTTGCTTTTCAAAACACTTCTCATATCGATAGTGAAGCTTTTCAATTTCAGTCAGGAAGGAGTTTTCTGATGACACCCTTAAAAACTCATTCATGGCAGCTTTGAGGTCATCGTTGTCGTGATAGCTCTTTCCACGAAGGTGGTCTTTCAGTTTATGAAACAGGAGGAAATCACTTGGTGACAGGTCTGGCGTGTATGGAGGGTAAGGAAGCTCTTCGGACCCACATTGTCCCACAGCAGCCTCTTCAAGTTGAGAGGTATGAGAAGAGGCATTGTTATGAAGTAGTAGAACTCCAACAGTCAGCATCCCTTGCTGTCTTTTCTTTCATAGAATCTTGCCGACGATGAGGTAAATCAGCATAGTAGGCACTGGTAATCGTCTTTTGACTTTCTAAGCAATCAACAAGGATCACACCCTTTGCATCCCAGAATACAGTCGCCATAACTTTCTTCACTGATCTTGAAGACTTCAAGTTCTTTGGTGCCGGAGAAGTTGAATGGTGCCATTCCATAGATTGATGTTTTGACTTGGGATCATAGTTGTACACCCATGTTTCCCCAGCCGTTACTAATATCTTTTTGAATTTTCTCTGGCAAAGTTAGTTCTTTTTCCTTAAGAATAGAATTTAGAAACTTTGGCACCAAGCGAGCACATATCTTATTCATTTGTAAATGTTCATTAGTAGTAGCTTCAATGGATCCATGGCGTAGACTGTGTCTTCCTCAAGATCAGCAATGGTAATACGTCTATCTGACAGTGTAAGTTTTTCTATCTTCATGATGGAATCTTCATGGAAGTTGAGGGACATCCAGCCCTAGGGTCATCATCAAAGCTTGTTCTCCCAGGCTTAAAAATAGCTGCTCAACATTTAACAGTGGAATAGCTGGGGCACTTATCCCCAAACACTTGTGACATGTGGTCATGAATTTCTTGGGGAGTGCTTTTTTCTAAAGTAAAAAACTTGAATACTGCTGGTTACTTGTTCTTTTCCATTTCTGTGTCCATTTGGACCCCTATCACGTTCAACTGGCTGTCACTGTCACCAGACTGAATACCCTTGCAATGAACTACTCAAACAATGTACTACATTGACTAGTTCACTTTGTTATGGCCCATAGTTGAAAGTTAGTCAGGCTTAGAATATTTTGAACGGTGCTTATTACTGGATCATGAACACGATGAATCCAAAGTAGGCAAAACGTAAACATACATCTGCATCGCTTCCAGCATGTATACCCTAACATCCCTGTGTATATAAAGGACTGATAAATTATTTGGGAAATCAAACACAGTCACTTTACATTCCCTTTTCAGGCTATAAGTGTATCTATAGTGACTGTCAGTGGCAGCAAGTGATGAAGTGCCTGTAAAATGTTGTGAGCTGTCAGTGGCAGCAAGTGGAATTTCGAGACACCATCCTTGTAAACATGAACATGGCAGGCTTGATCTTTCAAGAAAATTTAAGATTGGACAGTTTCTAGAGTGAGTGAGTGAATTGGGTTTAACGCCGCTTTTAACAGTATTCCAGTTATATCACGACATGTCAGCTTAATGTGGGAGGAATGCCTGAAGTGATGCAGGGCTTCGATGCACTTCGATGAAACCCACGAGCACGGGTATGGTGCTGACAAACCTAGAAACATAATCAGGGCGAACTGGGATTCGAAACCACAATCATAGGTTTCTGGTGTGCCCAAGGGACGCAACTCTGCACAGAAAATTGCAGTGCCTTAGACAACTGGGCCACTCGTGCCTCCGACAGTTTCTAGAAGGCTGGCTGTACCTATATAAGAGTGACAAGAGGTTGATTTGACCAGACTTGTGTCTTATCTACTTTCCAAGTGCAGATTGGGAAAATAGTTGCAAATACTGGATCATGCCAGCTTCCAACACTAAATGGATACAAGAATAGACACATGCCTGTTTCAAGACATACGACAGTGACAAAATTCTTAACCTACTTAAGCATGTTAGCAAAACAAATCTAAATAGATGACATCTAAAGATATTTTAGTTTTAGTGAGTGAGTGAGTTGGGTTTAACGCCGCTTTTAACAGTATTCCAGTTATATCGCGGCGTGTCAGCTTAATGTGGGAGGAAAGCTCGAAGTGATGCAGGTCTCAGACGTTTACCACTTCGGTGAAACCCACGAGCACGGGTATGGTGCTGACAAACCTAGAAACATAATCGGGGCGAACCGGGATTTGAACCCACGATCATAGGTTTCTGGCGTGCCCAAGGGACGCAACTCTGCACAGCGAATCGCGGCGCCTTAGACGACTGGGCCACCCGTGCCCCCTATTTTAGTTTTACCAATTTCTTGAACACAAGGCTCAACTGAATACTTTGGAATACTCTGGGATATTTGACGGAAACAAAATATTTCAAATTATAACAGCACATGCTAATTAAGGGTAGATCTACTTATTTGAAAATAAACAAATTAAAGTTGCATCCATTTTTACAGTAATGACAATGGCCCAATGACATCACCAAAACCAGTATCCAAAATGGCAGTATAAGTTTGGAGAAACCATGTTTTGCATCCATTTTGATCAATTGATATATCTTCCATTCATCATAAAATTTGAGTTAGCAGACAAACAACCTTGCGTTGAACATTCAGAACAACTTCATCAAATATACACGAGCTGCCAACTCGCCCAGCCAAGTCTTTCTCTGGTGCCAAAGTCTAATAAACATAACGCTACAAGAAAATTCTAGCTCGTATAGTAAGAACTTCATGCAGCCATTATTGGGAATAAGAATGCTTCAGCAAACGGTAGTTTTCCTGCTTATCCAGCCTTCGTGACAAGAAAGAGAGAAGCAGACATTTAGTGAATCAAATTTACATCAGCTAACGACATACACAATCCGTTTCATAAAAGACCTGGTTATATGAAGATTAATATTTTAACATCCAAACAAACGTACATTACATATAGTTTATATCAGAAGTATCGTTGCATTTTCCATCAGCCTGCTGTCCCGGTCAGAACAGGGACTCGGAATTCGACCACATCACTGGTCATGTCACGACCTAACATAGCGACATTGCCACGAGATACCAATGCATCGTTTTCAAAACAAAGAATATCGAAAGGTTGCATGAAAGTATATACCCCTTCGCCTTCCTTGTAGTTTCTGCAGTTGACAGTTGTCAACAGAAGTGCCCACGTAACACACACCCAAAACATCGCCATTTTGAAGTGTCTAATATCCGTGTAAAAACGTGACAATGCGAGATATGATTGTTATCGGGAAAAAAATAAAAATATAATATAATTTAATAAGTTGTATTCATAATATAGCAAACAATGTTAGAGAATAACGACTTTGTTTTAATAAAATAGCACGTTTAGGAGTTTAATCGTTTACTAGCTGGGTTCTGTCTAGGGTGACCCTATAAGCTCCTTTCCAACGCGTGCGACTATAGAGGCATTGACTGTTACAGTATACAAGGCCGTAGGAAAAGACGTATCGCTGTGATGAGCTTGGGCGCCACGCACTTGTTGCGGTCGGCGCGTCTTCGTTGAATGTTTAATATCTCACATCCACAGATCAAGACATTCGATCGGAAATGTACGAGGTCTCGCAAATGAAATAGTCTGACTGGTTATTGTATCCAGTCATTCGTACGTACTGTGTGTCTTTCAAAACAAGTTTACACATGAATCTAAGCCATATAAGATACAACATAAACACTTATCCAATTCCGTGGACCCCTTGACCAACAGATTTTGTCAACTGCTAAATTCATCATAATCTTTGGGTTAACAAACAATGTTTAAAAAAATTCCCTATTTGATCTTATGTGCATCAAAGTAGCCAGGATAGACTAACATCTAGTCTCTGAAATGAACATATTTGAGAGATAAAAACAGTTGTTAATTATAGTTATGAAATATAATTAAAAGGAGCCCGGAGATTCGTTTCATTTTCAGGTACTGCTGTAATCTAGACTTGACAAATACTATAGACTTAAATGGGCTGTATTGGATATGTTTCTTTGTATGACAGACTAAAGTCAGAACTGCCACTTAACTAGCCAAACAAGTTTAAGCCAAGTCCACATTTGTATATATTGCTGAAACCATGGTACGGATTATGTTTTGTATTAATATGTCGTTTATATTGAAACAGAATAGTTCATCCTTGCAGCGCGTCACATTCATTCACCTGTCATTTATTGGGCTTAGGACAGAACATGTTCACTTATGAGCATACAAAAGAAGCTGGTTCTCACTAATGTATACCATTTATCCTTGTGTAGGTACTTGTTTCCTGAAGGAGACAAAATGTCCAATGTACATTGTTATGAAAATCGCATATTAAGCATATTAGTATCACTCTAAAAAATTAAATGACCTCTAAATGAATTTAGTATGTTTTGTTTTTGTTGGTCACTTTTCAGGAAAATGTAATCTTTTTAGTAATTGTAATTCATAGCCTTAGCTAGATTAACAATATAGATATAACTGATTGGTTCTTAAATCAGTGGATCATTATTTGGATTAGGTTTTCTTTATAGCTACATGTAAGTACTAACAACGTTATTTGCATACTCGTATATGCAAGGGGTGGGCGTATGGTTCTCGGTAGGAAGTGACAATTTGGAGACCATAGCTTGCGGTATATACATTTTTACTGTATACAGATAGATATATACATACAAAAAACACCATGTGCAAGGTCAGCACATAGTGGTAGTGGTTGTTGTCTTGGTGCCCCCGACAACCCGGCTTAACCCTAGCTGGGCTAAGGGTAAGACACCTCAAGAATTTTCCTTGGTCTTCTTTTGCTTCTGTTTATAAATCAACATTAACTCTTTTTTCATATTCAACCAAACTTGAAAGGGATAGAATTGTGTTTGTACACTATTAGAATTGCTAACTAGTCGATACTGGCAGCTAGATTTGGACGGGGTGGCCAGGCTTGCTGATTTGGTTGATTACGTACGTGGGACGTTGCTCATAATATCAACCCCTGGTTGTCTAACCCAAACTCTATTTATAGCCACACGTGGGTAGTGCCCTTCAACTCAAGCCACTAGGTTTAAGGGCTATACCCACGCGATTAAGTGCTGAACTAGTGGTGACTGGCGTAAATAAAACCCAGTTCACTTTGCATGCTTCTTGTTCATCTTCGTGAACTTCTCCTCATTCGTTATCGTGATTCTAATATAACACAGCCGGGACAACTGGTGCCTGAACCGTATTACCAATATCTTGGGTCAGCCAACGACACAATCAGTACCCCGTACCGTAAATAATTTGATAGTTACAATAAAGTGTATTCTTGTATATAGCAAATTAGTCTATCATTTTAATAAGAAACTGTCGCTTCCTACAGTATTGTGAACCATATCCCTTGCCGCAAAGAGGTACAGGAAAGGACGGACTAGGAAGTCTGTCATACCCCGACTCGCCACCAAATTAGTATGGTTCTGTTCTGATGTTTAAAAACTTACAAATGGCGCCCTGGGTTTCTTGGGGGAATTAGTCAGCAAAGAGCCGGAGTCACAGGAGACTAATCACAATTTTGTTTAAGAGAACAATGAGCGATTTCTTAACTATAGTTGTGGATGCTGCAGAGTCGGTACAGCCCTCTGGGCCGTGGGTGAAAGGTATGCTTGGTTTGAGCGTAAAACCCCTTCTGCCTAACATTTTGCTTTTGTAAAACTAGAACAATAAAAGGAATATGATTGGTTTGTTGATACACATAGGGTGTGCCCTACTACGGTTAATGAATGGCTAGACAGAGGGGAATACCTAATCATGTTGGACTGGCACTAATATTGTTGACATATTTACTGGGTGCTTGGAAAGAGATCATGGTATCACAATGGACGAGCTTGTATGGGGCTAATCCTTAGTGAGTCTATATTGAAGTATTTGCTGAATGCTATTCTCGTATGTCTGGGAGATGGATTCTCGTTACCTTAGGCTAGTATCTATCTAAAAAGCTATAACTGAAACAACTAATATTTTGTATCTGCATTTTCCTGGATTAATATGTATTACTTGCTGTTCTATAATTGAAATAATATGAAAATTTGTACAAATGTTACACCATGATAAAAGCACTTGCTGTGGATCTAATTATTATATGAAAACCAAGTATAAATGTTATATCATGATAGTACATATGTGAAAACTAAAGTGATGTGGTAGTCAATTAAGCTCAAATACAATACCTAAATTCAGAAGATTACAAAACAATTATCAGGGTTAGAAACTAACAGTTTTCGTCCACTATTCCTTATAATGGTAACGTATAGCAAAACCCTATAGCAAATTTCTACGAGTCCTTATGATACCTTTACCACTGGGCAGTTTGGCTAGGACTAAAGGACAAGTGCCAATTTCTAACGCTGAATTATCATAATTGTTTGAATGAGATTTCTTAATTGGTGGAGTGATGGGTCAGTTAGGTAGTACTTCATTGAAACCTATAAAACGGCACTAGCAATAGTATAACCTGGTACCGGAAAACACATTCACCACCATAGCCCACCAGAACGACCCCACAGAGCTCCCAAAACATCTCATCGCTCAGCACCAGAGAATCTAGTTCACCATGGAGACCGAAACCAATGAACACCTTCAATTCCTAGACGTGTCCCCCCCACCCCACCCCAACCCCCCACCCCAACCACTTATGATGGACTAAGAACATCAGTGTACCGCAAGCCCAGACCACACAGACCAGTACATCCACTACAACTCCTGCCACCATCCCCAGATACAACAAATCATCATTGCCACCCTCACCCGACGTGCCAAAATCCATTTGACACCCTGATGCCCTCAACAGTGAATTGGACCACCTCAAGAAAACCTTCACGTCCCTCAACAGTTACCCTGCCAACCTAGTCTCCAAAACCATCCGTAAGACCCTCAAGAACTCTGATCCCAGACCCAAATCAGCCCCGTCGTCCATCAGAATCATCATACCCTACCAAGGCCCTGTCACGCAGATTTTCCGACCTCATCAAGAGCAAAACCAACATAGATGCCACCTTTTCTGGAGGCAATTCCCATCTACAAGCCAATGACAGAGGCACAAGCAGTGTAAGTCCCAACCCCTAAAGGATGTATATACCAGATCCCCTGCGACTGTGGCCACCAGTACATTGAAGAAACCTTGAACACCAGACTCAAAGAACATCTGTCAACAAACTAGACCTGAAATCCGCTATTTCCGAACACATCCTCAAGAACGAAGACCAGTACATCATGTGGGAAGCCACCAAAGTTCTGTCTACCAACAACAACTGGTGACAAAGAAAACTACAAGAAGCCATTGACATCAGGAGATACCAGCCAGCCATGACCTTTGAACATACCTGCCTAGTGCATGGGACTTTGATCTTTGTCAGTGCCAATTATCTAGCTGGCTTCTATTTGCCCATTGCTATTTCTATTCCTTTACCTATCAGTGCTATTACCCCCGGCCTCCCGTTTATCTATCAGTGCTTATATAGTCCTGGCTTCCATTTGTCCATAACTATCAGCGCTAATTACGTTCAGCGTTGGCCTCCATTGTTTGTTGCTAATCGCTTGTCAGCGCAAATTATCTGTTGACTTCCCTTGTTTACATATATATGCCTTCTGCCTCATATCATTCATGGAAGATTAGGACTTTTATCAGCTCTCTACTGACAACCTCTCGTCTCTCTCAACCCTCCACCTTTCTTCCCACCCCGACTGCGACATAGCCAGAGGCTGAAGCGGTCCAAACTCCAAACTCCAGTACATATCATTCATTCACTTGATGAAGGAGTAAGCATATCCTCCAAAACGTTGTGTTCATCATAACAAAGAAATTGACATCCAGAAATTCTCTTCCTTATGTGTATCACTTCTAAATGCCTTTCAAAGACTTGATTAAATTTGTTCACACATTTGATTTGAGTCGGCAGATCCGTAAACCAAGTCATAATAATGAATGCCTTATAGCCACAAAGGCTAAACAAAGGATCACTTTTATTTGTTTGAGTAAAGACAAAGCCTGGTCAATGAATGACCAGATTATTTTATGTGTGTCTAAGCAGCTTTTGCCAGGTTATTTATTATCATATATGTTTGTTTGTTGTTTGACGCGGCACTCAGCAATATTCCAGCTACATGACGGCGGTCTGTAAATAATTGAGTCTGGCCCAGACAATCCGGTGATCGATATCATGAGCATCGATCCACGCAATTGGGATCGAAGACATGCATCAACCAAGTCAGCGAACCTGACCACCCGATCCCATTAACCGCCTCTTACGACAAGCAGAGTCGCCTTTTACAGCAAGCATGGGTTGCTGAAGACCTATTCTACCTCGGATCTTCATGGACCCTTTTGCCAGGACTCTGGTACAGCTTGAGACCTACAGCGGGTACCTGGCTAGGGTCGGGTAATATGGGGTTGGGTACCTGGGTAGTAAATTTGGACTGGTCCTAGCCCTAAGAGTATGCAAATGATGATGTCCACTTCCACTATCTGATGTTGTATGGCCTTTGTTCCTCCAAAGGTCTCCTACACTTGGATAAAATATAAGAAGTTATGCAGGGAATAGTATCTAAACTGATTGCTATGATTCTGTTCTTTTTTGTTGAAAAGTACTTTGGTGCCGGTATCATGAATCAGTGAGTTAGTGATGAAATAGGTTCATTGTTTTTGTCTTCCTTTTGGCTCAACAGCCTGGGTAGCACACTAATTCAGCCAGGTTACAGCACAGTTGTCTCCCCTGGTAATCACCTGAATAATGTGAGCACCAACCACATAATGAGGTGAGGTGAAATTGGGTTTAACGTCGCGTCCAAGATTATTGCACTTATAAAGCGACGTGCATGCACGTGTATGTGTGTGTGTGGCTGCTTGTACTAGTCCGGACTGATGCCGATTTATAGTGCTAGTACACTGAGATACCATGCCGCAGTTTAACATGAATACCCCACTCAGACACAGTATACTGACTCCGAGCCGACCAGTCCTTGTTTTAGCCCCTTAATGCCGAGCGCCAGACAGGGTACCAACAAGTACAATCTTTTAACGTCTTTTTGTATGACGCGGCCCGGGATCGAACCCTGGACCTTCCGCTCTCCGGGCGGACGCTCTACCACTAGACCACGGAGGCGGTCACCACATAATGAGAGTATGACAACACACTGATCTAAGCCAGGTCACAGCAGAGTTCTCTCCCCTGTTGACCACCTGACTAATAAAAATAAAGTGTGATCATCAACCACATAATCAGGGTATAACATACTCATCTCAGCCAGGTCACAGCAGAGTTACCTCACCTGTTGGTCACCTGACTAATAGTGTGATCATCAACCACACAATCAGGGTATGACGACACACTAATCTCAGCCAGGTCATAGCAGAGTTCTCTCCCCTGTTGATCACCTGACTAATAGTGTGATCATCACCCACACAATCAGGGTATAACACACTAATTCAGCCAGGTCACAGCAGAGTTGCCTCCCCTGTTGGTCACCTGACTAATAGTGTAATCATCAACCACACGATCAGGGCATAACACACTAATTAAGCCAGGTCACAGCTGAGTTGTCTCCCCTGCTGGTCACCTGTCTGACAGTGTGAGCACCAACCACACTCTCTAATTCAGCTAGGTCACAGTTGTCTTGCTCTGTTGTCACAATTTAGCTGCATGCACAATTTTTCCCAAAGCAAATACATCGCAGCTGGCTCGTAACCCAACAAATTACATGTCAACAAAAACGCACTGTTATTGTATTGTTATTACATTATCTAATTATAAAAAGCGTTCAGTGTATTTCTGGCTTTAAGTTTTTAATCCATAATTAATTATATTAAAACATCTATTGAATATCGTGTAACGGGCGGAGACCCATCTTTAATAAGGATCTTTCACAGTTTCTCCTCCTAAACATAATAAACATATCAACGAATAACCTGGCGATGCATTCTGTTATAGAAGGCATCATAATGTTCGTCATCTGAATCGTCTTTATAAGTATGTGTGTGAAATAATAAGACACCCAGAAGAAAATGTTTTTATTGTAAAAATATAACAAAGTGGTTACAATAAAATATTGTACAACATTGTTATCTCGTGCTATACTATGGTTAACTCCACAAGTCTTACTAACACAGCACTAGCAAAAACAAATCACAGTAACAAGAAGATGCTGTTCTCATGTTCTCTTTCGTAGTTGATCAATGCATATACAAATAACACACAAGGTTCAAGCCAATTCTTGATTGTTCATTCACTCAGATCAATCTTTTTTACCATTCATAAACAACAAATTTGTTATTCTAATAGACCTGAGTGCCGTTGTACAAAGCGATCTTAGCGCTAAGGTAATTGTAACTCCCATACCTTAACACAGACTTACGACAGTCGTACCGCTAAGGTTTGTTTTGTACAAACCTGACCATAGCTGCTATAAACTGATTAGATGTTAAATTTGTTTAGGGCGACATAATCATGAATGTCATAAATTTCAATCTTGTAACTGGGTGTGGCAAGCTCTAGCACAGTGCCTTCACTGAACACCACAGTGTTACTGTAGCATGGCACAAGCGCCATCTGGTGGCACTGGAGTTTATGGAAGTAGGGCATTGTAAGGGGTTACTTTTGAGAAGACAAGGGAGATAACTCAATAGTGCTCTAGTTATATTTAATACTAGATATGTTCATGATTATGTTGAGTTATTAAATTCGGGTAATAAATACATATATCAGCGAATCTGTGGTCTGCATGTTCCATACAATTCCACATAAACCTTGTGAAAAACTACCAATCACACAATAGAATGACGTGACTTGAAACGTTCTAACTATTGGAACTCTTCTTTTGAGACAACAACACTCTTCCGCTGTGAAAGTATCTTTGCTCTTTTAACCTTTTTTCCACTGTATTTTAGAATTTGCTTTTTTATATTCTAGCACAGAAGCTATTGTTCCAAGATGTCTATGCGACATCATAAGAGGAGAGCTCTGAAAGGTTTTGGAGTGAGTGAGTGAGTGAGTGAGTGAGTGAGTGAGTGAGTGAGTGAGTGTGAGTGAGTATGGTTTTACATCGCTTTTAGCAATATTCCAGCAATATCACGGCAGGGGACACCAGAAATGGGCTTCACACATTGTACCCATGTCAGGAATTGAACGCGGGTCTTCTGCGTGACGAGAGAAAGCTTTAACCTTATGTCATCAAAATTATGTACAGAATCAGCAGGGCTCGATTTAGTTATATAAAACATGCTCCAGTGCAACCTACTATTGAAAAATGCAACCACGTATATGTCAAAATCCTCAAATTTGTCCACACAAGACTTTGTACTTTGAGAACTTTGTACACACTCAATACCTCTTAGCTTTATTTACCATATTACATCACTAATCCCTTTGTTATGTGTAATTCGGGGGCTTCGATATCATCCAACTGTGAGTACTTCAAGATCGAGTGTACATGTTTCAATATTTATAAATATATAGGACCAGGGTGCAACATGGTCTATCTGGTGCAATGAGGTTTTCATGTCAACATGCACCTGGTGCAAGTCAAATTGAGTTCCTTACATCTAGCCCTGGATCAGGTTAGAGATGTGCCCTATCTTGTATCAGCAAACAAAATATCTTGAGCAAAACATGTATGTTCCTTTTGGTGAATTGCGATGACAATCGGAATGTGTAAATTTTATCATAAAATAATATTACCCTGAAGTCTGCATCACGATGATTGTGTGGAATCCCTTCTAAATAGGCTACAGAAACATGGGAATATTCACTGATTTCTCCAGTCATTTTCAGAGGTTGATTTTTAGGTATCAAATCTACATAAACTGTCTAAAAGTACCAAAATTTTAATTAAAACTTTCCCTTTCCTTTTTTTCTGCTTCACAGGTTATGATTTGGAGCCCTGTAACCAAATAGACTTTCTCCTGTCAGGGACGTTTAATCATGATACAACCAATGTTTTACAAAGGAGTCTTGAATACTTAGGTTTTACATTGAATGCAATGTTAAAACATCTCTGAAATTAAAAAAGTAAGGCCTTTTACGAAATTCCCAATTCTAATCCCTAGATAAATTCCTGATATTGGTTCTGCTCTCCTGAAAACCCCTCAGCTGTCTCCCTTTGTAACCATTTTATTTTGGCAGCTTAAATTGTAACAATAGAAAAAACCCACACAACACAAATATTCCTTTGATGAAACTCCCTTTCGGGTCCATCTTCCCAAGGCAAGGGAGTTAACTGACTATAAAAGTCCAGTTTCCACCCTTGCTGAACTAGGCTGGAATTATAGAGTTCTATGCATAGTCCATAGTGTATGTAAATCAACATTCACTTCTTAAAAATGGTGACATCTGTATTGATTTCGTCCAACTGCAGGATTTTCACAGCATGTGTACCGTCAATTGGCTGTCTACAGATGTTTTCCAAATCTTTTCATGTGCTCAAGTGATTTGATGTTCATTCGTGAGGTAGGACCGTAATGGCGTAGCCTTTATCATTTACATTATGGAACCAGCCAATCAACTCTTATTTTCAATGTACAGAAATTAGATGTTTCGCTAATTGGTACCCAAAAATTTAAATTCTCAATGCTGATTGGTTGATCAGAAAGTCTCTTCTTCTAAGGGGCATTTATGCAGTGGGGTATCGTATCAGAATTAAAGGGTTGATATCAATAAGTTTGCGGGATCAGTGAAGCAGCAGGATCAGTGAAGCAGCAGGCTAGTCACTCTTTGGTCGGCGCCCGATGATCTTCTTCCTCTGTGTCAGCATGTGCATGTACAGCTGGGGGAACACTGTGGGGAGAAGCACATGTTACACAGGACCTAACATGGTGGGAAGTTACACAGGACCTAACATGGTGGGAGGTTACACAGGACCTAACATGGTGGAAGTTACACAGGACCTAACATGGTGGAAGTTACACAGGACCTAACATGGTGGGAAGTTACACAGAACCTAACATGGTGGGAGGTTACACAGGACCTAACATGGTGGGAGTACACAGGACCTAACATGGTGGGAGTACACAGGACCTAACATGGTGGGAGTACACAGGACCTAACATGGTGGGAGGTTACACAGGACCTAACATGGTGGGAGTACACAGGACCTAACATGGTGGGAGTACACAGGACCTAACATGGTGGGAGTACACAGGACCTAACATGGTGGGAGTACACAGGACCTAACATGGTGGGAAGTTACACAGGACCTAACATGGTGGAAGTTACACAGGACCTAACATGGTGGGAAGTTACACAGGACCTAATATGGTGGGAGTACACAGGACCTAACATGGTGGAAGTTACACAGGACACAACATGGTGGGAGGTTACACAGGACCTAACATGGTGGGAAGTTACACAGGACCTAACATGGTGGGAGTTACACAGGACCTAACATGGTGGGAAGTTACACAGGACCTAACATGGTGGGAGGTTACACAGGACCTAACATGGTGGAAGTTACACAGGACCTAACATGGTGGGAAGTTACACAGGACCTAACATGGTGGGAAGTTACACAGGACCTAACATGGTGGGAGGTTACACAGGACCTAACATGGTGGGAGGTTACACAGAACCTAACATGGTGGAAGTTACACAGGACCTAACATGGTGGAAGTTACACAGGACCTAACATGGTGGGAGGTTACACAGGACCTAACATGGTGGGAAGTTACACAGGACCTAACATGGTGGAAGTTACACAGGACCTAACATGGTGGGAAGTTACACAGGACCTAATATGGTGGGAGTACACAGGACCTAACATGGTGGAAGTTACACAGGACACAACATGGTGGGAGGTTACACAGGACCTAACATGGTGGGAAGTTACACAGGACCTAACATGGTGGGAGGTTACACAGGACCTAACATGGTGGAAGTTACACAGGACACAACATGGTGGAAGTTACACAGGACCTAACATGGTGGGAGGTTACACAGGACCTAACATGGTGGGAAGTTACACAGGACCTAACATGGTGGGAAGTTACACAGGACCTAACATGGTGGGAGGTTACACAGGACCTAACATGGTGGGAAGTTACACAGGACCTAACATGGTGGGAGGTTACACAGGACCTAACATGGTGGGAAGTTACACAGGACCTAACATGGTGGGAGGTTACAAAGGACCTAACATGGTGGAAGTTCCACAGGACCTAACATGGTGGGAGGTTACACAGGACCTAACATGGTGGGAAGTTACACAGGACCTAACATGGTGGGAGTACACAGGACCTAACATGGTGGGAAGTTACACAGGACCTAACATGGTGGGAGGTTACAGAGGACCTAACATGGTGGGAAGTTACACAGGACCTAACATGGTGGAAGGTTACACAGGACACAACATGGTGGGAAGTTACACAGGACCTAACATGGTGGAAGTTACACAGGACCTAACATGGTGGGAAGTTACACAGGACCTAACATGGTGGGAGGTTACACAGGACCTAACATGGTGGGAGGTTACACAGGACCTAACATGGTGGAAGTTACACAGGACACAACATGGTGGAAGTTACACAGGACCTAACATGGTGGGAGGTTACACAGGACCTAACATGGTGGGAGGTTACACAGGACCTAACATGGTGGGAAGTTACACAGGACCTAACATGGTGGGAGGTTACACAGGACCTAACATGGTGGGAGGTTACACAGGACCTAACATGGTGGGAAGTTACACAGGACCTAACATGGTGGGAAGTTACGCAGGACCCAACATGGTGGGAAGTTACACAGGACCTAACATGGTTGGAAGTTACACAGGACACAACATGGTGGAAGTTACACAGGACCTAACATGGTGGGAGGTTACACAGGACCTAACATGGTGGGAGGTTACACAGGACCTAACATGGTGGGAAGTTACGCAGGACCCAACATGGTGGGAAGTTACACAGGACCTAACATGGTGGGAGGTTGTGTCACCTGCACATAAGCCATAGTAAAATATAAAGAATAGCTATCCTGGAAAGGACTGGATAAGATAAGGGCCCACATATCAGATATGTTCATATGAGTGAGAACTAGACTTTGTTCATTTCAATTCGGGCATGTTTGGGGATAAATGTAGAAATTTACCTAAACATGATCTTAGCGGTTTTCATATAGGAAACATATATTTAATATTTGAACACGGGCAAGTCTTTGCCCCAAGCTGACTTTCTTAGGAGGCACAGATAAAGACAGTACATACATATGGTAAAACAGTAGTGCTGGGTCACAGGCTTGCTCATTGTTTTAGTTTATTTTGAAATTTGAAAAATTGCCTCTTTTCAATCATTTTGGCTATACTTATGTTCTTAAAGATGCCAGGAGTCAAACATTTTTATGCAACACTTTTAAAAGGCTTGTAGTCAACCATCTGAATACTTCTGACAATTTTCATACCTTTATTACAATGTTTTCTGTAACTTTAAATATTGGCCTTTCCACTGGGTCCATAATAGCCCTGATCCTACATGGAAGTTTACAAAACCTTCAAAGAATTTGATAATCTCGTTTTCCCTATCATTATGATGATAAAGATAGTCTGTTCAGAGTGCTTTAACTATAGGATCTGCTGTAGACATCGCTATCACATGGAGGCCATGTTACCTGGGATGTAGGCGAAGATGATGCACCAGAGGTAGTAGTAGTAGTTGAAGGACATGTTGAGTGTGTTTGGCAGCTCAAAACTGTACAGCTTCAGCTTCTCTGCATAGGGCAAGGCTGTCCAGATCGTCATCAGCTCTCCCTGCACAAAACAACAGGGGAGTCATGAGACACAACACAACAGGGGAGTCATGAGACACAACACAACAGGGGAGTCATGAGACACAACACAACAGGGGAGTCATGAGACACAACACAACAGGGGAGTCATGACACAACACAACAGGGGAGTCATGACACAACACAACAGGGGAGTCATGACACAACAGGGGAGTCATGAGACACAACACAACAGGGGAGTCATGAGACACAACACAACAGGGGAGTCATGAGACACAACACAACAGGGGAGTCATGAGACACAACACAACAGGGGAGTCATGACACAACACAACAGGGGAGTCATGACACAACAGGGGAGTCATGAGACACAACACAACAGGGGAGTCATTAGACAAAACAGCAGGGGAGTCATTAGACAAAACAACAGGGGAGTCATTAGACACAACACAACAGGGGAGTCATGAGACAACACAACAGGGGAGTCATGAGACAACACAACAGGGGAGTCATGACACAACACAACAGGGGAGTCATGACACAACACAACAGGGGAGTCATGAGACACAACACAACAGGGGAGTCATGACACAACACAACAGGGGAGTCATGACACAACACAACAGGGGAGTCATGACACAACACAACAGGGGAGTCATGACACAACACAACAGGGGAGTCATGACACAACACAACAGGGGAGTCATGAGACACAACACAACAGGGGAGTCATGACACAACACAACAGGGGAGTCATGACAACACAACATGGGAGTCATGAGACACAACAGGGGATTTATAATAAACAAAAGCTGGGGGAGTCATGAGAAACTCAACACAACAGGACCTATTTATGGCCTTTTTTATTTTTTTATATAACAAACACCTATTGTTTAATAACATTTACTTATTTTTGTTAATAAGATGTTTTATGAAATGTAAATTATTATAATAAAAAGAGGTCATTTCTGCATAATTTTAAATTCTGTTTCAGAAATTGATTAAGACTTTTTCTGTGGGAAATTGCAGATAGAATACATTAACAATGAAATACTGAAACCCCAAGTAGGTTGACCAGTACTTATCCGATATTTCAACATATGAATTCTGTCTTCACTGCTATAGTTATTTAAACATGTTAAAGGGCAAAGAGAACATTTTCTCTCATTTCCAACAGTACTTTGAAGAATTCTACTGGATATGAACTTACAGTGACTCCGATGGGATACAGCAGGATGAAGAATGTGTATCTGAAAGTACAACAAGACAGTGAGACAAGTCCTCAACCCAAGCTGCTTGTGAGGAGCTGGAATGTTAACAGTCACATCACCATCTCATCCCACCGGGTACCCATTCACTGCTAGGTGAACAGAGACAAGTTTTGAACAAAGTCACTCGCCCACTTACTCAATAGGTTTGTATACACAGCATTTCTCCATCACCCATGGTTACACACAGACGAAATACAGTGTTATGGAGACACATGTCTATTTTAAGTCAGGTAATGAGGTGAGGTGAAATAGGTATCAACATCACGTTCAAGATTATTGCACTTATATATAGCGATGTGAATGCACATGGACGTGTGTGTGGCTGCTTGTACTAGTCCTGACTAATGCAGATTTTATAGTGCTAGCCCACTGAGATACCATGCCACACTTGTGACATGAATGCTGACTCCGAGCCGAACACTCCTTGTTTTAGCCCCTTAATGCCGAACGACAGACAGGGTAACAACAAGTACCATCTTTTAATGTCTTCTGGTCTGACGTGGCCGGGGATCAAACCCTGGACTTTCCGCACTCCGGGCGTACGGTCGGCCACCAGATCACAGAGACGGTCAGTCTAGTAATGAAATGAGGCTATGAAATTACTCATTTTATTACAATCAATAACCGCCATATTGACGCCACCAGCACCAGCTCTCTCATCACTAACTTGGCACAGAATATTTTTGCAAATAACCTTGAAATCAACAAGCGCTTGATGTATTCAAAAGACTGTCATAAATAATATTTTAGCTGGAAAAGAGGTTTTCCAAGGTACTATACAGACAGGGGGAAAAGCCCTTATGCCACAAGATATTCTGGTTGTATTTGCACACAAAGTTGATAAACTGCTTGATTTAATCATGAAAGAGCAGTGTAATTTGATTGGACGTCTATATATAGCATCAATTCATTCAAACCGGTCTCAAAGCGTAGCTAGGGCTGCGATTGGGTCCAGGGTCTATATATACTACTCAAAAGAAGTTCATGGGAAGACAGATTAACTATAGTAATATGAAAGAATTGGGTGTTCTTTAACTTCTTTTGAGTGGTATATTAATAGAGTGGAGATACGATACCCTGGATAATTGAGGATGTAAACCTGTAAAGTATTCATAACGACAGACAATGAGTTTGATAAGTTGTTACATCTGTATCTCTGACACTGGATAGCATGCAACTTAATAGAGTGTTGTCTTACCTACACCACACCAGGAAATAGGGCACCTGACCCAACAAGCTAAAGAAATAGTATCCATAGCGAATAATCTCTGTGATGGACCAGGCAAAGATGAGAGCTGCAACACCATGGCCATTTTGAGCCTGTAACACAATCACACAAAACTGTAACATTTGTACTGAAACTGTGACATTTGTACTCAATTTGTGACATTTGTACTGAAACGATAGTTGTACTGCAACTGTAATATTTGTACTGAATTTGTAATATTTATACTGAATTTGTGACATTTGTACTGAAACTGTAATATTTGTACTGAATTCAAATATTTGTACTGAATTTGTGACATTTGTACTGAATTTGTGACATTTGTACTGAATTTGTGACATTTGTACTGAAACTGTAATATTTGTACTGAATTGGTAATATTTGAACTGAATTTGTAATATTTGTACTGAATTTGTGACATTTGTACTGAAACTGTAATATGTGTACTGAATTTGTAATATTTGTACTGAATTTGTGACATTTGTACTGAAACGGTAGTTGTACTGAAACTGACATTTGTACGGAGATTGTACTTATTGTTCTGAAACTCTGACATTTGTACTGAAATCGTAGCATCAATTCACAATAACACCTAACAAAATTGAGATAAAATATGTTAACTTGTTTACAAATTATTTATGTGCAATTACTATTTCGCTTCCAGCTACCATTGAACTTAGTTTTAAGCTTCATAGATATTTTTTCAAGACAGAAATGTTTAGTTTTACAAGATCAATAAAGTGGTTACATTACACTCTGACATGGCCGGGGATCAAACCCCGGACCTTCCGCTCTGAGGGCAGAAGCTCTACAACAAGACCACGGAGGTGGTCTAAGTCCTACTTACAACATCGATTAATAAAACAATGCACAGCCATCAAAAATCGTAATTGAAATTCTACGCAGTGTGTGTCTTTGCATCATACTTTCTGTATCACAGGGAAACGGTGTCAGGAGCTATAGTGACTTAGTCAAGCATTTATCTTATTGCGATTAAAGGCTGTACAAACAGAATTTTGTTGTTTGCTTATTTGACTTATTGAATTTTGCCACTGACTTATTACATTTCTTGGGTCAAAGTCATTGACCTATATACAGCTTTTCGTGTCAAAATCACAGTTTGTTTGTTTGTTGTTTAACGCCGCATTCAGCAATATTCCAGCTATATGACGGCGGTCTGTAAATAATCGAGTCTGGCCTAGACAATCCAGTGATTGACATCATGAGCATCGATCCACGCAATTGGGATACGATGACATGTATCAACCAAGTCAGCAAGCCTGACTACCTGTTAGTCGCCTCTTACGACAAGCAGAGTCGCGTCAAAATCACAGAAAAGGACTTACTTGTGGAAAAGAATGGATGACACCCCACAGCAAGAAGACTCTTGAGTACACCTGGAAGCCAGTCAGCATTACATTGGACTTAACAAAGCCAATAGCACAATGCAGGACCTGCAACAGAGAGTGAGAAAAGGAGTAAGATAATACAGACGCTTTTACTGAAAACAAAGCAGTGTAGATCCAGGTTAGAATTTGACTTCAGCACCCCATGCTTGTTGTAAGAAGCCACCAACAGGATCTGTTGGCAGGTTCGCTGACTTGGTTGATGAATGTCATCATATCCCAATTGCATAGATCGATGTTCATGATGTCAACCACTAGTTTGACTTGTCCAGATGTGATTATTTACAGATAGTTGTCGTATAGCTTGAATATTGTGGAGTAGGGTTTTCAACCACAAACAAACAAAACAAAAAGAAGGGGTACCGTATTTGACATAATAAAGCACCCCGCTCTAATAGGCGCCCACAGTGATATTTGCTAATATATTGGCTTGTGATCAAACCCAATTAGCACCCCTTCCGATTGATCAATGTACACAAGACTTATTTATTCTCGTATTATACGCACTCGTGTGCTATATGCACCCTTAATTATGGGCAAATAAATTCTGGAAAAATATATCGGTCGTATATAAACATTTCAGGCTGTCAGCATAAACCACGAAATTTATCTTTTAACTCTGTTTTTTTCACCAAAAGAATATTCTAATAATTACGTCGTTTACGGTATATCATTGCCAAATAACTATTATGAAAATAATCTTAGTTTCATCAATGTCTGAAGTTCTCTCTGAACTATGTCTGTTATCTATTGGACAGTCTGATAACATATTTTATCTGGCCCTCTTCGTCAAATTTATCGGAATATCAATAACCCAGGGCCCTTATTTACAGACAATACAACCTGTCTTAAAATGAAAATGTTTGGATTTTCAGAATTATCAAAAATATTTCATCAAGTAGATCTAGAATTACAAAGCATTTTATGTTTCTGCCCCAAAAGTCCTTCTGACAAACGTTACCTCTAGAACTGCAGCTGTCTGAAAGATCTTCAGAATTGGTTCCACTGCTCTGTACAGTCCATGTACATTCCCCGACACCGCATGAGAAACAGCAATCACAAACAGAATCAACCACCTGAATTATTAACAGATACTGGTTAAGAGTGCCAGCTGGATCTATGCATTAGAATCAAGTTTGCCAAACGGCCATAAGTATTGACAGCGGCTGAGAAAAACATTTTTGGATGCACTGTCATAATCACAGTATATTTTAGCATACCTTAGGGTTAGCTGTTTACCCAAGTGATTCATATAAGCAATATTTAATTCTAATGTTGGGTTAGGGTTAGGATAAGATTGCCCTAATCCAGGCAACACTGGAAGAAGGGGTTACCGGTGGAAAATGTGGCTGAGACGGGTAATTCGGGTTACGTGATATTAGGCCTGGGATGATACACCAATCATGCCAATTGTGCGATCCGATACGTATCACATTACCTTGCTCTCCATCCGATATGTATCACGATACTTGCATGTGCTCTTATCTATGGTGTGTAAGCCATCCTTTTCATAGACAGGATGTCCAAATACCTGGCACACTAGCGATTTACAGTTGGCAGTGTCAAGTATGGCACAATGGATAAAAATATTGATATTTTCACCAGTCATTTTCAGTAGTAATTAGTGTTTGGTGTAACAAATATTAAAGAATACATTTAAGGTAAGAATCTATACTTAAGTGTGATTCTGATCGATACTTGTATCAAGAAGTAAAACATTGTGATCTACCGATGCATCGGTGCATCGTCCCACTACTACATGATATATTGTTTAACGACAAAAATTATCTCGAACTCTATGAATACACTACCGGTCACAAATGTTTGCATTTCTTTCTGATTATTAACGCATTCCTTCTGACTTTATATTTTTGAATAAAGAAAGAGCTTCAATCATCTCCAAGGTAGGCATGACCAGATCATTTTATAGTGTACCTAAATACTTTTTGCCAGGGCTCTGGTTAAACAATTCCCAATCGGACATCTTGTATCCATCTCTTGGGACCTACAGTGGGTACCTGGGTAGGGACAGGTAATAGAGGGGGTGGATACCTCAGTAGTAAATTTGGACTCGTCCTAGCCTAGTACAGTACTGTTACTTCCAGTGTAGTACAGGAAAACCTTAACCCTTTTCTTTTGATATTTAATATAACAAAACAAGTCAAAAAAACATGTATTAAAGCTCCAAGGCATGCTGCAGATATTGTTTGATCTCTCACAAGTTTTGGATAATAAACACATATCATCAGATTGAAAAATGAAAATAATATTTTACAAATTCATACACTCAAAAAATATATCTAGATATTATGGAGTATTGTCCGAACATGGAATTTCAGTTATATCACACAATTTTACTGAAAGATGATTTTTTATACTGATGAATACAGTAGTCATTAAAGCGAATATCTTCTTCGACTAAACTATGAAGTCTCAGATGCGAAACCGGTTGATCGAAATCCGGACAACATGCCTCCTCAATGCTGTCCAAAGTCTAGATGTACGTGGGTAATAGATACAAATAAATAACATATTTACCCGAGCATCTGAGAGACATTGTAAGCAACTAGATAGGTTTTCACCAACGCAGACTCCCCCTTCTGTTCCTTGCGTTTACTTGATTCAGCTGCCATTTCTGTCACAACTTCCACCAACGGAGCATAAGCAAGTAATGTGACCTAGATTATCGCTGTGGGGAGCTTTGTTGGGGCATGACAAACCAATCAACTCGCCCCGTCGGTAACGCACTCAAGACATGTTGCCTTGGTACTCAATAAGCATATTTTCATAATACATTTCTGTATTTTTTAATTATTCATTGTCACAGACAATATGGAGACATTTTACAGTATCAAAATTCGATTTAGTTACGCTCTTTTCTTTATATACTGAGGGCAAAAGAAACTATATACTTTTCAGTGTGCTTAGTTGATTTTATCCTATGTTTGATTTTCATTTGAAAATATCATAAGTTAGCAATTTCTAAAAAGATTAACTGTTCTGGCGCTTTGTCAGCACTCAAAGAATACTTTTTTCATCTAATTGAAAATACAAGGGTTAATATACGTGCACTAATTTAATACAAACCGATTTCCCATATATCTGTTAACTTTGTTGGTTGTTTAACGCCACACTCAGTGATATTCCAACTATATGACGATGATCTGTAAATAACAATCCAGTATCTCAGTGAGCTAGCTCTATAAAATCGGCATTAGTCCGGAATAGTACAAGCACACACCACACACCACACACACACACACACACACACACACACACACACACACACACACACCATCGCTTTGAGCGCAATAATCTTGAACGCGACGTGACACCTCACCTACTTCTTTCTTAAAGTCACACACACACTCTCAGTCTTATCATATCTTCATACTCATTATAATCCACAATTGAGAAAAGAAATATGAATTGAGGGGCAAAAGAAAGTATACCGAGTTTTTTTGGTTATGTAATCGAAAATTGAAGGAACTGTTGTTAACTTGGATTATGTCTATTTATCCATTACTCATTCCTGCATCGGTTTGTAAACGGTAATCCGTGGCTGTGTGTTTTTGTGTAAGTTACTTAAATGAAGACTGGGGTAAGAAATGAATTTACAACCCCATGACCCCAACCGTTATTTTCAAAGATAAGATGTCCTGTAAGAAACCAAGTAGGTATTAGTGGGTGCATGAACGTGGTAACCATGACGTCACAATCAAATGACATCACTAATGGCTCTGCTACTGAAGCTGTTAGCAGTACTTTTTACACTGAAGCGATGCTAATTACTGTCTACAAATTGAAAAAGTTGGAAGAAGGATGTTAGATGATAAATAAAATCTCACCCTTGTGTCTTTTGATATCAAATATATCAACACTCGTTGATAAAAATGGCAAAAATCCTCGGCAAGCCTCGGAATATTTCCACTTTTATCAACTCGTGTTGATATATTTGATATCAAAAGACATTCGGGTGAGATTCTCTTTTTATCATCCAAAACTGCTTCCCACAGGAGATATCGCTTTGGTGAGAACAAGCGATATCTACACTGTAGATATCGCTGCAATAAAATTGCATCACAATGCTTTGCAGACCAATGTGACATCATTGGTTACCATGACGTCACAATCAAATGACATCACTAATGGATCTGCTACTGAAGCTGTAAGCATTACTTTTTACACTTTAGACACTGCTTATTACTGTCTACAAACTGAAAAAGTTGGAAGAATGATGATGGATGATAAATAGAATCTCACCTTCGTGTCTTTTGATACCAAATATATCAACACTCGTTGATAAAAGTGGAAAAACTCCTCGGCAAGCCTCGGTGTTTTTCCACTTTTATCAACTCGTGTTGATATATTTGATATCAAAAGACACGAGGCTGAGCTTCTCTATATCTCTACATCCGCATCTCTGGTTATTTAACAAATCAGTAGCAATGATTTTCCACGTCTGTATACGGATACTAAATAGCGGAATTAACTCAATGATTTAGCGAGTGGGTGAGTTGGTTTCTCCGCCGATATTAGCTTTATTCAGTCAATATGATGGCGGGGTACAACTGGAATTAGCCTTACAAAAGACCCTGCCTAGAGGGATTGCCGATTAAGGTAAAAACATATATTCTGAGACTCCGGGTTTGTATAGGCGCCAGTTTACCCCGTGCTAGGTAAGGCCAAGTCGTCCAAGGCGCCGCGATTCGCTGTGCAGAGTTGCGTCCCTTTGGTACGCCAGAAACCTATGATTGTGAGTTCGAATCCCTGTTCGCCCTAATTATGTTTCTAGGTATGTCAGCACCATACCCGTGCTCCTGGGTTTCACCTGTTACAGTTAAAAGCGGCGTTAAACCCAACTCACTCACTGTATTCATATGTGTATCCAATAGATGAAACCTCAATTGCTACAATTGCACATTATTCTAATCAAGTCTCGTGAAGCGTAATAAAATACACCCCAACCTCTGGTCATATCAAGGGAACTTGTGGACTCAATGTAGTATTTTGAGTGCACTGTGCTATGAGATACCCAATTTATTATGGATTATTCAATCCTAATCCCGCGACGAATAAAGAATGTCGGCTCATATACCCTAGCTATGCGGGTCATCCTACGCCGACGTCCTGGATATCGTTGGTCGTTATCAGCGACTGGTTTGCCTGATCCAAACTCGACTTGACGTGAATGCACATGTGTGTGTCTGCCTGCACCAGTCCGGACTGATGCCGATTTTATAGTGCTAGCTCACTGAGATACCATGCCGCACTTGTAACATGAACACCCTTCTCAGACACAGTTTACTAACTCCCAGCCGACCAGTCCTTGTTTTAGCCCCTTCATGCCGAGCGCCAGGCTGGTTAACAACAAGTACCATCTTTTAATAGTATCGAACCCCGTATCTTTCGCTCTCCGGGCGGACGCTCCACCACTAGACTACGGAGGTGGTCTCAAGGAGCAAGAAGCCCTGTAATGGCGTTGCAAACAATTAAAAGGTATCATCCATAAAAGCTTCATTTTCATCCAACTTGAATGCCGATGAAAGACTTCATTACATTTGATGATTAGGCTTAGTTTGTTTTAACCTCTATCTATTTACTGATAATATAAATTTGTTTTATTTTTGACTGAACTCATAAGAGTGAGTGAGTTGGGTTTAACGTCGCTTTTAACAGTATTCCAGTTATATCACGGCGTGTCAGCTTGATGTTCGAGGAAAGCCCGAAGTGATGCAGGTCTCAGACGTTTACCACTTCGGTGAAACCCACGAGCACAGGCATGGTGCTGATAAACCTAGGAACATAATTGGGGCGAACCGGGATTCGAACCCACAATCATAGGTTTCTGGCGTGCCCAAAGGACGCAACTCTGCACAGCGAATCGCGGCGCCTTAGACGACTGGGCCACCCGTGCCCCCGAACTCATAAGAAATAAACATATATTGCTGTCAATTATAATTACTTGTAGAAAAGACAATAAACATCTGTTTACATCATTGATCATAGGCGGACCCCCTACCGCACCCTTTTGAAAACCAAATGTAGTATGTTTAGGCAGTAAAATTGACAGAGAGAGGATTTTGATATTTTAGACCCCTCCCTTTGAAGAAAACTGGATCTGCCCTTGCTGACATTCAATATATTAATTGATAGGACAAATTTGAAAATGCCTGGGTTCAAAACCATCCCAATATTTATTCATTTATTAACCTATAAATTCAAAATTGCCCTTTCTATTTATCACGACCCTCCCCAAACTGTGCATGTTTACCCCAACGGGAAGTATGATACATATTCAATATCGATATGAATTACTTTTTCAAATGTTGCGAGCTACATTGACGCAATGAATTTTCTAACACGGCATTATACTCGAGTACAGCGCATGTTCAGTGCATTGAATATGTAACAGGCACCTGTCCGAACTATACTTTTTGTACGGTTGCGCACCCGTGAAATACGCCCTTACTCGCTGACACGAGATTTACGGGCACCCAGTTTTACTGCTTGTTGTTGACGACAAAGCTTGGTCACGTGATTCTCCCGGACAACGCAGGTGTTATGGTTCAAGACAAACCTCATTGATTGCTCTGAATATTTTATGGATAAGGGTGATTTTATGTTCAAGATGGATACCATTTAGGTGACAGAATCTAAGTGCCTATATTTCAGTTTCGTAACCTTGTTTCATCACCAGGACACAAAACGGCAAGATGAGCCACGTAGATGCAAGGTAAGAGACCCAAACTGTTCATTCGGTAGAAATATCTCCGTCCTCTACCGGTTAAATATCTGCGACGGCGGAATGTAGCGACGCAATGGCGGGTGTAATCACAAACACCACCCACTGTTCCAAAAAACTGGCGACAAATAAAAGAACGGAATATAAAACAGCTGACAATAATCAGAAACACACATAAATTTCGTCCAGATAAAGAATGAATTGATGATTAATTCAACCGTAGGCGTTGGTCTCACGACCTACTTCAATGACAGATAGATCTAATGTTATGGTTTCCCCGAACAAGTCAAACAGTGGGAGATTTTGCTGTAAAACTACAGGTTCACAGTGTTCTGTTTATCCAACAGATCAAACACTTAAAGCTTGTACAGGTTTATGTCCTAATAAATGTCTCCTTTGGGGTAACCCTGCTTACTGTTACATAATATAACTAACGTCTTTGTACACATTCGTATATGAATTGGTAGAGAAATTTCATATGAATTTGTTTTCACAAATCATACTGAACCTGTGGTATTTAGGTTTAAAACTACTCTAAACATTTAAGGTGAATCACTTTGACAGGACCCGTGAAGATCCCGGCTAGAATAGGTCTTCAGCAACCCATGCTTGCCATTACAGGCAACTATGCTTATCGTAAGAGGTGACTAACAGGATCGGGTGGTCAGGCTTGCTGACTTGGTTGATGCATGATGATATCAGTCAATTGATTGTCTGGTCCAGACTTGATTATTTACAGACCGTCGTCATAGAGCTGGAATATTGCTGAGTGTGGCATTAAACAACAACAAACAAACACTTTGACAGTTGACACATGGAAAGCTGTTTATAGGATGACTCCAAACCAATGTACATATCTGAATTTCCCAAGTTAATATAACATAATTGTAGATATTTATGTGTACAAAGTAAGAATTTTTTTATGTGCAATTATTATTATTTTTTTCAAACAGTATCAGCTATACGTTGACTGCCTAGGATCCAAATTTTAGCTACATGTAATGCTATGCTTTTATTCAACATTCACTGGTTGTTTATACACCGCTACAATTCACACGTTTTCGGATTTTGCATCGGCCTTCACATGCTCTGTCAAAGTGTTCATTACAGATATTGTGTGGTTATTTTTAACCCTTTTGTTCCCAAACCATACATCTTTAAGTACACCAATTATTATGATTGAAAACCAGAGGCAAGGTTTGGCTATCTAGGTCAAATATAGAGACTCACAAAATTTCAAGCCCATTGACATCCCCGAAACTTGCAATACTTTTTTTCCATTGGTCAATTTCTGTTGTATTTTCTGCCTAAAATGTATTGTCAAACATTCTTTGAATATTGCAGCAAGTACAACACTGCATCTTGTCACCTACTATTGTACATTTTATTATTTCAAAATGCCTGTTGACAATTATTGAGAAAGAATTTTTTATAAATATAGCTTCCGCTGTGTATATGGCTGTCAAATCAGCTGTTTCGATCAGAGGTGGTTACTGTTATTTGAAACCTCTCAATGACCAATCAGAATTGAGTATTATCCACATTCATGGTAGAATTATGTCTGTGATCACTTTAATTTCACAAACTTATTACAACATCCAGACTTTATTCATCTACTTGTTTTACACTGATGTACAATTAGTATTAAATTGTGAGAAGTCTTTATGTCTTTCCCACCACATCTAATTTCAGTAACATAAACTTCAAAGTAGGTCAGGGAGAAAGGTAACCCCTTGACTATTACCATATTCGGCGTAGTAAACACATCGCTCTAACAAGCGCCCATGGCGATATTTGCTAATATATTGGCTAGTGAACAATCCCAATTAGCACCCCTTCCTATTGATCAATGTACACAATACTTATTTATTTGTGTATAATACTCACTCGTGTCTATTATGAACCCTTAATTATGGGCAATTAAATTCTGGAAAATATATCTGTTGTGCATGATACGCACATACTTTTCTTTTGTATCATTTCAGGCTGTCAGCATAAAGTACGAAATTTACAATCTTTCAACTCTGTTTTTTTTTCTCTCACTTAAATTATATTCTAATAAGAGCCCCCTATTTCTAATTTTGAGCGCACCCTAGGCGCTTATTGCGTCAAATACAGTATTAAAAAAACTTTCTTTCTTTTAAATTGTTTCTTTATTTCATCCACTGACAATACTTTACAGGCATTACTAAGATTTGTTTTCAAAATTTATTTTCTTATTTCAACCACGAACCTTGCTTAGTATTTAAAAAAAAGGTTCTGACATTTCAAAACAATATTTGGGTGGAAATTGTACAAGAGCCACACACATGCAGTGCAAGTCTTAATCTTTACCTTGACAAAGGGGAGTTATTTTATATTTTAATCAGAAAAGTATGTTTTTCTACTTTTTTTCAAATTGAAATTTTAGTGCAACAATATTGTTGTCTTCATCTGTTTATATTAAGAATGTAAAACACTACAAAGACTTATCATTCAACATTTAAATTTAAGTGTGTCCATGTCCTACTGTCATCATTTAAAGTGTGCATGACATTGTGTTTCAGTCAACTCTCGGCTTACAACAGCCTAAGTGACAAGCACCTGGCTGGCTACTTCGCCAACACCAAGATGCGCGGACATCTGCGGAAATCGGGGCTGGTTCGTAGTCCTTTTTTTTACTTTGAGACATTCAACATCATTTTCATCGTTAATATCATATTACTTCCTATAATTAGAATCATTGCTGTGTTGATATAAATGCTGAGGGAATTTTGTAAACATGGTCAAAGAAATTGAAGTTTAAAATATGTATAACAGAATGTTTTTTTCTGTTCAAGTGACACATTTTGATATGATCTTTCAGAAATGTCCATCTCGTCAAAATTTTAAATGCAGTGCAATTCAATTAATATTGATGATATTGTTCCGAGGAAAATATACTTTCGAATAAATGAAAAAAGTAGTTTCCAGATAAAACTGGGTTTGGTTTAATAAGGTTTCTGGGTGATGAACAAATTTTACCAGAGTGACTTTGTCACAATAATTGAATGTATTTTTTCCTCCAGATCACCCGACGCGGGCAGATTGTTACGGAGACGAGCTACCGCTTAAACATAGCACGCAAAGAACACAAGAAGCATGTGAAGGATCTTCTGGCTCAGGCCATTGTCCACAAGACCCTGGACCTGGAGCGACATCGCCAAGTGGCTATCAGACAGAAACTGGAGGAGATAGCCAAGATTGAGCTGGTGCAGAGAGTCAGGGTAGGTGTCGCAGGAGAGGTGTTGCAAAATAGGTGTCCTAAAACATGTATCCATAATAATGTCTGACAATATGTATCATGCTAATGTTTGAAATATGTGTCATGAAATGTGTCTTGCAATAGGTGTCACAAGGGACATGTACTAGAAGCGATGCGCTTCCCAAAGGATGCTATGGCAGTGAATATGTATTTATGATTCATAAAATGCCAGGCAAAAGAAAGCATATACTTGAAATTAAGATTTGAACAAAACCTTACAAATGTTATTAAAAATGTTGCTAGACTGAAAACAGTTTGCCAATACACTGGACAAATGGAAGAAACACCAAGACACAACGATGATACCCGTATCAATTATACTCCACTGAATAACCACTTCTTGTAGGGCTGGGACGGGTAACTCGGGTACTCGGGTCGGGTGGGTCCTGAGAAGGACCCGGGTACACACACTACTACCCAGACCCATGGTTAGTCACGTGATAAATTGTTTAATGACAAAAAATCACAATAGCTCAGTGGTAACATTACAAGTCGCTAATGTTCACATTTCTTTCTGATGATGCACACATTCCTTTTAACTTGTATATGTTTGAGTAAAGATAACGCTTCAGTCATCTTCAGTGTACACATGATCTGATTGTTTGATACGAGCATGTAAATAGTTATTACCAGGGCTGCGGTAAAACAATTCCCAATCAGACATTTTGTACCAACTCTTGAGACCTAAAGTGGGTACCCAGGTAGGGTCAGGTAATAGGGGTCGGGTACCTGGGTATTTAATTTGGACTCATCCCAGCCCTAGTTTCTTGATTGTTTCATTTTTGCTACCATCTAACATGGGTGTTTACTTTCTTTTGCCTGGCAGTTTATGTTTTGGAGGAATACTACTCTCGCTAGTCGAGGATGAAAACCAATGACATGCGATACAAGTAACTTGAAACCAATCCATATGTTTCTAAATGTATGATATATGTTCTAACCTTTTGTTCAATGTACATATTTCACAAAATAACTGAGTATTGTGGGACACCAGGGTGAAAGGAATTGCCATGCAGTAGACGAAGCTCTCCTGCCCCTGATCACAGGGAGTCCGCGGGAGAAGGATGCCCCCTATAAGCGCCATACCCGATCTCGATCTGAGGGTAAAAGGGACAGGAGTGATTCTCCTCGTTCCCAAGGCCATCGAACCCCCACCCCCCGTTCTGGGGGGTATGCTGAGAACGAACTGCTTATTGAAGAGCGGGTACACACACATACCTAACTTGTGTAGCATGCAATTAACCTAGCACCTCTTCATAGCAGCTATAGTCTTGCTAGACCAGGCCATCAAATATTTTTTCATGGTTCAGTTATGATAGAAGCCTACTTGAATTTTTTTTTTTTTAAGTTGATAAAATCTTTAACATTTTGTTTTGAAAATAATGGGAAGTGTTAATAAGGTTGAAAACTAACTTTTTTTTCTTTCAATCACTTGCAAGATTTTTACTTTTGACATGTTCATATCAGAACAAAGGCCAAGATGAACAAAAAAGGCAATTTTTCAAATTATTGGAAAATATATTAATAGGAGTAAGTCTGTGGTTAAAGATGAATTTTTCACCATATTATACCAACTTTGCTTTCATCTTTTAGGAAGTCAAAGACTTGCTCATGTCCAAGTATTGGAAAAGCCCTCATAAAAATGCCCACAAAATGTGCCTTTTTGACATATATTTTAGCATTACCTTTCAACTGCTGTTGTTGAAAGTCCAGAACATGAAACAAAATGTCATTTGAGGTCATATGAACAATTCTGTTGATATTGATAACTATGTCAAAAGGTTTTCATTATTTCTTGATGTTGGCGCTTCTTGTCCCCCAAAACAGGTGCATATCATACCTCATACTTTTTATGTACTTATGAAATCTTATTTATCTCAAGAGAGTTGATAAGAGATGTTGTAGTTGAGTGATTGCTGTATATTCTGATGGTATGGTATTCAAGAAGGACGATAGCTGCTGTGTTGATGTTGTGAAATTAACGTGACAGTTTGCCTTTTTGCAGTGAGCTACTTTTCACATTGTGGAGTTGATAGACAGCTATAGACGCAGCCAGCTGCCATATATTTGCTATACATGAATGCATTCAATATCAATGATAAGCCATCTCATCACTCGTTAGATTGTTTACTAAAGATCTTTTCAAATCCATTTAGAATAGGTAAATCCATTTCTGTTCACATACTTGGTTAAGGCAAAAATATATTCTTAGCTATCAATAAAATATTGAATCAGGTATGTGTATTCTGATGTATGTATCGCCTCGTTTTAAATGGGCTGATTGTCTAAGAAACAGTTATATTATTCTAATCGGATCTGACATAAGGTTATTCAAGAAATAGCAGAATGTTGCCAATGGTGTATTGTCATATAAAAAACTGAAGAAAAAACTGACTGTGAATGGGATGAGGGGTGGGATGGAAGTGAATGTTTTAATAAATATATACTCTTGGGTTTGTAAGAGAGGCTGATCTCCATGTTGACATGTCTATTTGACTAAAGCAATTACCTGGTGGAATTGGTCTATTACAATCGTTCAACATTATATTATTCTGTAGAGTTTAGGGCAGAACAAGTTTTCTTCTGCTGCAGATTTTGAGAAATAATATAATAATATTAATATTGTCTACTGTTGGAATTCTGCTTATATCATCCCCTACTTGTTAACAAGTCAAGATTTAAGGAAATAAAACAATAGCCATGTGTTATTAATTTTACTGAATTGTTATCTTCACCCTTCCCCAACTTGATAGTAAATGTTGTTCCTTTAAAAGTATAGATCATTAGGTAGAGTTTGCTTTACAATCTTGTAGGTTAGACAAGCAATTAGTAATTTGACCCATGCACTAGCATCAACCTAACAACATTCCTACAAATGTTAGCATCCTAGTAGACACTGTAGAAGGTAGAGCAGTTGAGATATTCCATGTCCTTTATCTCTCATGTCATGTCATCATCAGTGATCAACATCATTACAGATATGTATCAGCAGTCCAGAGAACGTGAACCTTGATACAGTGTGTATCATGATACGTAGATGCCACAGCTAGTGTACCAGCCTATATCTTAGGTTGTTAGGAAATACACAATGTATGACAGACAGGCAGGTATCAATGTTTTAGGCCAAGAAAAAAAATCCTTTGTTTCTTTTTTTTTGTACCTTCAAAACAACAATGATAAAGAACTTCAGATTTATAACAAGGTCCACTTCTTCTAAAAATACCTATTGTTTTCCCTTTCTTCGGGGCATATTGAGTCTATGTACTGTGATACTGTCACCAGGGACCATTGGGGTGCCCAAGGGCTGCAAAACACCATAGCTTTCTATGTTATTTCAGTGTAACAAAATTTAAGATCATACTTGCTTTTACGGATGCACTGTCATCATGTTTGAGCAGATGATTGGGTATTAAATCACCTCCATGTGCCTTGGCATTATTTCAAAGTATTTGATACTTGGAGCAATTTGTGTGAAGCAGGTGCACATCAAGGCAGATCACTCTACAGTGACATGGAAAGAAATAGCACTTTGCCGGTGTAGTAGGCCTTGAATGGATCACACTTCACATGTGTTTTAGTCAGGGAACATGGAAATTACACACATATTTGACTGGATTGTTTCCAGTGTTAGGTATCTTTAAGAGTGAAACGACACATCGGTTCTCCGTTGCATTGTGAGTTTTAATACGACAATGCGACACGTGATACGTTTCTTTGAGTATTCATACAAGACAAATCACTTGCTAAAATAAAATACTAACTTTCTACTCGTTTAATGACCCCAGTGTTTTTGTCAGTCAAATATCACAAGATGTGTTGTAAATAGTGTTTCAAGTTCACTACTTAAAATAGCTGCTACGAACATGTGTCTACAGCTAACCTTTCCTTGGGAACCTGCTCTGAAATTTGTATGGCCGCGAAATGTCCCTGCAGTTTGATAATTACATGCGTATATATCGCAATACGTATCATACCGTGACCTATGTTGTGTGACCTTGCTCTATCGTTTCACCCCATATCGATCTCCATCCCAACTGTATTCAGTTTGGGTATAGAAATATGCATCTTCCCGAGGCAAGAGAGTTAACTGACTATAAAAGTCCAGTTTCCACCCTTGCCGAACTAGGCTGGTATTATGGAGTTACATTTTGGCTGGGGTAACGAGTCAATGCATAGTCCAATCAAAATCGTGCAATGAAATTGAAAACTGGTTCGTAAACTGTCGTGCAGATTTCGGTCGATTGCAGGATTTGCAAAGCATGTGCACCGCCAACTTGTTGTCAACAGATATTTTTCAAATCATTTCATGTTTTTAATCAAGGTGCTCACGTGATTTGATGCACTTTGCGATGTAAAACCCGTTTTATCACAATAATGATCTTCATTATCAATCAGATACAAGTGATACGAGCGGTGGAATCTGATTGGTCCATGGGAAAGGTTTAGAAGGGACATAACTAGTAATAAATACTGGTGGCGCTACGATGGAGCCCAGGAATTCCAGCCTAGTTCGGCAAAGGTGGAAACTGGACTTTTAAAGTCAGTTAACTCTCTTGCCTCGGGAAGATGAGAAATATGTGAATGGAAAGTGTTTTGACACACTGACAGCAGAGGTGTAGGGCTGGAGCAGTATGTGGAAATATACACCTGAAAATAAGTTAAGCACCACCCCTTCCATATTCATCAAGAACTTCCATTCATTGTTAGGGAATATCTGCATATAACATTTATTTGGCTTTGATCAATGTCTAAGATGCCACCAATACCTTGGAACAGTTGGTACAAGATCACTGTATGTTTCCCCAGAGGGTCGTCCACACTGAGTCGTATCCTATGATGCAGAGAAGCAGGGGAAACAGTTGAAATGCAGTCAAGTAACAATCACCATGGAAAATTTAAAAACCTGTCATTACATAATTAATTGCAATTTTTCCGAATGAGTATGTTACTTTATAATCAAAAAGAAGTTTGATTTGTCAAGACAATTAATACAGGACATGATTTAAACATTTTGGCTATTTTATATGGAAATATGGAGTGGGTGGTGCTTAAGCTATTTCCAGATGTATAATCCTTGGCTGAACAGTACATGTACCATTCTAATGAAGTTTTTCTGTAGCACTCAACAAACACCAACAGCTCTCATCACAGATCGGACCGCCATTATGGCCTCACAAGCCGTCACCATACGTAGTCATCATCATCATCATCACTATCATGCACTATCCATGCTATCCTTGTAGACACAGCGTGTTCGGAGGAGCGATGAGGATATCTTGCCTTTCCTATCCCCTCGCTCTAGTCGGCCCCAGTCAGGGCCCTCGCCACGCCCCCACCGCCACCGCTCGGGGAAGTACCGCCCCATCAGTGCACCCTCTAATATGCCTGATACTAACTCGTCAGTGTATGAATCCAATGATGAGGATGCTGATGTGAGTTTTCATAACATCATAACATTTTCACATTTTGCCATGCTGTGTTATTCACTGAGTTAGTTACTGCTAATTTAGCTAGCTAAATGCTTATTGGATCTTATTGATTTATTGTTTGAATTTAGATCAATAGTTTGAAATAGATCAATTGTAATATGTGATGTTAAATATGGATGCTATTGCCATGGCAATTGTCATTTTATATGAGGCTAGATGTTCAGCATATCTTTATTATTGTAAGAAAATGTCAACTATTAAAATGTAATCATACAAATAAATCTTATGAATTTTGCAGAATATTGTTATGAAAGTTCTGCAGGAAAAATTCTATTTTTTGAAAGAAGGCAGCTAAAACAGGGTCTGTTACATTTATAATAATTTAGATTTGTGATTGTAAAATTTTAATTTATTGGCCCAGAAATAAGGATCCAGTAATTTATTTCTTAGATAACCCTTTACTAGACACACACAAAATAAATTAATATTATGATAACAGAAGCATTTCATTGATAAATACTTTTGTCAAAGACATTCTGCAAATTTATGACATCCTCTATGTAGGTCATCTATGTTGATGACGATGGCAACACGATCGACATGTCGGACTGTGAGCAGCCCCTTGTAAGATCTGGACGTAGCAGAACTCCACGCAGCAGGGAGGAGATTGATGCCAGACACCTCTACTCTGTAAGGAACTTGCTGTGCTGGGTTCATCCAACCTTAGAATAAGTATTATGATAACAGATGACAAAGATTCCTAGATTCAACAATAGATTGCTTGGGAAGGTGTTAGTGATTCAAGGGAAGACCCTTGTTGGATATTAATTTAAAAAATAAAGCCTATATCCATGTGGCTTTTCAAACAAGGTGTAATTTTGGAAAACTAAATGAATTACAATGTTTTTAGTTGGTTAATATTCCTATCAATTGTTATTCCCTTAATTGCGGTGCTGTATTGTATTTTCTCATCCGTTCGGTGATCATGTGACAAAGGACACACTTGAGGATAAAATGGCTACTGTCAAATTCAGTGTCGGGTATAACAATGACACATTGGTAAATTGCAAAGTTGACATCACCCTGATGATCAGCTGGGTATTGACAGAGTCAAGTGCTATGCAGATAGATTGGATCTTTTCCCACGTCTGCTACAGAATGGAGGTCATTTTGTAAGGATGGCGTATCCTGTCCTGTGACTAGCAACAGGAGAAATTGCAGATTTCATGGACCGTGATATGGACTATTGCTGTGGTGTGAAATGACTGCAGATGGCCTGATAGGATGTGACGTAATCATCATCCACTTCGTGTTTCAGCTGAACCCACTTGCCCTGCGGCGTTATGCGACTGCTCTGGCGAAGATGGAGCAGACAAACACCTTGGCCTCCCCATATCTGATTCCACAGATACCCATCCCCCCCTCCTCCCCCCGCACTGGCCCTGCCCGACATCGCAGCGCTGGAAACAGGGGGCGCTCTACCAGCAGCGATAAGTCACCCAAACGGAGTGTATGTTTTTCATTTAGTTATACTTAATACTTACAATTACGTTAAATGAAAGAAAATATTATGTTAAATACTGGGATGAGCTTTGTATTCAAGCAAATTTAATAATTTAAAAAATGTGTTAGATTGGTTGTGTTGTTTTATCACAATCTCATTAAAATCAGATCTCATTACGGGTCACGTCAGAAAGATTTCTCGCGAACTTTGACCGATCAATGAAATGACTGACAAGAAATCGACATTAGCAAATCAGAAGGCAGCTTTCTCGATCTTTACGACACTAGTTTCAAACTGGCGACTACGCTTCAAAACATATTTTGACGTATTCCCGGTTAAAATTTTTAAAACTGATAAAAAGAACATTCTGGAATGGCTTACAGATGGCCTAGATTGTATGGATATAATCATAAAACCCGTAACTGTCGTTCGGAATACCCTCTGTTAAATATTTCGAGGTTGCATGATTAGAAAACACATTCTGTCTGTCACTTTCCTGATCTGGTAAGTGACACTCTGATTGGTTGGATGAAAGGTCGTTCTGAGGTGACCCGTAATGGGATGTCCTCAGATCTTTGTTCAGCGATAGTGAGTACTAAGATCTGATTTTAATGAGATTGGTTTTATCAGGATTTTAGATCGGTTCATTTTCTCATTGGCTGATTGTCCTGAAGGTTTGTTTTAAGAATTTGGTGATGATGTAGAAGAATGTTTTTGCTGATGTTGGTGATGGTTTTGCTGATGATGTCACTTCTTGCAGCCTGGGGTTGACCTGCACCGGAGAGAGCCGGCAATGAGACACCAGGGGGACATCCACTCGAACTGTGAGGTGACCATGAAGTTCCATGGCTGGGCTCTCAAACTTGCTCGAGAGAGAACCGACAACCGGCACGATGTCAGCGTGGAGCAGCAACATTGTGGGGGCAACACCCTGACTGTGTTCAAGGGCCTCATTGAGCCTGGAAGTGAGTATGAGGGTCTCATTGAGCCTGGAAGTGAGTATGAGGGTCTCATTGATCCAGGAAGTGAGTATAAGGGTCTCATTGAGCCAGGAAGTGAGTATGAGGGTCTCATTGAGCCAGGTAGTGAGTATAAGGGTCTCATTGAGCCAGGAAGTGAGTATGAGGGTCTCATTGAGCCAGGTAGTGAGTATAAGGGTCTCATTGAGCCAGGAAGTGAGTATGAGGGTCTCATTGAGCCAGGGAGTGAGTATAAGGGTCTCATTAAGCCAGGAAGTGAGTATGAGGGTCTCATTGAGCCTGGAAGTGAGTATGAGGGTCTCATTGATCCAGGTAGTGAGTATAAGGGTCTCATTGAGCCAGGAAGTGAGTATGAGGGTCTCATTGAGCCAGGGAGTGAGTATAAGGGTCTCATTAAGCCAGGAAGTGAGTATGAGGGTCTCATTGAGCCAGAAATGAGTATAAGGGTCTCATTGAGCCAGGAAGTGAGTATGAGGGTCTCATTGAGCCAGGGAGTGAGTAAAAGGGTCTCATTAAGCCAGGAAGTGAGTATGAGGGTCTCATTGAGCCTGGAAGTGAGTATGAGGGTCTCATTGATCCAGGTAGTGAGTATAAGGGTCTCATTGAGCCAGGAAGTGAGTATGAGGGTCTCATTGAGCCAGGGAGTGAGTATAAGGGTCTCATTAAGCCAGGAAGTGAGTATGAGGGTCTCATTGAGCCAGAAATGAGTATAAGGGTCTCATTGAGCCAGGAAGTGAGTATGAGGGTCTCATTGAGCCAGGTAGTGAGTATGAGGGTCTCATTGAGCCAGGAAGTGATTATAAGGGTCTCATTGAGCCAGGAAATGAGCATAAGGGTCTCATTGAGCCAGGTAGTGAGTATATGGGTCTTATTGAGTCAGGGAGTGAGTATAAGGGTCTCATTGAGCCAGGAAATGAGTATATGGGTCTCATTGAGCCAGGAAGTGAGTATATGGGTCTTATTGAGTCAGGAAGTGAGTATAAAGGTGTCTCTGACAGTGTTAAGAGGCTTCACTGAGAGCACATGTAGTATAAGGTGACAATAAGTTTATACAAACATGTCCAGCCTTGCATTCATTGTCTCCAGGCAAGTTCAGCTTCACATCAAAGCGTCACCGGGGCTACCCATTCAGTCTGACGTTGTACGTAGATGGCCGGCAAGATGCAAGGGTCAGCACGTGTTGTGAGTTCGGCCACTCCAAGAAAGTCCGACTCGGGGCCAAGCAAGGTCACTTCAGCTTTGTTGTCATCAAAGGCATGAATCCCTGCTACAAGTGAGTCTTGCTTGCCATTTTTTTAAAATGCAGGTGACAGTTCCTCAAAGAAGGATTCTTTAGTGAGAGCATTTCTTGACTATAAATCTACCTATATCAAAAAGACAGTAATAAGTATTTTGAAGGCCGAGGTCACCCTGTAAAAGCTGACACATTAAATGGAGATCTATCCTGTTAGTCCTCCATGGAGTATTGCGACAGAGCGTGTCTCTACACATCTTCCCGAGGCAAGAGAGTTAACTGACTTTAAAAGTCCAGTTTCCACCCTTGCCGAACTAGGCTGGAATTCCTGGGCTCGATCGTAGCGCCACCAGTGGCTATTGCGAGTTATGTCCTTTCTATGCCTCTCCTACTGACCAATCAGATTCAACCTCTCGTATCACTTGCATTTGTTTCAAACAAAACGGTGGCGCCAAGTCAAGACAATATGATCGATAATCAAGATCTATATTGTGATAAAACAAGTCTTACATCGCGAAGTGCATCAAATCACGTGAGCACCTTGATTAAAAACATGAATAGATTTAGAAACTATCTGTTGACGAGTTTGCGGTGCAAATGCTTTGCAAATGCTTTGCAAATGCTGCAGTCAACCGAAATCTGCATGACACTTTACGAACCGGATTTCGATTTCGGTGTGCGATTTTGATTGGACTATGCATAGACTCGTTTGTCCAGCCAAAATGTAACTCCATAATACCAGCCTAGTTCGGCAAGGGCTGAAACTGGACTTTTATAGTCAGTTAACCCACTTGCCTCGGGAAGATGGTCTCTACAAACCCTGAACATGTAATGAGACCTGTCACGGCTTTTGATGGACACAAAATGTTGCTTCCTATATGCATGACCCATGAAGATCCGGGATAGAATAGGTACCCATGCTTGCTGTAAAAGGCGATCAGGTGGTCAGACTCGCTGATGCTCAGGATGTCAATCACTGGATTGTCTTTTCCAGACTTGACTATTTGCAGACCGCCACCATATAGCTAGAATACTGCTGAGTACAGCGTTAAACAACAAATATACAAACAAACGAATCCTATAGCCGTACAGATTAAAAATGGAGGCAAATATTGTCAACAATGTTTAGTTCCACATGAACAAATATTGTCAGTGTAAATGTATGACAGAAAAAAGTTCCTAGTAAAAACTGTTCAATAGGAATAATTCCCTAGAACAAGAACTCTTTGACAATATTTTATATTTTTTAGTCCCTTGGATGCGAAAGAGTGTGGCTGTTTGAATCATTAAGCTGATCAACATCGTAGATTGCATTTACATATAACCCACATATCTGCTCTGGAATGAAATACAGTCTAGTTCAGGGTGTCCGTGGTTGAAGGCTGTTGTGATCTCTCCTACACCCTTGTGCTGACTGCGACATTCTCTCACTAAGACTTCTTTTTCTCAGGTGCCAGGTTCAGAAGGGGATGGTTGGCGGCAAGGCCCCTCCCAAGAAGATGCAGCAGCCCTCAAGCAACCCAGGGGAGGAGGTGATTGTTGTGCAAGTCTCTGAACCATCCCCCAAGGAGACGGAGAAAGCAAAACAATCAGATGAGGAAGAGTCTGGTAGGTTATTGGTTGGCTGGATCTGGTTCTTGATGTTTGATGTGAGGGTGTGGGGTCGTGACATTTCATGGGTGAGGTGTGGGGTCTTGGCATGTCATGTGTGAGGTGTGGGGTCTAGGCATGTAATGTGTGAGGTGTGGGGTCTAGGCATGTCATGGGTGAGGTGTGGGGTCTTGGCATGTCATGTGTGAGGTGTGGGGTCTAGGCATGTCATGTGTGAGGTTCGGGGTCCGGGTATGTCATGTGTGAGGGTTTTGGGTCTAGGCATGTCATGTGTGAGGTGTGGGGTCTAGGCATGTCATGTGTGGGGTCATGTCATGTCATGTGTGGGGTGTGGGGTCTGGGCATGTCATGTGTGGGGTCATGTCATGTCATGTCATGTGTGAGGTGAGGGGTCATGACATGTGTGTGTGGTGTGGGGTCTAGGCATGTCATGAGTGAGGTGTGGGGTCTAGGCATGTCATGTGTGGGGTGTGGGGTCATGACATGTGATGTGTGAGGTGTGGGGTCTAGGCATGTCATGTCTGAGGTGAGGAGTCTAGGCATGTCATGTGTGAGGTGTGGGGTCTAGGCATGTCATGTGTGAGGTGTGGGGTCTAGGCATGTCATGTGTGAGGTGTGGGGTCTAGGCATGTCATGTGTGGGGTGTGGGGTCATGTCATGTCATGTGTGAGGTGAGGAGTCTAGGCATGTCATGTGTGGGGTGTGGGGTCTAGGCATGTCATGTGTGGGGTGTGGGGTCATGTCATGTCATGTGTGAGAATCAGGGTCTAGGCATGTCATGTGTGGGGTGTGGGGTCTAGGCATGTCATGTGTGGGGTGTGGGGTCATGTCATGTCATGTGTGAGAATCAGGGTCTAGGCATGTCATGTGTGGGGTGTGGGGTCAAGGCATGTCATGTGTGGGGTGTGGGGTCTAGGCATGTCATGTGTGAGGTGTGGGGTCTAGGCATGTCATGTGTGGGGTGTGGGGTCTAGGCACGTCATGTGTGGGGTCATGTCATGTCATGTGTGGGGTGTGGGGTCTGGGCATGTCATGTGTGGGGTCATGTCATGTCATGTCATGTGTGAGGTGAGGGGTCATGACATGTCGTGTGTGTGGTGTGGGGTCTAGGCATGTCATGAGTGAGGGTTGGGGTCTAGGCATGTCATGTGTGGGGTGTGGGGTCTAGGCATGTTATGTGTGAGGTGTGGGGTCTAGGCATGTCATGTCTGAGGTGAGGAGTCTAGGCATGTCATGTGTGAGAATCAGGGTCTAGGCATGTCATGTGTGAGGTGTGGGGTCTAGGCATGTCATGTGTGAGGTGTGGGGTCTAGGCATGTCATGTGTGGGGTGTGGGGTCATGTCATGTCATGTGTGAGGTGAGGAGTCTAGGCATGTCATGTGTGGGGTGTGGGGTCTAGGCATGTCATGTGTGGGGTGTGGGGTCATGTCATGTCATGTGTGAGAATCGGGGTCTAGGCATGTCATGTGTGGGGTGTGGGGTCTAGGCATGTCATGTGTGGGGTGTGGGGTCTAGGCATGTCATGTGTGGGGTGTGGGGTCTAGGCATGTCATGTGTGAGGTGTGGGGTCTAGGCATGTCATGTGTGGGGTGTGGGGTCTAGGCATGTCATGTGTGGGGTGTGGGGTCTAGGCATGTCATGTGTGGGGTGTGGGGTCTAGGCATGTCATGTGTGGGGTGTGGGGTCTAGGCATGTCATGTGTGAGGTGTGGGGTCTAGGCATGTCATGTGTGGGGTCATGTCATGTCATGTGTGGGGTGTGGGGTCTGGGCATGTCATGTGTGGGGTGTGGGATCATGTCATGTCATGTGTGAGGTGAGGGGTCTAGGCATGTGGTGTGAGAATCGGGGTCTAGGCATGTGATGTGTGAGGTGTGGGGTCTAGGCATGTCACGTGTGGGGTGTGGGGTCTTGGCATGTGATGTGTGCGGTGTGGGGTCTAGGTATGTGATGTGTGAGGTGTGGGGTCATGACATGTGATGTGTGAGGTGTGGGGTCATGACATGTCGTGTGTGTGGTGTGGGGTCTAGGCATGTCATGAGTGAGGTGTGGGGTCTAGGCATGTCATGTGTGGGGTGTGGGGTCATGACATGTGATGTGTGAGGTTCGGGGTCTAGGCATGTTATGTGTGAGGTGTGGGGTCTAGGCATGTTATGTGTGAGGTGTGGAGTCTAGGCATGTTATGTGTGGGGTGTGGGGTCTAGGCATGTGATGTGTGAGGTGTGGGGTCTAGGCATGTTATGTGTGGGGTGTGGGGTCTAGGCATGTCATGTGTGAGGTGTGGGGTCTAGGCATGTCATGTGTGAGATGTGGGGTCATGACATGTCATGTGTGAGGTGTGGGGTCTGGGCATGTCATGTGTGAGGTGTGGGGTCTAGGCATGTCATGTGTGGGGTGTAGGGTCTAGGCATGTCATATGTTTGGTCTGTTCATATCGTGTGAGGATCTGGGATCAAGAATGTGGGGGTCGTGACTTGTTATGTGTCAGAGTATGGGGTGTTTATACATTTCACAAATAACCTCGTCACTTGGAAACAGCTTCTTTCAGTACAATAAGTGAGAGAGTAGACCATGCTTGTCAGACTGTCTGTATTTCAGTGTGACAAGAGTTGGAACAGCTTTATATATTGTGCAATGTTGATGTTGTGGCCGTTTCAGCCCACGACCAAATCTTGGTTCCCGTGGAGGTAGATGGCGCTGACGCACGGGACAATAACGAGGGTATAACTCAGCTTGCTGTGTGTTGGTGTGCTGTTTTCTCACATTGTGTTCCTGGGTTATGTTCTCAGTGTCCCTGTAACTCCAGCATGCTGTGACTGTTTTTTTCTGGTTACATATCCCCATCCTTGGGGGCCACTCGGCCTCACTCATACACCTGCTCAATATATACATTAATATACATATCAACAACAGTAACGCTTAGTATTCTTTGTAGAAATTACATTATTTTTATGATTAAAATGATTTTTAATGAAGTAGAAAAAGACTTTAAAAAAGCCCTTCGCAAATTACAAAAAGATTCTTGAATAGCATGAAAGTTTATCTCATCATTGTCATCATCATATATAAACATGTATAGGATAGAAAGAGTCCCAGGTTATTTCTGTGTTTCCACAGTTACACTATATATCCAACAATAGGGGGGCACGGGTGGCCCAGTCGTCTAAGGCGCCGCGATTCGCTGTGCACAGTTGCATCCCTTGGGCAAGCCAGAAACCTATGATTGTGGGTTCGAATCCTGGTTCGCCCCGATTATGTTTCTAGGTTTGTCAGCACCAAACCCGTGCTTGTGGGTTTCACCGAAGTGGTAAACGTCTGAGACCTGCATCACTTCGGGCTTTCCTCCCACATTAAGCTGACACGCAGTGATATAACTGGATTAATGTTAAAAGCGGCGTTAAACCCAACTCACTCACTAACAATAGACAATGCGAGATGTACAGCACAAAGACCAACACATGTTTTCAATTCAGGCTTCTTTTAGCTTGTTCCTTAATTCTTTTGTAACAAGTGCATTTATTAAATTGTCATATGGCTCCAGCATTATTGTTAACATGCATTTTTTATTTTGCTTATAAAGTTTTAGGCAAGCCTTTTATGAACTTAATAAGAGGGTTTTACAACTAAGGTTTAAATGTAATAAGGCTTGGGTATTTAGACTCCCTTACATCCACAAGACACAAACTTCATGCATTTACACAAGATATGATAATTTTACATTAATCAGTAATGATTTTAATCACTGTATCAGTCATGCAGCTTATATGTAATATGAGATGCTTTTTGAATGGAGAATCAGTGATTTTATTGAACCATATGTCCCTGTTCTTTCTTTATGATGATATAAATATTAATAGGTATAGTTTTCCAGGCTCAGGCATTTCCAGCTTTGAAAGCATTATTTAATACTACTGAAGGCATTCCTTCCATAGTTGCATAGTGAAGCTTACAAATAGACTGTTCCTTCAGTTTTAATATAGTTTTATTATTTTTGCTTTGAGTTAAATTGACAAGTATCAACAGCCCCAAAGTCACTTTATAACTATATCATTATATTCAATCTCATCAAAATCAGAACTTAGTGCTTGCTGCTGCTACACAAAGATCTTAACAAATCCCAGTTCACATCAGAACTACGTTCAAAAACCTTGACCAATGAAATGAAGAACAGGAAGTCAACGTTAGTCAATCAGAAGCAGCCTTCTTGAGCTTTACAGCAAACACTGAACAAACAGAAATGTCCAATAGATGGCTGAGATTGTATGGTAGTACTTCCCATGGGCAATGGAAAGTCTCTTTCATTTCAAATGTTTATCCATTTGACGTGAGAGATAGACAATGCCTTTGATGGAATCAGTCATACAGGACGGAACTGTTGTTTGTAATGCTTTGAATTCATCTTTTCAAGTTTGTATGATTAACGCATTCAGACTTCACTTTTACGATCCCTTAAGCGACGCTCTGATTGGTCGGATGAAAGGTCGTTCTGACATGATCTGTAATGGGATGTCTTCAGATCTATGTGTAGTGGTCATGAGCATTAAGATCTGAATTTAATGTGATTGTTATTATGTTGGGCAGGGTAATTCTGAAATACAAAGAGGCATTGACCCCAACTCACTTACTCTAGTCAGGATACATTTAACTGTTGAGAGCAGTGGGGTAGCCAAGTGGTTAAAGTGTTCACTTGTCAGGTTCCATTCCTAACATGGTTTATACAAAATATAAAACCCATTTCTGGTGTCCCTCATTGTGATATTGCTGGAATATTGCTATTAGTGGCAGAAAACCCAACTCACTCACTCACAGTTAACTCTTGATGTGTTGGTGGTTAAACACATGAGTGACATGTTGACTCCGCAACTAATACATGCACTGGCATGCACTTCCAGTGCACACAAATATGCACCCCAAAAAGTTAAAAACTGCACACTCATGCGCACAAATAAAGGCACATCACTCTAGGTAGCACAGGAATGCATGAATAATTAGATAAACATTTAACAATCCGCATGAAGAAATTATGAGTTTGTGTTAACAATATATGATTTGAAGTTCTGCTTGTTACCATGGGTATAGTCAAATGTGTGAAATGCAAAACCATTATTATCCCTTATACTGTCATGACAAGATATGATGTGTTGGAACTTGTTTATAATGGACTAAACATACCGAAGGTGGGAAAGTACAGTTGTATCATTCTCCATCTGGGTCCTAACAGCCTTTTGAGTGACAAGTTGTGTGTGAAAATGACAGTGGTAAATTTGTTAGCTTGTTATTACAAGGAAATATGTTGGTGAATGTTTTATACCACTGTTTTAGTGAAAGTTTTATACACTCTTTTTGTGAAAGAAATGATAAGTAGCAATGATGTGCAAACTTGATACCTGATTATTTTCCTTATAATACCTGTCATAAGTGTTAATTTATTTATGTCATATTCATATATTATGTCATTACTTTTCAATGCTTCATCCTATACAGCATCCGTTTGTTGCAATGCTATTCTAGACTGTGAGCACTGATCAGCTTCTTGGAAAAACAAATGACATTTTATTCCTTTGACAACAATGTTTTTTTCTTTTGAAAACAATTATATTACCCACAAACAAACCATGAACAGAGAAACCCAGTTTCAAATGATTTTGAATTTCCAGATATGTGAATTGTGGGCATTTGGTATTTATATTATATACTACTCAAAAGAAGTTAAAGAACATCCGATTCTTTCATATTATTATAGTTAATATGTCATTACATGACAATTAATGAACACCCAATTTTTTGGTTTGACTATAGTTAATCTGTCATGACATTCAGATTAATTAAAGTAATATGAAAAAATTGGGTATTCTTTACTTATTTTCAGTAGTATGTCTGTTACCATATAGATGTTTCCTAGAGTAATTGTCTAGAAGACAGGTTTCTCAACTCCCAGGGTCTGAACTAAGGGGCTTTCACTGTGTAGAGAATGTTGTTTGAAACTAGGACTCTGGACATCAATAGTTGTTCATGTGGCCATGTTGTAAGGTGATTGATTGACCTGTTGCCCTTAATTCCAGATGCTTATGAGTCTGACTTTGAGGATGAAGATGACAGCCCCTCCGGGAGGAGCCAGCAGCCCGATGAAGGTAGGGACATCTAGTGTGGTAGTACATTTGCTAGGCGCTGTATACTGTGTGCTGGGGTGCTGTATATATATATATATATATATATATATATATATATATATATGGGAAAATAGGAAGAATATGGGAGGGGAAAAGTGGTATTAGGGGAAAATGGGTAACAAAGCGGGAAACGTGCAGATAGTATAGCGGGAAAACAGGTAAAAAGTGGGAAAGGGGCAGATATAGTAGTGGGGAAAATGGGGGAAAAATGGGAAAAGTAGTAGTTGGGAAAATGGGGTAAAAGGGCAGATAGTAGTCAGGAAAATGGGGAAAAAAATGGAAAAGAGAAGATAATACTGAAGAAAACAGGCAAGAAGTGGGAAAAGTTCCAATACTATAGAGGGAGATCAGGTAATAAATGCGAAAAATGCAGATAGTGTAGGGGAAGGTGGGACAAAGAGGGAAAAAACCAAATGCTGTTGGGCAAAAACAGTACAAGGTGGACCAGAGTGCAGACAGTGGTCAGGAAAACAGGTACAACATGGGAAAAAACCCTGATTTTTTGGAAAACAGGTACAAAAAGTGATGAAAGCTTATTGTATGGGGGGAGAAAGATACAAGGAGAGTAGAGAGTAGATTGTATGGCGAGGGGGACATACAAAATGGGACAAGAGCAGATAGTGTAGAGGGAAATAGGTAGATGATGAGGCCATATATCATATAAAAGTATCTTTCCCTGGAAATTATCAGTATTTGGAGGAACGAGCCTGTTGCCATGATTAGTTTAATGAACTAAAGGAATATTTGCTTCTCTCAATGTCTTCTTCTGATGTCTCACTGACGACACAGAATGATCAAGGAATGCAGCATGCTACTCACTTTAGTCCTTGCACAATCAAGAATGTCTGCATCAGTATCACACGCCAGGACACACTGGGAACAATCACAGTCAGGACAGTTAAAGATAGTCAGCAAGTCATTCAAAATGGCTGGAAGACCTAAATTAACATGTGACCTTAGTACATCACAGTCTTTCTGCACACATTAGCAGAACATCAATTTATTTTGCAAATGTCAAATAAATTGAGCTAACTTTGTATAGTGCCCTGTGGTTTTGTTACAAAAGCTGCCACTTGATGGCTGTCTTGATATAGCTGGTATTTCACAACTCATGCAGTATCTATACTGACAGACCTGTCACACAGACAGGTACTATACGTGCAGGAAAAACACATCCAAGGTTTTCAATCTCATAACATCCTGAGGAGGAGTGTTTTATCTGTCTTATAAACCAAATGAAAAATCTGAAGCAACATTTATTAACAATTTTATGTTTCAAACACATTTTCCATGAACCAGTACTACTTAAAAGTATTGTGGATTATCAGCGCCTCTGTAGCCTAGTGGGACACTCACAGGCTCAAGTTTGATCCACTGAAATATAAAATCAATTGTATCTGTGTGTAAAATCGATTGTATTTGTGTGGATTTTATAAATTAAACACCCAGGATTTTATGCCTAAGATTTCTGGGTACTGCGCAAGTTGAAGATTTTATGATGTATAGAGACAATGACAGGACAATGGGATGACATCACTTAGGTTTATAAGTCCATACATCATCTGGTTAAAGCAGGAGTTAAAAGGAATTAATTTATGTCACAGTTTGACTATAGAAGAGCAATATTTGCTATGAATTTAATCAGCTTTGAGAGAGGTTGTGACCCATCTCTAGATAGCTGATTAAAACCATCATGCTTTTCTGAATTAGAAATTGCAGTTTGGAAGACATTACCAAATAATGTCAATTGTATGGTCAACATAATGGTGATACAAATTCCTGAAAATAGAGGATGTGTTAATGCTGGCTCCCTGGTCCCATTCTCAACGCAACTCATGTGTCTATTCCAGAGGGCTAGAAGATCCATACACCAGGGATGAAATTTGTAGTTCTCGCAATATAGACTAGATTTATCTTTAGCTTATCTAGCACAATGCTTAACAGCCTATTCTGCTACACGTGATAAAGATAGTTTCTTCTGAGAGAAACAAGATTTCTATAAAAATAAAAACTATATATTTTCAGTAGATGGATTTTATTAATTATAATATTCTTATTCTCATTGATATTGCATAGAAATGTAGTGCTTATTGATTATGATATGATAGGGTGTGCTCATTTAATTTGTGATTAATTACTGTAATATTGTTGCTTGCACCCTGTTTCTAATTAGGGATCAAAGGAGGCACCTATTGGTATTGCTAGGACTCAGTATGATACCTGCTAGGACATGTGCTAGGACTCTTGGTATTACTTTAATGTCAAGTTTAGTTTGTACTTGTGTTACCACATTGTTGACTTTTGAGAGTCAAGTTGTCAATCCAAAATTATAAGTTAAAGAAAAATCAAGGGATGTTTTATTATAACAACATGTTGAATAATAACACTAATTCTTTGGATTCCAATTTATAATTCAGTAGTCATAGTTTCTGACAAATATTTATGTAAAGATAGGTTAGGGAAGGGTTCATCATTAAGCAATGGGTGCTAATTTCATCAATTACAGACCACATGATGGAAGCTTACGTTTGGTGGTCTCACAGTTATTGTTATTAATTATGTATACTTATATTATTAGTGAAGGTAATTGTTTTCTTTTGCTAGTTAAAGAAGCAGCATATTACAGATTACATTTTATTCATGTATTCTCTCCGAGTTATTTCATTTTGACAGAATAAATTATCATATATTTGACAGAATAAATTATCATATGTTTATGTATTAAGATGAAGATGCTTCACTAGTGAGAATGTTGTTGTGGTTATATATCATACTGTGAAGTTCGATATGCTGTTCTAGTACCTACATTTCTATGTACACAAAATGGTGCCTGAAAACTGTTATGTATCGAGGTACGGAGGCTGCTTTAGGATGATGTGGGGCTTTGGCTACTTTGCTCTTTTCTTCTTGCTTTCTTGATATAATTACCTGTAATCATAGATCTTACAATGTGAATTCTTTTTTATTGTATTGTATGCAAGTATTAAAGCTTTCCAAGGAAATGGTGTTTTGTGAACTTTTGATTCAAAGTTAAGATTTTGAAACTGGATTTATTTACATTTTGGGGAGTTTTCATTATTTTCTCAAGAGACCCCCCACAGTCACTATAAATAAGGCCTGGAATTGTTTTAAGACAAATTCTTTTTTAGAGAATGTAGGCATGAAGCTGTCTTACGTTAACTTTAATATTTCTAGTTACATGGATGCACTCTTACAAAAATGGACTAGGGAAAGATGTAGAATGTATTTTTTGAAATGTTTGTTTTTCAATTAGCTATATATACTCCTATAGTTGGTGATGGTATTGTTTGAATTTGACCTTTGTATTGTGTAGGTCAACAACAACAACAATAATAATAATATTAATAAATGATGTCTAGCACTAGCAAAATCCATTGCTAACCATTGATTTTGTTCTCTGCTTTTGAAATGACTCGACAAATTTCATTATGTATATACACAGACAGGTAATTTCATGCTTCACACATGTTAAAGGCATACTGAAATATTTTATGGCAATAGGTAAATACATTTTGATATTTCAATGACTAGTTCATAAATAAGCCACCTGTCTTGCCTTGTTTTATTAAAATTCTCTTCAATAATGAAGGTTAACTACACCAAATAGTCATGTTAATCAGTTGAGAGAAAAAGCATAACTAGTTAAAAAGGAAACAAATGTTAACTGACCTAACAAATGTGACTGACAAGAAACAAAGGAGAGTACATTGGCAAAGGGTAATTGTTTTTGCTTCGACAAGAAATTAAAATAACACCATTTGTAAAAGACGGATAACAAGAAAATGTTATTCTCAAAACCAATATGCAATGTCCAAAGACATTTTATCCACCATCCAATAAAGTAAATGTGTGACATGATATGACTGATACGGTATGATGACTCAGTGTTGGTATGATGGTACGTTGATGTTAACCACAGATGGAGTCAGTAAGGTACAGCCTGGCATCCCTGTTGCTGATGAAACAGATGCCCCAAAACCCCTCACTGGTGATTACCGTACATCACGTTTGTGTGTGACCGTTACTTCTCACACGTGGCACGTTGACTTGGAACACTGACTAACAAATAACACGTGTTACAAAGTATCATCTTGGATTTCTGAACGTTTTATTTTTCAGTCTCATCAAAGTCAGATCTTTTATTCCAATAGATTACTGTCTTTGTGAAGATCTGAGGTCACTTCTATAGGAGGTCGCGTCAGGTGAACTTTCTCATCAGCCAATCAGTGTCAAGGCTTCTAGATTCTAGTGTCAGCGTCGCATTGAAATGTATGATTTCTGTGTCCTGAAAATGAACTACAACAACTAGTTCAATGTAGAATGTATAGCAGCTACATCATATTGTTGTGTTCCATGTGAGTTTTCAGTTCAAAATCAAGCAAATCATTTTATAAACTTGACAGCCTTTAGATTGGGCGGTCAAAGTTCGCTCAGGGCTCATTTGATGTGATCCATGGATGTGTTTTAGAGCTTAGCACTGAGAGGTACATCAGCGTAAAAAGATCTGATTTTGATGAGATTACCATATTCGACATAATAAGCGCCCCGCTCTAATAAGCGCCCACGGCGATATTTGCTAATATATTGGCAAGTGAACAATCCCAATTAGCACCCCTTCCAATTGATCAATGTACACAAGACTTGAATTTATTCGTGTGTAATACGCACTCGATCATGTGTTATATGCACCCTTAATTATGGGCAATTAAATTCTGGAAAAATATATCTGTCGTATATAAACAGTTCAGGCTGTCAGCATAAACCATGAAATTAACGATCTTTCAACTGATCTTTTTTCACCAAAATAATATTCTAATAAGAGCCTCTTATTTTTAATTTTGAGAGCGCCCTGGGCACTTATTATGTAGAATACAGTAAATTAATTGTAGGGAATATTTGTCAAATATGGATCAATTCCATGAAGCCAGCTGTTAGTTTGTGAATGTGTTAATGATCGTATATTGTCATAACCATAAGTAATGTTACTGTTTATGATTAATTATCAAATTCTTGAATCTTTCCTGAATATATTGGGTAAGGTAACATCAGTGGATGAAGATTCTTCATTTTCAGATGTGTTTAAGTGTACCAGTGGTGCTAACTGTTCTGTTGACATAATGAGCATTTTCTCATCTGAAGTCCAGCAATGCCTCAATAGGACCTGCAGCTTACTTTCCACTCCTTCAGTTAGACTAACATTAGTCTGATAAAAGCATTTATCCGTTCCACCAAGCATGATGTTTATAAATCACTCACAACCACCGCCATGTTTGTCCGTTTCCGTCCATGATGCCAGACTCGTGCACAAAACACTAACAGGTTTGTTCAACAGAAATATCCTATGGTGCTTTCTGTATCCATCTCCTCCTAGAGGAAGCATAATTACTTTGATTTCACGTCTCAAGGTCAACACCTTTTGGTTCCATTACTTCTCCACAAGGAGTCTTCAATCAAATCCTTTCTCTCTTTGAAAATACAACGGACTATAAAGTATTGACATTTGTAATTGCTTTGAACAACAAAATCTGCATGAATCTTGTTAGGTGATGATATACAGAATGCACTGTATTTTGAGAACATTGTCTGACTGATGTAAAATATAATCACATGCCGTTTTATCTAGGAATGAAGAAAGTGAGTTTCAAATTACACTTTGCTGTGAATTGCCTGCAGTGTTTGCATTAAAAAATTGATACCTGTGTTTCTGAAAGCCATTAAGCTACATTGCTTATATGTGTTATGAAGGATCTTTTTGACCATAAATTTAAATGAAAGATTATTTCTAATTTTCTAGTTTAGTCAAAATGTGTGAGTGATAAGTTGCTTTAAAGTAATGCATGCAATCTGTTGCTGTGTGGCATATAAATCTTATATAAGTTTGATCAGCATCATCAGAAAATGTTCTCATTGGGTAATTTTATGAATTTGAAGTTTTAAGATGCTTATATAAGTGATTTAAATGCATGGTAATTTTTATTTATTACATTCACAATTATTCACTAAGCATGTACACAATTAATGCTTGACATTTTCTTGATGTAAATATTTAAATCCAATGGTTAAAGTTTTTATAAACAATTTGTAAATAGCTTATTCAGTAATTATTGAGCTGTTTCTATGTACAGAAATGTGTATGTATGTTTATTAGAGCCAACACGTTGATGTTTGCTGTGTTGTAGGGGGAGGTGCTGTTACAGCTCGCACTGATGTAGAGATCGAAGGTCAAGAAGCAGATCAGTCGGACCATTCCAACAAAGACAATCACCAAGGAGAATCTCAACAACCTGCAACTAATTTCAGTTTTCGAAATGCAGAAAAAATGGAGATAACTGCTGTTGAGGATAATGTTCAGGAAGAAACAGATGACAGTGAAGCTGATAGCTCAGGTTCAGAAGATTTAGTTAAAAGAATGAGAGATAAGTACAAGGAGAACTCTGGGAGGGACAGCTCGAGTAGCTCCAGCTCTTCCAGTGAAGAAGAATATGAGGCAAAGTCTAGCTCCTCCAGCAAATCCACCCACACCTCAAACAAAGTGGTTTCATCCCAGAAGGAAGTTGATGATGCTGACGCTGACACTGCAGATGATGTGTCAGACATTGAGACAGATGTTGAGTGGCCTCGGAAGTCAGAGGAAGAGATTAATGCCGGTCCAAAACAGAGAGTTAATGATGCCTTACCCCCAAAACCACAGAAACCTTCTAAAAAGATTCAAGGGATTTTATCGCCTAAAAAGCAGAAAAATAATGGCCAAAAGAAAAGGACATCTTTTAAAATGGATGATGAAGAGGATGAGAAATCGGATGTTAATGTTGTTGTTCATAGAGATAAGGAAGATGATGGTTCAGGGAAGGAGAAGATAAAGAAGAAGAGGCGTAGCAACATCAGCAAGGACAAGAATTATGAGATTGGAATTGTAGCCTATGAAGAAGGAGTGGAACAAGAAAAGGATGAACCCTTGGGTCTTCGAGCATCTGATGCAGCCGACAGAAAGAAAGATGATGATCAGACATCGGACATTCCGGAAATTTCGGTGAACAAATCAGGAGTGACATTGTTTTCCGATCGGGTGGATGATGTGGAGCCTTGCCGGGAACATGTCACTGTTGGTTATGAGGAGGAGATGGATGAAAGAGGCACAGAGTCAGATGTGGAAGGAGAGGGGAAATCAGTAGAAGTTGGTGGTGGGGACCGGGGAACCTCAGGGAGTGAAACATCGGAAGACATGGTGGCTCAATATGCTGCTCGGCTTACAGAACTGGATGAACGAGCTGGGACTGAAGATAGTCAGGGACTGTCCCACAAGGTTTTGAACCATGCAGAGACATCTCATAATGACGTTCAAAATGGTTCCAGAGAGAATATGACTACAGAATTGCATGATGTTAAAGAAAGTCATCCTGCAGCAGGAAACGGACAAGAAGTTGGTCCTTCAGCTGACTTGCCCAAAATTCTGATTGACAGCTCAGAAGCTCACATGGCTGCATCAGGACAGATTAGTCAGGAGAGAAGGTTATCTGAAGCTAAAGATGACCCAAGAAACATGCTGACATCATCAGACGAGCAGTTCAACAATGTGGAGGTCACACTGGCTGATATCAATGCAAAGAACCCTGGTGGTGTTCCAAGACGAGTCAGTGTTGGTGGGGAAAGTCTCCTATCAGTACCTTGTAGTGGCGTTGTTGAGAAGGATTGTGTTGTGTGGACAGGAGGTTCCCATGCTAACCAGGAGCAGCCTGAGGATGAAGTCATCAGTCCAAGACAGTGTGATACCAAGAGGAGGCCAAGTTTAGACTCAACAAGAGATGCTGATATGCAGCAGCAGATTCCGATCATACTGGTGGAGGGAGGGTGTCACCCTTCACAGGACAAGGTCCTGTCTCAGGATGAAGCGAAGACAAGACTCGCTAGGACCCAGTCTCCAGATAGCAATGATGGTAGTCCAGGAAGGACTTTGTCTCCTGAAAGAATTCCTGACACAAGACAGTATAAGCTTCCTTCTTCCCAAGACAAACAATACAGGACTCCTGTTCTTACCAGACATGACAGGATTATGTCTTCTGACACTGAATCAGAAAGGAATTCTTCTGCGGAGGCTGCTGCTGGGTCTGTTCCCGATAGGACATTGACCTCAGAGGACACAGGGCTGTACACGGAGTGCAACAACCACACAGAGAACAAGTCTAGTGTAGGGTTGATGAGGGAAGAGAGCCAGAGTCTGCCCACTATCATCACTGAACATGTGGACTGAACATTGGAATGTATATATAAATGTTGCACTGCTGGAAAAGTCTGTCTCCAACTCTATGTCAAGACACGGATTATGCTTCAGGGATGTTTCAGTGTCAACTTTCTGATCTCATCTTTACTTTGCCTATATGACCTTCTTAATGATATAACCTTCATGATAAAACTTTCATATGATCTTCATGAAGTTATCATATGACCTTTATGATATCATATGATCTTAATGATAGGATCATATCACCTTAATGATATCATATGATCTACATGAATTATCATATGATCTACATGAATTATCATATGACCTTTATATCATATGATCTTCATGATATGATCATATGACCTTTGTGATATCATATGATCTCCATATGATCATATGACCTTCATGATTCTTCGTGTTACGGGGCGGTCGGGTAGCCTAGTGGTTAAAGCGTTCCCTCGTCACGGCGAAGACCCGGGTTCGATTCCCGACATGGGTACAATGTGTGAAGCCCATTTCTGGTGTCCCCCGCCGTGATATTGCTGGAATATTGCTAAAAGCGGCGTAAAACCATACTCACTCACTCACTCTTCGTGTTACCTTCATATGATCTTCATATGACCATGATTTGATCTTCATGACATGATCTCCATAAGACAGTTCAAGCAATACAGCAACAGGTTTCACTACAACTGCAGCAGGGTGACTTGGGAGAAATGGTCTTTACTAGCTATTTACTTGTTGTTTACTTGTTGTTTATGAAATATCGCTGAAAGATGTTACTGCTCATACTTGATATTGACTGCTACAAGTTGTTTGTAGATGGATTCTGATGAAATATTTTTGTCTCAGTGTGTATCCTGCTGTGATTTAATTGATAGTCGGATTTCGACTTGTAAAAGTAAAAATATTTATTTCATTTGGTATTATTGTTAGGATGTAATCCTTAATACAGTTTTGTTTCACTCTATAGACTTTATGAGGATATGGTACAAATGTACTTTAATATCTGAGGGTTGTTTCTGAGCTGGAGGACATCACAGTGTGGTAATACTAGTCATCGTTCAATGTTCGTCCAGAACTAAATTATCAGATCTGCTAAGTCACTGTTAAATCACTTGTGCCTTGATGTTATATCAGTCTAAAGTTCAGATGTTGAATACAATATAATTTACTAACCATTGTTGGCCTGGATCTTAGAACATGACCATGGATAGTCAATTAACATTACCATAGATAGTCAGGAAACATTACTGTAGCTTGGAGGGAAAGATAGCCACAGATAGGCAGGAATTATGACCAGAGAGGCAGGAAACATGACCACAGATAGGCAGGAAAGATAGCCACAGATAGGCAGGCAACATGACCATAGATAGGCAGGCAACATGACCACAGATAGGCAGGAAACATGACCACAGATAGGCAGGAAAGATAGCCACAGATAGGCAGGAAACATGACCACAGATAGGCAGGAAAGAAAGCCACAGATAGGCAGGAAACATGACCACAGATAGGCAGGAAAGATAGCCACAGATAGGCAGGCAACATGACCACAGATAGGAAGGAAACATGACCACAGATCATCATCATGTCCATAGTAAAGGATTTATCTTGGGTTTGAACTACATGCCTGTGGCAACCAAATTGTGATAAAAGCATTACTTAGTGGTATTATACCATTGCTTCAAATTCATCTTCCCAAGGCAAGGGAGTTACCTGACTGTAAAAGTCCAGTTTCCGCCCTTTCCGAACTATGCTGTAATTTTGTGGCTCGATCGTAGCCCCACCAGCGATTACAAGTTATTTCCCTTCTATGTCCCTCCTATTGACCAATCACATTCTACCTCTCATAGCACTTGTATTTGCTTCAAGCAAAATGGTGGCACCATGTAGAGACAATATTCAAAATCTTTATTGTAACAAAATGGGTCTTAACTCATGAAGTACTTGAAATCATTTAGCACCTTGATTAAAACAAGTAACATGAAGAGCTTTTTGCTCAGGTCAGGGTACACAAGCTCTGCAAATCCTGCAATTGACCAAAATCATCATGTTGTTTGTTGTTTTCATTACACCATTTTGATTGGACTATGCATAGACTCATTAGTCCAGCCAAAATATAACTCCATAATTCCAGAGTAGTTCGACTTTTATAGTCAGGTAACTCCCTTTCCTTGGGAACATGCTTCCAACTCATTCGTCACCACTCGACCCTTTCCGTAACTTGCAAGAAGACTCGTCCCCCTATCGATGAATGTTATGTGTGAAAATACGACAAACCAATCAGAATTCGTGTAGGAAAGGTCAAAGAATCCGTCAGGAATAATTTTTGCATTTAAAAATATACCCAAGATACAGTTTAATTTGTTCAATCATACACTATAGTACTGTAAGTCCTGATGTGTCACCAATACCATTTGGAACGTAAATGATATATGGGGCAAATATACGTTTATCATGACACAACGAGTTAACATTTCTTTTAGCTAGTCGCAAGAATGGCCATGAGAGGGGCATAAGTTGCTATTCAGCTTGTCCCAGAATAACAAGAGTTGGTCACGAATGGCTTCAAACTAAACCTTTTTATCTTTTTATCTTTTTATCTTTATTGGTAATCTTATTGGTGAAATACAAGTACTCTTTACAAGGCATTTGTTACAGAAATTGTATAACGGGACAATTTTTAGCTTGTCATATTTATTATAGTTGTTTTTTCACATTTTTATTATTATTAATACTCTCATTTGGAATACAAAACATGACTGCTTACCGGGGGTATTCCTCTTTTTATGAAATGACAGTATCCTTTCTGTAAATGTGGTAAATCTGAAACATGAATATGACATGTAGAGAGATTAAATGTCATAACTTTAATTCCAAGGTACTGGTCTAAAACATTCCCTTATTATATTTTAATAACTTTCTGCTTGTATATTATCATATATTTATTTGTTTGTTATTGTACAAATACACTTAACTTATATGAATGTTGAAATAAACTAATTTTGCCATGAAGTAACGAGTTATTTGTTTTCTCTTGAGAAAGAGTTCAGCAGTTTGTAATGGTTATTGTTCTTCATTATTGGGTGAATGCCATAGCTGAAAACATTCTGACATATAACTGCAGATCTATCAGATTTATTTTGAGCTGTGATTTTAACATCAAAAATTCTTTGCCAGTTGTTTTTATGAGAAGAAGGTTATGCTGCAGAGATTTGTCTTTGAAACCACTTGCTATGGTGGCTAGAATGGGTTACAATGCTAGGGATTACTAATTAAGGGTGGATAATACCAGGCACCTGAGTCGGGTTCAATGATTTACTAACTGGGTGTAAATAGATGTACTCAAGATTAAAGTACAGTCACCCCCCACAATAGCGCAGGTCTCCTGGACGCCCCCCCCCCCTGAATGACTGTACCCCAATCCACATACGCCATGTCATTTGTAAAATGCCTTCAAATCAATCTCATTAAAGTCAGATCTTAGTTCTTGCTATCGCTAAACAAAGATCTGAGGATATCCCATTATGGGTCACATCAGAACGACCTTTCATCTGACCAGTCAAAGCATCGCTTACCAGATCATGAAAGTGACAGTTGGAATGTGTTTTCTATAATCATGCAACCTCGATGCCGAAGGACAGTTACAGCCAGTACGACTGATTCCGTCAAAATTATCGTCTATCACTCGCTTCCTTGGGATAAACGTATGAACGAGGAGGCGTTGCACAGTACGTCAGAAGCACTGCCATACAATCTCAACCATATATCACATTCCGGAATGTTTCTTTGTTCAGTTTTCAAAATTTTAATCGAGAACTTTGACAACTTATTTTATAAGCATAGTCTAAAATGGAAGTCTCAAGGTTGAAACGAGAGCCGTAAAGCTCGAGAAAGCTGCTTTCTAAATGGCTGATGTTAATTTCTTGTCAGTTGTTTTAGTTCGCGAAAAGACATTCTAATGTGACCTGTAATGGGATGTCCTCAGCTCTTTGTTTAGTGGCAGCGAGAACTTAGATCTGATTTCAATGAGAGAATAACCAATGTGTAGACAAAATTAAAAAAACATCATGAGAAGTATAATGTAGATACTAACTTGACCCACTTGCAAACAGAAGAACAAGCATTGTTTGAAAGTACCTGTCTGTGCACATGTGTTTTAATTGTACTGAAGATATACATGGACAGTGCACTATCAGGACCATTCTTGCACGATTCCTGCAAATACAAAGCTGCTAGAAGAAACAGTGGAACAGTTCAAGATACAGCAAGGCTTTGTCAAGCAAGGAGACAAAGAGATTTCAATGCTACGATGATCGTTAGCCTATGTTAAAGTATGCGAGTTATAGTCACCTTAGCGCTAAGATCTCCTTGTGCAATGGGTCCGAGATCTTACATCTGGTATGTCATCTAAGACGAAACTTTAACAGTTTTTAATTTTATAAGTTTGAAAGACCGGAGCCAAAAACACAAACAGAAAAAACGTATCTTTAAGCTTGTTTTGTCAGACTGATCTGTCCTTGGTGAATTAGAAAAATATATGCAAACTACACAAATAGAACACAGAAGGAACTGTCAACTATTCCACAAATACTTGATCAGAGGTATTGTATGTAAGCTCTGGCCACTGCCTTCTCATACATACTGCTGAGCGTATGGTAACAACTGACACTGACCACAGAACTACCCTTCAGGTTTTCCAAGTGAACCAACTACAAATGACTTTTATGTGACAAATATAATAAAACCCATATTGAGCTGCACAATAATATATTTATTTAGACCTATCCATGAAAAGTGGCTAGCAAAATCCATAATTCATAAATTATCGTGGGCTTAATGTACATTTTTATTCCCAATATTATGATATTTATGATTATGGAAACACACAAGGGTAGTAATCTCTTTGTCATGTAATGTCACTCTTAAAATGATTAAAATGTATTTTAACTCAGTGAAGTGTATTTGAAATGGCGTATGAATACAATGTTTGAGTGAAACGCCCCATTTATCATATAGTGCCGAATGATTTAAAGCCATGTTTGTCAACGGAAACATCATCACAATGGGAACCCCTATCTAAACTTAATGGGAACTTCAGATGATATTTTGGTGATCATCAGACATTGCATTGATGTATGAAGCTTCCAAGTAGTTCCTTCAAGGTGACATCATTTGCATATTTATTGGATTGGTTTTTCAAATCGATAACACAGTCCATTATATAACAAATTTCTTTCCTGCAGTTTATATACCATTTATGTTATATGAAGTATACAAAAGCTTGTAAACCTGAGGAAAACAAAGTTGGTGACAAGGGACCGCCTTGTTAACTATTTTTGTATTGACCAAGTTTAATTGTTATGATCTGTGTTTTTCCCTGAATTCGCTGAAGGAAAATGATGTAATTTTTTCTGTGGAAGATAAACACGTTTCTATTGCAAATGTAGGGATTGTGTATGCACTGGTGATGTGCTTTATTCTGATTCGCTTTACAGACGGGGTTACACATTAGGTTCGATTTTGAAGGCTTGTACGGGGTCACTTTGTAGATGGTGATATAGGGATGGCACCATAGGTGCTTAATACATCAAATACAGGATCACAATACATGGCCATTAGTAAGAGACGTAGTTGTGATTGGACTGCATTTCATGAAGTGATCTTAGCACTGTGACTGTCTTATGTCAATGTTCAGGTTATGATCTTAGCGCTAAGTCTCTTTAAGGAACGGGTTCCATTTATCTCTTCTTGTGCATACTCATTGAGACCAGATAGGGATGAAATGTTTCACAGGTTTACCAGTTGCCATGGAAACACAATTTACATGGACTAAATACACCTTGTCAAATTTGTGTTGTAAGAGGTGACTGGTGACAAGGTCAGAGGTGGGAGTGAAGGAAGGTGGATGTAATATCCACAGCTTTTATACATCCCTGGCAGACATACAACCACATGTACTACTGTTTAACCATGCTAGATTACACTGGCAACATTCTTGATTGTGCATCACGCAGAAAGTTCCAGTTTGAGTTCTACTTGTGTGGTAGAGTCGGAGATGAAGAAATGACCCTAAATATGAACTGTTTGTGACCTGTGAAACCTTGTTGATTGATGTTCCAGGGACTATTGAAAATATACTACTCAAAAGACGTTAAAGAACACCCGATGTTTCATTTGACTATACATGTAGCTAATAAAAACTTGCATTAGAATATATCACAAAATTAAAATCTATCCCATCAAATCCAGCATATGATTGCATTTTTAATCCCTCCTATGAGTGAGTTGGGTTTAACGCCGCTTTTATCAGTATTCCAGTTATATCGCTGCGTGTCAGCTTAATGTGGGAGGAAAGCCAGAAGTGATGCAGGTCTCAGACGTATACACTGGTATGGTGCTGACAAACCTAGAAACATAATCGGGGCGAACCGGGATTCGAACCAACAATCATAGGTTTCTGGCGTGCCCAAGGGACGCAACTCTGCACAGCGAAATGCAGCGCCTTAGACGACTTGGCCACCCATGCCCCCCCACCCCCCCTCGTATGAGGAAATCTATGGCATATAAAAGAATTGGGTGTCCTTTATTTCATTTTGAGTGGTATAAATATAGCTCTCCATAGATTGAGATAAGTGGAGTGCTGATATTTGACCATAGTGCCGTCAAAGGATTCAGCTGCCATCCTGAAGTTCCATTTGGTTATATTCAGTTGAAGAAGTTCAGATTAACGTGGTTTCACTGTTTACTATTTCTTATTACCGGTAAATGTTCTTGGGTTGTGATCATACAGGAATGATGTGTTGTTATATTCTTCTTATGATGTATCTCGGCTGTATTCATCATGTGATCTTGTCACTGCAGTGCTCTTCCACAAGGACTGGGACAACAAAGGGAACAAACAGGACGTAACCGAGGAGCCAATTGCTGAGGAACCAGATGAGGACAAACGTCAGATAAGAGGACTTGCCGCTGACTTTGCGGACGATGAGAAAGAAGATGAAAAGAATGCATTTGTTTCAGCTGAAAAATCTGCTAATCCTGATGTGGTGGGGGATTTTGAAGACGACACTATGAGAAAGGTCAGTATGGGTCAAGGTCAAATTCAACAGTGTCACAAGTTCAGACTTGACGTTTATCCTTATACCTTTCTGTAGATTATTACCAGACTCAATGACATTGTTAACAGCTGCATATTGTGAGATAACCGAAACAGTGTTTAAAAGTGAGTGGTGATGATGCCTTTTAGCAATATCCAACAATATCACAGTCAGGGACAACACAAATGGGCTTCACACATTGTTCCCATGTGGAGAATCAAACCCGGGAATTCGTGACGAGCAAACCTTAACCACTAGCCTACCCCACTGTCCATTGTTAAAAGTGTCATTTACCTAACCTACTCACTCACAAATGTTCACTCACTCACTAACAAATCTAAAGTCTCTGTCCCCTCAAATGTGATGGGAACATGTCGTGTACCTGAGGTGAGGAAAACTTGCTATAAATTAAAGAATTTATCATTTATACCCATGTTCCATTTGGGAAGTGAGGTAGCACAGCGGACATAGGTTTGAATCCTGCATTTGTTGTTTAGGGAAGTGAGGTAGCACGGCGGACATAGGTTTGAATCCCACATTTGTTGTTTAGGTGGAGGGATACTCATCAGAGGAGGAAGATTTAGATGGCAAGAAAGACAAAACCATTGTGGTTGAGAAGAAATCAGGTGGGTCCATCTTGGTCTAGAACAATCCTGCACGTTCTTCTTGGTCTACAACAATCCTGCACATTCTTCTTGTCCATACTCTTCATGTTATTTGTCTGTTCTATGCTTTTCTCTCAACTGTGACCTTTTGACCACACAAAATGGGATTTTCCTCCCCATAATTCTTAGTGGGCATGAGGTACTACTCCATACAACCAACTCAGCTACCTCAAACTCTTCCCCTTTCTCAAACACACCTACAGGGGCCCTTCAGCCCTTCAGCCCTTCAGCTGTATGTATGTAGCACATGTAGCATGCGTACCCTCTGTCAGCGTCATGCACACTGTATCAGTTGTGGGGGAAATGTTCTTGCATAATGTGGTAACACCTTCCATCTGTATCAAACAAAATGTAAATGTGCCATACTTGAAAAACCCATTCTGATCAAACCAGTTGGCTGTAATTGCAGTTTCTATCACTCAATTTTTAATTCCAATAAATTACACTGGTATTTATTCTATTTTCAAGTAACTGAATATGTGCATGTTGCATTATCTGACTCTTGCATTATCAGTGTGTGTCCTTTCATTGCATGCATTACCTGTATGTGTCCTTACCTGTATCTTGCATGCATTATCTATTTCCTGTATTATCTTTATCTTATATTACCTTATCTTGCATAACCTGTATCTTGCATGGCTTACCTGTATCTTGCATTACCTGTATCTTACATGCATTATCTGTATCTTGCATTACCTGTACCTTGCATGCCTTACCTGTGTCTTGCATTACCTGTATCTTGCATGCCCTATCTTGCATTACCTGTATCTTGCATGCCTTACCTGTATCGTGCATTACCTGTATCTTGCATGCCTTACCTGTATCCTGCATTACCTGTATCTTGCATGCATTATCTGTATCTTGCATTACCTGTATCTTGCATGCCTTACCTGTATCTTGCCTTATTTGTATCTTGCATGCCTTACCTGTATCTTGCATTACCTGTATCTTGCATACATTATCTGTATCTTGCATTACCTGTATCGTGCATGCCTTACCTGTATCTTGCATTACCTGTATCTTGCATGCCTTACCTGTATCGTGCATTACCTGTATCTTGCATGCATTATCTGTATCTTGCATTATCTGTATCTTGCATGCCTTACCTGTTTCTTGCATGCCTTACCCGTATCTTGCATGCCTTACCTGTATCTTGCATGCATTATCTGTATCTTGCATTATCTGTATCTTGCATGCCTTACCTGTTTCTTGCATGCCTTACCCGTATCTTGCATGCCTTACCCGTATCTTGCATGCCTTACCTGTTTCTTGCATGCCTTACCCGTATCTTGCATGCCTTACCTGTATCTTGCATGCATTATCTGTATCTTGCATTATCTGTATCTTGCATTACCCGTATCTTGCATGCATTACCTGTATCTTGCATTACCCGTATCTTGCCTTACCTGTATCTTGCATTACCTGTATCTTGCATGCCTTACCTGTTTCTTGCATGCCTTACCCGTATCTTGCATGCATTATCTGTATCTTGCATTATCTGTATCTTGCATTACCGGTATCTGGCATTTCCTGTATCTTGCATTATCTGTATCTTGTATTACCTGTATCTTGCATGCCTTACCTGTATCTTGCATTACCTTTATCTTGCATGCTTTACCTGTATCTTGCATGCCTTACCTGTATCTTGCATGCCTTACATGTATCTTGCGTTACCAATATATTGCATGCCTTACCTGTATCTTGCCTAACCTGTATCTTGCATTACCTGTATCTTGCCTAACCTGTATCTTGCATGCCTTACCTGTATCTTGCATTACCTGTATCTTGCATCACCTGTATCTTGCATTACCTGTATCGTATATGCATTACCTGTATCATATATGCATTATCTGTATCTTGCCTAACCTGTATCTTGCATGCCTTACCTGTATCTTGCATGACTTACCTGTATCTTGCATTACCTGGTTCTTGCATTACCTGTATCTGGCATTACCTGTATCTTGCATGCATTATCTGTATCTGGCATTACCTTTATCGTATATTCATAACCTGTATCTTGCATTACCTGCATTTACCTGTATCTTGCATGCCTTACCTGTATCTTCATGCCTTACCTGTATCTTGCATGCCTTACCTGTATCTAGCATTACCTGTATCTTGCATGCCTTACCTGTATCTAGCATTACCTGCATCTTGCATGCCTTACCTGTATCTTGCCTTACCTGTATCTTGCATGCCTTATCTGCATCTAGCATTACCTGTATCTTGCATGCCTTACCTGTATCTTGCATTACCTGTATCTTGCATGCCTTACCTGTATCTTGCCTTATCTGTATCTTGCATGCCTTACCTGTATCTTGCATTACCTGTATCGTGCATGCCTTACCTGCATCTGGCATTACCTGTATCTAGCATTACCTGTATCTTGCATGCCTTACCTGTATCTTGCATTACCTGTATCTTGCATGCCTTACCTGTATCTTGCCTTATTTGTATCTTGCATGCCTTACCTGCATCTTGCATTACCTCTATCTTGCATTCATTATCTGTATCTTGAATGCATTATCTGTATCTTGCATGCATTTTCTGTAGCTCGCATTACCTGTATGGTATATGCATTACCTGTTTGTTCTGTTACCTGTATCTTGCATTACCTGTATCGTGCATGCATTACCTGTATCTTGCATTACCTATGTCTTACATGCATTACCTGTATCTTATATTACCTGTTTTTGCATTACCTATATGTAGATGCTTTGCATGTTGAACTTCAAAACTTCATTTGACAAAGTAGAAACTGATAGTTAGGCTCATTTTGTAATTTCTTCATTAGATGCCCCAAGGGAAGCCTCTAAGAATGATAATGAAAGGTCCAGTAAAGCAAGGACGTTATTCTTTACAGTGTCTCAGAAAGAGGACACTGCTAAACCTGAGGTAGTCCAGGTTAAGGATGCTGCTGCAAGCAACAGATCCTCTCCTCCAGTGACACAGCTGAAACCTCCAGGAAGGGATGAGGACCGAGATGGTGATTACTCATCATCAGAATCTTCTTTCTCCTCCTCCTCCTCATCCTCCTCAACGCCGTCAGAGAAAAGTACCCCCAGAGAAGTGACTGAGAGTAGATTAGTTACTCCAACCAAAGCTTTGGGGGTTGTTTCTGAGGCAGATCGAGCACCATCTCGTATTGCAGAGGCTAACATGATGAGTGATGGATCATACTCTTACAAGAGTTCTACTTCCTCGTCCTCAGCTTCTGATACTGAGAGTAGGCCAACTAGTTTGCCAGAACGACCCAAGTCTCCCGTAGCAGAGACACTGATTCAGGAGGAGAAAGAGGAGAGGAAGGAAGAGGAGATGAAAGAAGAAAACAATAAATTATCACTAAGCAAGAAGGGGGAAGAAGAACCGAGGAAGGAGACACTAGAAGAGGAATCCTTGGTCTCGAAACAGATAACTCTCCCTCCCATGATGGACTCTGCTAGGTCTGAACCAGAATCCACAGCTACTCGAGGGGGAGAGTCTGAGAGTGTCAGAGAGTCCAGCAGTTCCTCAGAGGACTCCAGTTCTTACTCATCATCTGATTCTGAAACTGATGACTCAAAATCAAGCCCTGTCAAAGAAAGAACTCCAGTGCAGAAAACTAAGCCCGAAGCCATTTCCAATCAAGTAGAGGATTCAGAAAGTTCCAGTTCTATTTCTGGCTCTGGCTCAGGATCTGAAAGTGAAAGATCAGCCCGGCCAATCACACCATTCCCATCAAGGAAAGAGAAAGTCAGGAGTCAAACCTTAAGTGATGAGGAATCAGATAAATCTAGTCAAGATAAATACCCGAGTAAACCAGTGACAAGCCCCGTCCCTGTAGAAGGTGCTGCAGCACTAGCTGACTCTGCCAATGACAAGGACGTACAGCAGAACGCAGACAAGGGCAATACTGTAGTGAGTGAGAGACAGGCGGTCCTGTCCAGCACTATCGTGGCGGCGGCGGCAATAATGGCGCCAGCTGTCCCTCCTGACATGGACAGGGAAAGTCTCATGGCTGCTGCTGATAGAAGTGAGAGGAAGGACTCTGCTGATGGTGATGGGAAGAAATCTGGTAAGGCTTTGACACCTTAGATGTGAAGACAGGGGCTACAGTTTTATAATGGTAGATGATATTTGTTTTTGCTTTGTTTTTGTACTTTTTGACAGATCTTTCCTCTGATCTTGTCATTTTTTCTGTAGCTATAGTTGTCTATGTGCATGCATGTTAATTGCCCATTGCTAAATGTCATTGTACAGATTTGTCTGTTCTTTGTGGTGCCAAACATCTTTTACTTGTAACAAAATACAGAAAACAGAGATTTGTATGCAAACATGATTTCATCTTATGTACCTAATACAGTGGATGGAACATATTCTTGTCCTTCAAGAAAGATACATGTAGTGTAATATGATATCCATGCTGCTGAATGTCAAATAAGGTTTGGTTACTCTATAATCAAGTCACAGTTAAGGTATGGTATATTATTAAGGTGACCAAATCGGACCAAATATGAGATGGGTGAGTTTAACGTCACGTTCAAGATTATTGCACTTATACAGCGACGTGTGTGTGTGTGCGTGCATGTGTGGCTGCTTATTCTTGTCTGGCCTAAAGCTGATTTTATAGTGCTAGCCAAATGAGGTACCTTCCCACAGTTTAACATGAATACCCCACACAGACACAGTATACTGCCTCTTAGCAAACCCATCCTCTTTTAACCCCTTAGCACCAGGCAGGGTAACAACAAGTACCATCTTTAACGTCTTTTGGTATAACGCATGTCGAACCCCCAACCTTCCATTCTCCATGCAGACACTCTTCCACTAAACCATGGAGGTGGATCAAATATGAAGGATTATATGGCGCTGGGAGTGAAAGGGTGATTTTAATGCTGTACTTAGCAGACTGTTGTTCAGCAATGATGGGTACACTAGTTTGATATCCCAGTGACAGTGTTCACTGACTGACATGCTGATGAATGAGGTTGGGGGATAGTCTAGCAGTTAAAGTATTTTGTTGGAAAATGACCTGGGTTGGATGAAGGCCACAGTCATACAAGTGTATATTCCTGACTGTGTTCTGAAGCTGATTCAGCCTCCAGTGCAGGTAGATGTAAAGTATTCCTTTCTCCCGGGATGCTGTAAGTTGCGTGAGTTATGTGACCAGTTGTCCTGAGAGCACCATGTACGTCTTGTAACACATTGTACACTTTACAGCAGAATCCGGGTCGTCCAGTGTGGACTCCAGCAGTGACAGCAGCAACTCCTCCGGCTCATCCTCGGAGTTGGAGTCGGAGAGTGAGGGGGAGCTTATTGTGCAGGAAGAAACCCCCCGGGGAAGTAAGGACCCCACCCTCCAGGCAGATGACACTGCTTCTAAGGAGGATGCCGCTCCCAAAACTGCAGATGGTGCCACTCCGACTGTGGTGTCGACTGATGCAAGTGTTGGTGATGAAGCCAAACCTGAAGATTCGGACACAAATGAACCACAGCAGACAAAGCTTCCTGCTCCACATGCCACACCGCAACCAGAGCAGACGACATTTCCGTCGCCACCCAGATCGCCTTCAAAATCTCTGCTAGACAAACAGACAGGTAATGTATAGAGAAACTTTTCAGCTACAAACACATGATATGTGGTGACCCTGTGACCCTGTCTAGTTTAGAATATAACCCGATACATCACATTGTGACCCTGTCTAGTTTAGAATATAACCCAATACATCACATTGTGACCCTGTCTAGTTTAGAATATAACCCAATACATCACATTGAGACCCTGTCTAGTTTAGAATATTACCCAATACATCACATTGTGACCCTGTCTAGTTTAGAATATAATCTGATACATCACATTGTGACCCTGTCTAGTTTAGAATATTACCCAATACATCACATTGTGACCCTGTCTAGTTTAGAATATAATCTGATACATCACATTAGACATGTTTCCCTATCTCTAAGGCTACACCATGTTCATTTCTTCATTTACAGATATTATGTTTCAAATCCTGATTGGTAGGTGGGAAATAACATTAAAAATAATGATGACAATTCAGGTTTATTCTTGTTTTTCAAGATGTATCCTGAATTTGTTGCCATGTGTGCAGTGATGATGAAGCTGATCATGCCAGCCTTGTAGTTGGTGAAGCCCAAAAGCATGGATATCATGCTGACAAACCAAGAATAATAATCAGGGCACATCTGTTGGAACCCTTGATCAAAGGATTCTAACATGCCTAAATGACGCAACCCTGCACAACAAATTTGGCAACGAAAATGACCATGGCACCCATTCCTCCGAGATAATGAGAATTACACCTGAGCTTCACTTGATAAATCACATTATCATACCTCCATGTCAGAATGATAGATCTGATTGGTCCACGTGATCTTGATAAAATACTATGTATATTCCGCCTTGGTGGAAAATATAATTTTTAGGCAGGATAATAAATCCCTTATACCCCGCCATGAGTAAGACAGACTGCATGTGGATTTCTGAGAGGCAGAATACATCCCTTATACCCTGCCTTGATGCAAAAAGGCTCACACTTCTTCCAACTCAGTGAAAGTCAGTGACATAGCAAACGCAACATCCGCTCAACCAGACAGCTGTTTTCTATTTTGAATTTTTAAAAATTTAATTACAATGTCATAGTAATACATGTCGGTAAGATAATATCGTTGTAGCAGGATCACTTGTGGTACATGGTATTTTATACATTTTAAACCATGAGCTGGAGGCGTAGGTGTATGAACTAGGTCATGGTCTAGTGAACGCTGTGGTACAGTATATGACCGCGGATAAGCCGACCCCGTAAATAAGCCGAGGTGTTAACTTGACCATTGAAATGCGAAAGAAAATGATATGACTCACAGATAAGCCAAACCAGGAAGTGAAAGGCCAAAAACACTGAGAAGTCGGACTGCAAGATCACGATCTGAAAAATACTATCATGAAATTGTATCCCGTGGATAAGCCGACCCCTTTCTACAGAATCTTTTTTCTGGTCCCTCAAAATTCGGCTTATACGTGGTCATATACGGTACACAAAATCCCCAGTTCCCATGTTACTGCCAAACACTTTATGATTGTGCTTGGGTGGCCATGATTATGTTATTCAAGCTAAAATTGCACATCTATAAGAAATCCTTTTACACACATATATAATTTCTAAGCAATCTGTTACACATACATTCCAATCCAACAAAAGTTGCTGGAAAAGTCAAAACATAACAAGCAGAAACGATTAAATTAAAGGGGGTAAAAAACATAATTTTATTTATATCAGTTGAAATGAGAAATACATGACAATTTCAAGAACTGTTAAACATTTACAAGTAATGGCACCGAAATAATATAGGTACATAGTTTGTGATACTGGACTGTCGTTGCTCAGAGCAAGTGCCCCCTCCGGTCCCGACTGTTGTGGTCATCCCAACCACGCCTGATCTAAGAGAGGCCCAGGGCAGTGGGGAGTGGCAGGATCGGGTTGCGACACCCGTACAGGGCCCCCGACAGCCTGGTGGACTGCCAGCTGAGTTTGAGTATCAGCCAAAACATTCAGCAGAATCTGATGACAAGACTGTGTCAGGTTGGTGGGTGTTTGTACGTAGGGCTCTGACAAGTAAAAAAAATGGACTCGAGTACCCGTGTAAGGGACTGACCATTTGATATTCTAGGCTTGGGGGCTAGATAAAGCTTTTTACTTAAACTATGAGTCAAAATATTAAAAAAAATAATTACATTGCAACAATGCAATTTTTATAGCAGACAATTTCTTTTCTTTTGCAACAATATGAAGCATGATTGGACCCTAAATGAACATGGACTCAAATACCTGATTTCCACTGACATTGTCTTTTCTTCTAAGTCAAAATGCATACAGACACTGTAAAGTTTCTCTTCCATGTCTGCAACACATTTGTTAGAGAAGTGAAGATTGGAGTTATCTCCCCTAGTCAGGTCCTTAAGTCCTTGACGTAGCACCTGACCTGTGCTTGAGAACTCAAGTACCCATCGGAGCCCTATTTGTAATAATTTATACATGAGTTGTACTCTTACGTGTATATCACTTTTTTATTACTTGGTTACATGATGTGGAATAAGATCAGAATTTCAAGATCATTAATTTGTTTTCATTGCACTGATTTGGTTTCATGAAGAAAAAATGAAGAGAAGAAACTCTTGGACTTGTCATTCAAAGAAACAATGATTTTTTTTATATCTCCTCAGTGACCTAAATTTAAAGAAATGAATTTAATTTTTTTAAAGTTTCTAATCTGTGAATCAAGTAATTAAAAACTGAAGGGCAACGGTGCTATATATGTCAGTTTGTTGTGAGAGGTGAGGTGATGTAAGCAACTAATACTTTCTCACAAGACTTGTATTGTTTCAACAGGTGAAAATGGTCAAACCAGACCGACCAGTGAGAGTGAGACTGAGACTGAGAACATGCATGGAGGTAAAATAATAAAAATACATGAAATAATAACAATAACAGTAATAATAATCATACTTATGCAATAGTCATTAGTATTCATAATATTCTGGGCACCGTTCCACAAACCGATCTTAGCACTACAACTATCGTAAGCCAGTGTTAAAGTATGGGATATACAATCACCTTAGCGCTAAGATGGCTTTGTGGAACAGGGCCCAGGACCGCAAAAGAAATGTCACCTAGGATAGATATATGAGAAACCTTTTTTGTCCAAACACTGTAAACATACTTTGAGACATATTAAAAAGATGAAACTTGGCAAAACTGATCATCAAGGTTGAAATTAAAGTGTCCAATGTTCTTAAAGTGAAACACAACACTAGTCTCTAAGAAAGGCATCACAAGTCAGTATCTTGTGTGTCCGCCATCATCATTGATGACTGCCGTGCAACGTCGATACAACGTTGTGGTTGGGGCGACATGCCAAATGAGGTATGCCGTGTGGTCTCAAGACTTGATCAATGTACCGAGCTGCTGTGACACCATTGCTCTCCCTGAAACAATGTTCTGAAAGACCACAGTGCCGACCCTCTGTGCAAGACCAATTCCACCCCACACCATGATGCTCGGACCACCCCACGAGTCTCTCTCAACACAAGCATCCGAATAATGTTCCCCATGGCGTCGCCAGACTCTCTCTCTGTCGTCTGCTGTTGAGATACAGTAACGGGTCTCGTCTGAGAAGAGGACTCTTCTCCATTGCTGGTGTTGCCAATGCTGGTGCTGTGTTGCCCACTGAAGACGGTCCCGGGAATGAGGTGGTGTCAGAATGGGTCCTCGGTGTGGCCTGTGACAGTGGAGGTGTTTACTTGTCAATCGTAGACGCACGGTTTCCGCACTAATGTGCTGGTGTGTCCCCATGGTCTCTCGAGGAGTTTCCGTCGCAGTAACAAAGTGATCTTGAAGATGCTGTCGCACAATATGACGATCCTGACATCGGGTGGTGACCCTTGGTCTTCCACTACGTGGTCGGTCATCTGTTGTGTTGGTGGTCTGGTACCGTTACTGGAGACTGTATATGGTACTAATGTGGACTTGAAATGCCTCCGTGGTCTAGTGGTAGAGCGCATCATACCAAAAGACGTTAAAAGCTGGTACTTGTTGTTACCCTGTCTGGCCCTCGGCATTAAGGGGCTAAATGAAGGACTGGTAGCCTCAGAGTCAGTATACTGTGTCTGAGTGGGGTATTCATGTTAAACTGCGGCATGGTATCTCAGTGAGCTAGCACTATAAATAGGCATCAGTCCGGACTAGTACAAGCAGCCACACAAACACACACACTTACATGCACGTCGCTATAAGTGCAATAATCTTTGACGCGACGTTAAACCCCATTTCACCTCACCTCACCTGAAATGCATTGGCTACTTGCCGGGTGGTTTGTCCAGCTTGCAATCGTCCAAGGGCTTGGTGTCGCTGATTTATTGTCAATTTTGGCATGTGGCAGCAATTCAATAATCTTATCTGATCTGGGCGGATTTTTATAGGGCAAGAAATTTTTGGGAACGCATGTGCATTTCAATTTGCACAGAACTCACGTGCATCGGGTTACCATGGCTGTTGCTGTCATGCGTTTGGGCCATCGGTTTTATTGTCAACTGCTTTGTATTTTTATCATCAAATTTCATTTTTCCGGACAGGGCAATGTAAAATTTTTGAAACTTTGACAAAAATTACCCAGATATTTAAATGACAACTTTTCATGCAATGTTACTTGGGGTGATGTTTCTTTTGCGGTTCAGTATATTATCACCAAGAAAGAGATGATGTCACCAGTGGCTATTACGAGTTATGTCACTTCTATGTCCTGCCTGTTGACCAATCACATTCCATCTCTCATATCAAGATGATCTGATTGATAATCAAAATCTATATTGTAATAAAAAGGGTCGTACCTCTCGCAGTGCATCAGATTACGTGAGCATCTTGATTTAAAAACATGAAGAGATTTAGAAAATATTTGTTGACACCCAGTTGACGGTTCACATGCTTTGCAAATCCTGCAATTGACCCAAATCTGTTTACAAACCGGATGTTGATTTCATTAAATGATTTTGATTGGATTCCAGCCAAAATGAAACTCCATAATTGCAGACAATTTTGACAAGAGTGGAAACAGGACTTTAATGATCAGTTAACTCCCTTGCCTCAGGAAGATGTGGTGATGATGACAGAAAAATTTCTTATGAATATCTGAGATATTGTTGATAGTGATATTAAAAAAGGTATGATTATGTTGATGAATTATTCATTATCATGGTGACAAAATAATGATCATAGTATACTTGATGATTATGTTATTTTGTGACTATGTCATGATTTATTTACCTTGATGCTTCAGGTAACGACCCTGACAGAGTAGCCGATGACGACAGCGCCAAGTGGCAGTCTATACTGGAGTTTGTGCAGCCGCCGCCACAGACGATGCACTCAGGAAGTCTCACCCCGCTGCTGGAAGACCAGAATGCCATCGACATACACAACATCAACCTCACTAAACCACAGGTAGTCAACTTTCTTCTCATCCTCTATTGTCCAGGGTATTGTATCTCAACCCAGTGTTATTACATATATGTACCCTGGACCCACACAGATTGTCATGTTATAAGACTGGTCGAAATAACTCACCACTACGTGGAGAAGTAAACTTACTCTGTTCTTTCCTGATGGAAACATGCCACGATGTCACTGGAACATCTTGATGCATACATCTGTAGTGGAACAAATGCTTTATGTGTAGGGTAAAAAACATGTGCTCTGCAGTTGATTACTTACAAAAACATAAGTTGCCTTTTGTTAGGGAGCAACCATTTACTTTTCCTGGGGAGGGAGGCAGGATTTTTTCAAACAATATAATGAACCCTGTATACTGAACTTTTTTACACAGCTTGTTACATACATTGTTAGAAAACAAAAAATGTGCCCTTTTCTTGTGGACAAGTTTCCAAAGAATACAGTTTGTTATTGTTATTTAAAAACACAATTAGCACCTGTCCATGTTGGTAAAAAATTAGATTCTCAATTTTCAAGGAATAAAATCTCCCCTCCTACACCTGAAAATGGTTGCTCTCATACATTTTGCAGTTGTATCATTTTATTATCCATAAATTGATCAGAATTAAGACCGGATGGGCAAATATATTTTGAAGTTATGTTGTCTTGGTTGCTGGATTGTGCTTGTCGTTAGTTGATGAATAAAGGAAGTGTGTTTGCGATGATGCATACTTACCCCGTGTGTTGACTTCAGATTGTGGAGATAATGCAGACAATTGAGATCAAGGACAACCTCCAAGCTGTCACCATCTCCAACTGCAGCCTCGGGGTGGACGACATGAACAAGCTGCTCCAGTCCCTGGCCAAGTCCCCCTCCAACCCCAGGGTGAGGCAGCCCTCTAACCACACCCTCTGCATACCCTGGGCAGTCTGCATTAGCGATGCAGCATTTCTGTCTGGCAAAGGGATTTTCACCTGTTTGATTGTTGATTGATTGGGGCACTGATAATACATGTGTTGTCTATGTCTAGTCTAGATACTACCACCAGGTTCTAGTTCAGTTATGATATCACATAATGAAGGCATCTCTACACTGTTATCCACATCTAAAAGTTTCTAATAAACCAGTGTCACAAAAAACTGATCTCCATCAATACCTTTAATACTGCATGTACTTTGATACAAGTGCAATACACCAGTCTGTCATCTTGTCCCTTTTATACCATTAACCACATGTAAAATATGAATCTAGGCATTAGGGCTGGGACGGGTAACTCAGGTACTCGGGTCGGGTGGGTAATGAGTAGGACCCGGGTACCCACAGGACTACCCAGCCTTGTGGTTAGTTACGTGATATATTGTTTAATGACAAAAAATATCTACAACTCTATGTTTAAACTACAAGTCACTAATTTTAAGCAGTTCTTCCTGACTACTACACCCATTCCTTCTGAAATTTTTATGTTTGAATAAAAACAAAACTTCAGTCAACTTCAGTGAAGGGTGACCAGATCGTTTTATACATGTATCTAAACACATTTTGCCAGGGCTACAGTCAAACTTTTCCCAATCTGACAGTTTGTACCTACCTCTTGAGACCTACAGCGGGTACCCAGGTAGGGTCGGGTAATAGGGGGGTGGGTACCCGGGTAGTAAATTTGGACTCGTCATTGTACTAGGCATACAATGTTAAATGCAGGACTGAATAGCGATTAAGATGAAAATTGTGTAGCATTATTCCAGACGTATCATGGCTAACTGTCTACCACAACAATGATATCATGTACACTTCAATGTATTTATGTTCACAAGGAATAGTTGTGACATTCACCACCTAGCCTCAACATGGCTGCTCCCACAATCATGTCACATCAACAATTCACGTGCAGGACATGGTGTTGTGTGGTAGCTGTTGGCCTTTTATTGCTTAGTGGGAGCGGCAATGTTGACGCAAAGTGTTGAATGTCTCTGAAATGAATGAGAAACTATCGCAGAGAAACCCCAGGTACAAACCTTTGGAACAGTGGTACATAACAATATAAACATACTTCCCTATAGGTCAAAATGTACCCGGGGTACGTCCTGATTGTACCACGGTTGAGATAATTCTCATTGTACCATTGTGTGGAATTGAACACGGGTCTTACCATATCTCCACCAGGACTGTCTTACTGGTATGACATGATTTCAGTGCTATCATTTAAACAGAAATTGATATACAATGTGGGACAAAAGCATTGGGGAAGTGTACAAATGAAGGTGATCTTATTCTGTTTCAGATCTTGAACCTCAACAATAACATCCTCGGTCCCCGCAGCGTGGTGCCACTCGTTGAGATGCTCAAGATCAAACCCTCCATTGACATGCTGCTGTAAGTGTTGTGTTGAGACAGCAATAATTCCTAGTACATACATACAACGTACAAGTGCTTTTGAAGTCTATTGACTGATTATCACTGAAGTTAGTTGGAAAAAAATATAAAAAAACTTCAAGATTAATTTAAATTAGCCATATTGTGTTGACTCTAGTTTCAGCAGATTCTGCATGTTTGTATACACCCACAAATATTTGCACCGAAAGTCCGGTGTTTCCTATAGCCTACGAAGTAGTTTCAGGAGTCATCCATTTGTAGTGTTGTTGTCCTCAACATTCATCAACTGTGGCAGTACTGTCCTCCAAACATTCATTAACTGTGGCGGTTTTGTCCTCCAAACAATCATCAACTGTGGCGGTTTTGTCCTCCAAACATTCATTAACTGTGGCGGTTTTGTCCTCCAAACAATCATCAACTGTGGCGGTTTTGTCCTCCAAACAATCATCAACTGTAGTGCTTTTGTCCTCTAAACAATCGTCAACTGTGGCGGTTTTGTCCTCCAAACAATCATCAACTGTTGCACTTTTGTCCTCTAAACAATCGTCAACTGTGGCGGTTTTGTCCTCCAAACAATCATCAACTGTAGTGCTTTTGACCTCAGAACAATCATCAACTATAGCAGTTTTGTCCTCCAAACAATCATGAACTGTAGTGGTTTTGTCCTCCAAACAATCATCAACTGTGGCGGTTTTGTCCTCCAAACATCTATAATTTATATTGCATAAGTGTTCACTTTCCGCCCTGTACCTTGATTTGCCACTGAGCAAGCGCAACTGTTCCCCCAAATCATCTTTTTAAAACACTGCTGATGTTTGATAGTGAAGTAGTTCAGCCTTGTTGAACGGTGTCACTTGAGTATCAGTAATGTGTGTATACATTGTTGCAGGTTACAAGGCAACCCCATAGGCAATGAGGGTCTGCAGACTCTTGTGGATGGGCTGTTGGACATAGAGTTCGAGGCCCAGGAGTACAAGAAGAGAGAGTCGGAGCGGATGGGGGGAGTACCAATCTTGTCCATCAAAGGCCGCTTCTGTCAGCTGCAGGAACTGGACCTCAGTGAGGCCAGCATCACCGACGACGGCATGGTGGACGTGGCACTGCTTCTTGAGAGTAACCTTGACCTTCACACTTTGAGTCTCAGCAGCTGTCCGGACATCACCAAGCCAGGATGGTCCAAATTGGCAACAGCCTTAGCAAAGAACAAGAACCTGAAGACCTTGACGATACAGAACAACAAAGTCGGTGATGAGGGTGTTCAGATACTTGTTGAAGGGCTGAAGAGCAACACGTCACTGTCGACCCTGGAGGTGGCCAATGCAGGAATCGGGGAGGCAGGAGGTCGTGCCCTTATTGACCTCCTAAAGCGCAACACCACTGTCAAGTATTTGACCCTGTTGCCAGGCAACGACATTCCTCAGAAGACACAAGACGAGATTAATAGATACCTGGCTTTGAATCAATCCAGTCCATCATCATTACACTGATATGCTTCAAGCGTGATATTAGGTCATTCAGGTGCTGGGGCCAAAACAAGAATTAGCTGTCACCTACATCAGCCCATCCAAAAATAGGATCACATTATATACGGACACAGGATGATAATAAATACTATGGTGCAACTTGAGAAAAACAGGGGGTCCAGATTAGGGTCCATCAGGTAACCTGAAGCTCACTTATGTTTTCTTGGCCTGATGGAATAGCAACAAATGAATATAGGTGATCGATATTTGTTGACTACCCATGTACCTAATTGTTAATTGTCTGTTATTGTCTCCTTCAAATGTGCTTGTCTTCGGCTTCTACACAGGATTGAGTAAGTAGCCTTCTACAGTGCTCGTGGAACTGGTTTCAACTTGACTAATTTAAAGGGGGGTTAGCTTCAAGTAAATTGTTCTGTCCTAGCACATTTGATTCAAGTTTGAACACCACATTGTCTTCTGACTCAGACTTTATCTGTATATCAGCATAGACAGTTACTGATTGCCCTAATGATCTAGAGATAATGTCTCAGTTTCACACGAACAACAATGTCCCGACCTGTTCTGAACATGGGCAATGGCCCTCAGTACCCCTATAATGCTAACACATGTTTTCCTATTGATTTTTGTATCATGTCTCAAAGTGCCCTTGGGCTCATTTGTAAGCTTCTGAGTATGCTTGACCAAAAAGCTTCCTGCATGTAGTGCTTGCATCTGCCATATGGACTGATCAATTTTGAAGCATTTTAGAACATTTTGAAACATTTTGAAGTGTCTTTATTGCACTTCTCATGATATCCAGAAGTGTTTTAGATGTGAAAGACAGGATATCAGTATATCCTACACACGCTGTACAGGGTGAAACGTGCCCCACACTGAGTCATGGCTTCATGATTAGATGATTGTAAAGCTTTAACCTTATTCAAATCATTTCATTATATATTAAGCTGTATTTTTTATAGTATGAAATATGATCAATGTAATATTTATTGGTATGCCTCTTTATTAGCACACTATTAAATTCCTGTCTCATTTCCAAATCTACTTTCCTATTCTGTGGCTTAGTCAAAATGTAGACAAAGTCTTTGTATTTAATTGAATTAAAAGTAGACATTGTCTATGAATTTATTTTACTTAAAATGTATATATGTATATATCTATTTGAATAGGAGCAACAAGTAAATATGCTTTCATTAGAATATGAAAGTGCTTTTCAGATTTCAACTTTTATTTAAGGATCAGAAGCGATATGATATATCAGATTTTAGATATTTTATGATTTATGATTGTAGATGTTTATCATCATAGTTGCTGTATTAAGCACTCCGCTCCAATAGGACCAGTTATCCCTGGTGTGTTGACAACTATCCCTTTTGATCAACCCTAGTGTGTTGACAACTATCCCTTTTGATCAACCCTAGTGTGTTGACAACTATCCCTTTTGGTCAACCCTAGTGTGTTGACAACTATCCCTTTTGATCAACCCTGGCGTGTTGAAAACTATACCTTTTGATCAACCCTAGTGTGTTGACAACTATCCCTTTTGATCAACCCTAGTGTGTTGACGACTATCCCTTTTGATCATCCCTGGTGCAGAAATATATGTTTTAACGTTTAAAGAGGAAATCTTGTGGTTATCTGTTTTCAGATATGCTATTTAAATTATTTTTATCTATATTTCAACATTTAATATTAGTCTGGTCATTCATTTCGAAGGCTAGTGTTATATACATGGTGTTCAACAGAACTTGCAGGATATGTATCTCATTATTATTTATTATCTATGTATCTCAAATTGATTCAACTTTGGTCAAAGTCCTATGAGTAACTTTGTTATGTGCCGTTGCTTGAGGGTGTATGATGGCGTCAGTGGGAGCAGTACACAGATGAATATGTATCTGTCGTGTTTTATCTCTTACAGAGTGAATGGATGGTATCTTTCTTTAATGTGTACTTGTTAATTGTTTACAAGTGTCTTTTACTGTGTATATTTTGATGTTACCAGGCAACGATGTAAACGAAACAGGAGAAAGTTGATGTGATATAGATTACCAGGTATTCAAGAATTCTACATTGGGCTCACTGCCCAGAATGGTATTTAACCAAGAGTACAGAGCTGATTGTGTGTCACAGTATTTGGGGACATTATAAATGTATTTGTTAGGCCATTTGTGTTGTATTTGTTGGATCACAATTTTTTTTACCCCTTTTTCATAAAAAAAATATTTTTTCATCTTCCAGATTTGCATATATTTCGCTTACAAAAATGTTTGCCTGTTATTCATTGTAATTAATATGCTGGTTGGATGCTAAAGTTAACATTTACATTGTGATGGAGTATGTAATAAGTCTAGAGTTGTGTCCCTTGTCCTTGATGCAGACTTTGCTCAAATTATCTCCCTTGGTCTTCCAAGACCAACCAAAATCTAATAAAGTTCGAAAATCAAGGTACCTTGGTTGACACTGATGACATTTCATATTTTCTTTCATTCCTCCGACTTTTGCCCTTTGCAGGAAAATCTGATCCAACAAATGAAACAATAATGGCGGAATCCATTGTGAGATGTTGGGTGTGTTTTTGAAGAACTTTTGCTCACATCTGGTTGTCCTGTTAAAGACATTTACTTACAGAGCTGACTGTGATAAGACATTGTTGTGTCGCAATGTATGCCATCTTTACACATATTATGCAGAACACGTACATAGTACCGCAGCATGGAGTGATCTCACGGAGCATTAGAACTTTGCTTCATGCTGATTGGCTAGTTCAATTGTTCATTGTCTTCATTGTCTGTGAAGCAATCCTAAATATGTAACAAATAATTGAAGATGATGTCATCCTTTGTTCCTGACATCACAGACATTTTTATCCTGTGATGTAGTTCCGACAACAGACTGACTGAACTGCACATATATCTGATGGCACTGGTTTGACTGGTGTGGACATTGGATGGAATAATACACATCTACATCCTGCCAAAGTCACTCATAGAAAAGTGTAAACATGACATTTTTTTAAATAGAATTAACTTATTATTGTTGTGACACACTATTACCCTTTTGGTAGTGTAGTGTCAGATTTCAAGAATTAATGTTGATTCTCGAGAATTACTAATGCTGGTTTTACTGGACGGGTAGACTTTAGCTAAACCAGTTATATTTTATTCCTTGATCTTTTTTTCAATTCTGTGAACTTTTTTGTGATAGGTTGACATTATTTCGTGTCGACAGTGACAATATTTTGTATGATAATATCTAAATATCTCATCTTGTAGGACTGTTGTGTGTAGACTAGTATTAACTTGTTTGTAACTTAAGTTTGGTAGGTATTGATATGGCGCTGTATATATATATTACTGTTATTGCCCAAACCTCTTTGTCAACCTAGAATCTGGTGCCTTGTAGTTTTAGAGATTGCTCATTGGTCAAGGGAAAACTGCTCTTTCTGTGATAAACCTTATTGTTACTTTAGGTGAAGACAACATGGAGAATAAACGTATTGTCAACAAATGCTGCTTTTGTTATACTGCAAACATGATGTTGAAAGTGCATCTAGTGTTTCTGCATCACCATCACTTCACAGGTTTGTACACATCTTCCACAATGATAGTCGTGTTGTGTATACAAACGTGGGAACTGGGAAGTATTGACGATGTTGTTTCTGGTCCCTCCATGTATACAAACATTATTTTTTCAGGACTTATTATTATCATTATTATCATTCACTCATAATAAACATAGTTACAAGTAGCTTCGCAATGTGTGCCCCACCAACATCTACCCCACACCTGCTACTACACAAGCAGGGGATAATAATGTGTGCCATGTCCACACCTAAAGGCATCCTCAAATGGCTACATTATTACCTTGGTCAATAGATCAGTAGAACTCGATTTCCATTCTCAGCTTCATGGGGTGTGTACAACACAAGCTCCTTGTGAGGTGCTAGAAAATTAAGTGATTACCAATTCAGTCTACTGGGTACCCATTCACTGCCAGGTAAAATAATGCATAACTAGTGTCAGATTAAAAACTATAAATCAATAAGAAAAATGGGTGTCATACCTGTCTAATAATAGTACCGGTATGATGAATATAAAAGTCTGTCATTCCTACAGGCCTAGTAATGTAAAGGGGGACAAATCCATTTCAACACCATGTTCTCAAAACACTGCTTTGTAAGTGAGATGTTATCTTTTTTAAACAAGGGTGCATCAATGTCAAAATAATTATTTTGTCAATATACAGCTCAACTTATGTTGAGAATATTCAGAGTGTCTGTATGGAAATAGTATGCTGTCAAACACCTAATATTTATTTTTATTTAAAATGAAAAGTGCAAAAATGTAGTAAGTATACTTTTCCATAATTTGTTCTGCACCCAGTTTTGGCTTGTTAGAGTGCGGTCACACTGTAGACCTGAGTTTGATTCCAACCATAGGTTCAATGTGTGAAGCCTATTTTTGATGTCCCCATTCTGTTCTATTGCACAAAATTATGTAATGAACTACTGGTATTTCTGATTTAAGATAAGAAATATTGTGCTTGTGGGCGAATATGGAGTGCAATGTGTTTATTTTGTATTTGATACATCTTTGATTCACATATAGTACTCTGTGATCAAGTTTTGGGCAGGCTTCTGTAAGATAGATAAAAGCTTATTGCCATTACAAAAACTGATTTCTTTCTGGGACAGCATGCAGAAACACAACAAACATACTGAAAAAAGGTGTTAGTTGTTTGTGAACATGTGGTACATTTGTACATCAACCTACTGTATTGTACTGCTGCTGACATGAATTTTAAAATCGGTGAGGACAGTATGAACACCACTTGTGTGTAAAGGGACATAACTCCATGCACAAAGGTTTAGGCATTTGTCACGACTCGCCCCTTTCTGTAACCTGCAAGAAGACTCGTCCCCCCTCTCGATGAATGTTATGTGCAAAAATACGACAAACCAATCAGAGTGCGGGTATGATTTCGAGTTCTTTGTCAAATAATCCCTCAGAAATAATTTTTGATTTTACATATGTCTTGCATCTAAAAATATACCCAAGATACAGTTAATTAAATATGTTCAATCATACTTAATAATTCTGCACGTCCCGATGTCCTTTAAATTGCATCTGGAATATATATAATATATGGGGAAATATATGTGAACCATTACGCAACGAGTTGACAATTGTTTTAGGTATGCCCGTTTGCGCTAAGACGGAACCTAGTCGCAAAAATGGCCATGAGAGTGGCACGAGTCGCTATTCGGCTTGTCCTGGAATAACACGAGTTGGTCACGAATGAGGTTGAGGTTCTTCAGATACTTGGCACAGCTGCAATGGGTCTGTATATTCCTCCCCATAAGGCACTGAAGAGCGATTAACACCGTGTGACTGTGTACACCTGATGCACATCTGTGCTGTGGTTTCTATACAGGCTCCAGGACATGGTGGTGTGCCACGGGTCTCAACAAGATGCCCTTTGCTTCAGGATGGTGTATACATGTGCCAACAGTCATAACAATCACTGCAAATCTCATCATGCATTCACCTCATTTGTATTCTCTAACACGACACCGGGTCATCATGAAGGATTAACACTGAAGTCAGAACAGCTCAAGAAGCAGACTGATCATTGCTGATGGAGCAGACAAATAGATAAATCACCACCTGGAGATGAAAGGCAATATTCTTAAACTGTGCCTGAGGCTGCCTTGGCCTACGTCACATCTACATCAGTGGAATATGTCCTCGGACACATAGCCAATGGTCTGACTATGATGACCACCAAGTCTGTCAGATGCGAGGTGGTCTGTCCACAGCAGTCATAGTTTGCATCCAATCTCCATGTACAGTATTTGTCCCCTTATCTCTGAGGAGTCTGATTCATCAATGAGAAAGTATGGTTTTGGAGCATTGAATTATTTCAGCAATATTATTAAGAATGGGTTTGACCATTTGAAACTATGTGAGCAATTGAATCTTGGCACCTCTTGTCCTGGGCAAGAAAATAACACAAATCAATTGAAACAGCACCTTGGTATTCTATTTATTTCACATTATTTTACCATGTCAATACATAAATATAATCAACAAAATGTTCCGGACAGCAAAGATCAAGCTGGTATAATGGTCTCCTTCGCCTCTAGTGGTGTAGCTCATGTGTGGTAGTAACTGTACTGACGTACTTACATGAAAGACTGGTCTGGGCGGGCCACACGCCCTCCACACTAGACTCTAGATACAGGCAACTACGCTTCAAGCACTGAAGGTACACATCATAATCCTCACCCTATCAATAGGATCTATGTATTCCTAAACCTTCCTTTAGTTTGCATATATTTTCTTACAACACAAGCTCATTAGGCAGACGTTGTGAAGGAAGGCCTCTGATATTCTTCATGATTGTCGCCATTGCTTAATGCCCCAAGGTTTACAGATTGTTGTAGATCCTGCCTGGCTGAAGGTATTTCTAAAATTTCTAACATGATTTCCATGAGGATCAAATGTGAATACTGCATTCTGAAGAACTTTCAAACAACTATTATTGTGAGACATGTAGTTGATACAGACAGGCATAAAGATGGATTACTTGATTCTCAAGTGTTGGGCCTTTGTACCACAATACACACACAACAATCGATAGTCCACTACTTCTTGGGTACTAAACAGATACACAATATCCACAGGCCTTTCTTGATCATTCACTCCACCTTGCAAAGGCCACTTTCACGGTCTCCATCATGTAACATACATTCTACTCCATTCCAGTAAACCTACCATTCCCCCTAAGGATATATTTGATCTAGAACCATAGTTGCTGCAGATTTGGAACTAGCATTGCATTGAGGACATGTGGTCCGCCCATTTTGCATCTACCGGTAATTAATACAAGGCAATTAGCTGAAGCATACTACAGCATTTGGTCAGATTCTTATAGTACGATCGTCACATCTTTGTGTAATGTATAAGAAAGCTTTTTTTTAAAAAAAGAGTAAAACATGAAAAATATATTTTTCTTCAGACAGAAAATAATAACGATTACAGTCTTAGGCTTACATTTGATAGCTTATGAATTTGTTGAGTAATCATATTAGTCATAAGATTTATAAAATGCTGCTGATTCCATAAAATAGTGCACATTGTTAGAAAAGTTGGTCTGTACAAATGTTAAGACAGAAGGAATATTGTGGTTGATGTTTGTTCAGGCAGCACATAGCACGAAGCTGACAGCATGACATTTCCTCGGCACCAATGCTGCTTCAAACACTCTCAGTCGCAATCGTGACAAACTTGGACCCGTTCCATGTCGACTTGAACTGTTCTGGGAGAGCAAACTCTTTCTGCAACACACAAAGGGAAGGGTCAGGACTGGATTTGCTTGTTTGTATGATGGCAATATAACAACTACCATATACTTATTGCTTGAACAAAGGCAACAACGATATGTTTGAAAAATAATTTCAAGCATCCTTTTTAGTTAACACAAACAATCTGAAGTTCTTTTTATTTCTAAAAAGAAAAAATTATTCAGCTGTTTACTTAGGCTAAAACAGTTTCAGTTTTCAGTGTTTCAGTCCTAGAGCTAGACAAGGGTCAGCCATACACTTGCCTGACAAAAATACAGTTGAACCTCGTTATCCCAAACACTGTTATCTCAAACCTATCCTCCGTTCACAGCCGCCTCAATCCTTATATGTATAAACATGTATAAATCTGGTCACTTAGATACAAACACACTGCCATCTCCACCTTGGACTCAGTCCCAACTCTGACTTTACGATATTGTTATATTATTGTTTGTTTTTGAACACCACACTCAGCAACATTCCCGCTATAAGACGACGGTCTGTAAATAATCCAGTCTGGGCCAGACAATCCAATGATTGACATCATGAGCATCGATCCACATAATTGGGATCAATGACATGCATCAACCAAGTCAGCGAACTTGACCACTTGATCCCGTTAGTCGCCTCTTACGACAAGCAAAGTCGCCTTTTACAGCAAGCATGGGTTGCTGAAGACCTATTGTACCCCGGATCTTCACGGGTCTCCAACATCTACTAACCCAGGATGAACCTACTCCACAGACACTGAGGCGTGCCCTGAGGTCCTTGATGTATGCGCTGTACTACCTGAATTTAGGGACCTTGCTGATTGGTAGCTCTTAACATCAGCATTATGACCACTTCACTTTCATGCAGTATTTTGTACATTGCATGAATGTGTTATTTATAGGACTTTTACACAGGAAACATTACACTGAATCATGAATTTTCTGTTTCAACTTGGTATTATGGGAAACTGTATGTGTTGCAAGTTTCAGTAAACCAGGAAGTGGGAGTGTTATAGGATGACCTTGTGAGGTCATCTCCAGTATTTCAAGAACATGTTAGTCAAAGCACCTGGATGCTCCTGAGACTTGAGTGACGGATAGAAGCTGTCTGCATTATCTCAGCAGCAGGAATTTGTTATCTGAGTGACTGAGTGTTTCAGTTTAATTTTTGGTTTCATTGTCTTGTGGTTTATTATTAAAAAACCCTGACAACTCTAACTGTAGCTTACATATTCTCCATCAGCTTGAGGAACCAGGATGTTGAGTTCGGAGGATTTGGCGGTAACAATCTCCGCTTGGATGGAGTCCTTGCTCAGGTACATCATGCAGCCATCTGTCTTGTCTATAATAACTGTGGGCATTTTGCCAGTTACCTGAAACCAACAGTTGATACATTCATCATCACAATCATGGATGTCATAGGCATTATCACATGTGCTGCCGCATGAGGACAAACACAGAAAACGTTAAGCACATTATGTTTGTTGTTTAACGCTGCACTCGGCATATTCCAGCTATAGATAAGTCTGGACAAGACAATCAAGTGATTGACATCATGAGCATCGATCCACGCTATTGGGATACGATGACATGCATCAGCCAAGTCAGCGAGCCTGACCACCTGATCCCATAAATCGCCTCTTAGTACAAGCATAGTCACCCCTTAAGGTAAGCATGAGTTGCTGAAGACCTTTTCTAACCCAGATCTTCACGGGTCAAGGCACATCATTCACTAGAAAAACAGATTATTTTAAGTGAGTGAGTGAGTTGGATTTAACACCGCTTTTAACTGTATTCCAGTTATATCATGGCGTGTCAGCTTAATGTGGGAGGAAAGCCCGAAGTGATGCAGGTCTAAGACATTTACCACTTCGGTGAAACCACGAGCACGGGTATGGGGCTGACAAACCTAGAAACATAATGAGGGCGAACCGGGATTCGAACCCACAAACATAGGTTTCTGGCGTGCCCAAGGGACGCAACTCTGCACAGCGAATCGCGGCGCCTTAGACAACTGGGCCACCCCTGCCCCAAGTTTGTTTTAAAAGAGATCAATGGCAGGCCACTATTTTGTGGAAATTATGAAACTCCCAAGGAAACGACCAAGAAAGTGTTGTGGGCAGATAATCCAAAATTCACTGTAGCTCGTCAGTTATCATCTCAATGGATAATATAGAGCCAATAAGGCAGAGGTTTGAGGACAATAGAAGATAATCTTCCTAGAACTTCATGTCTGCCTGTTGTAGGATAGAACCTCATGGTCAGTGTGACATGTCATGGATGTGTCCCATCTTGGTGAACCTCACTAGCATGGTGCTGACAAAACAGTGATAATAATTATGGGGAATCTCAGTTTTGAACCTATGATCCTCGGATCCTGGCCCAGCTGAGGGATGAAACTCTTCACGTAAGATATTAATGACGTACCTGACCCTGAACGCTCTGACAGTTGATGAATTCAACAGAAGACACAACGTCCTCAAACACTACAGCACTCTTCTTGCATCCATCTGAAACAAAAACAGAGATGTCAGTACAAACTGTCCTAAACATGCAATGAACGATTCCAGCCATACTCTGATGTCAGTAGTCACCTGCTGAGTTTGTCTCAACACTGTCGATCAGGACATACGTTATCAAGTTTCTGGCAAATGGTTCCAGAGAGAATTCACAATCAGAAATAAGACAAATATAGTTTAAATTCACTCATTGTGCATTATAGGGTTTATACCAGAGCGACCTACCGAGCAGGATGGAGTTGACCTTGCCCTTGACAGTGATGGTGCTGCCGACACATTTGTAGACATACACGACCTGCTTGGTCTCCGTCTGGTCGATGATGATGTCCTTGTTGTTGTTGTGGTATTCCTGAAACACATTGACAATATAGACTAGGGTTCGGACACAGGGAGTCATGGGCAGTAAAACAACGTCCCATCCAGGAGCAGTCTGCCCGATGTGCAAGATGTCCTTCCGTCAGACAATGGTATGCCTACATACTGGCTAACGTTGGGAATATGCAATATCCCTGTGTGTAGGTTGGGGCTGATCGAGATCACATCCCTGTCTAGCCTTAGTGTTCAGTATCCCTGTGTTGGTTGGGGCTGATGGAGGTCACATCCCTGTCTAGCCTGAGTGTTCAGTATCCCTGTGTAGGTTGGGGCTGATGGAGGTCACATCCCTGTCTAGCCTGAGTGTTCAGTATCCCTGTGTGTAGGTTGGGGCTGATCGAGGTCACATCCCTGTCTAGCCTGAGTGTTCAGTATCCCTGTGTGTAGGTTGGGGCTGATGGAGGTCACATCCCTGTCTAGCCTGAGTGTTCAGTATCCCTGTGTGTAGGTTGGGGCTGATCGAGGTCACATCCCTGTCTAGCCTGAGCGTTCAGTATCCCTGTGTGTAGGTTGGGGCTGATGGAGGTCACATCCCTGTCTAGCCTGAGTGTTCAGTATCCCTGTGTGTAGGTTGGGGCTGATGGAGGTCACATCCCTGTCTAGCCTGAGTGTTCAGTATCCCTGTGTGTAGGTTGGGGCTGATCGAGGTCACATCCCTGTCTAGCCTGAGTGTTCAGTATCCCTGTGTGTAGGTTGGGGCTGATGGAGGTCACATCCCTGTCTAGCCTGAGTGTTCAGTATCCCTGTGTAGGTTGGGGCTGATGGAGGTCACATCCCTGTCTAGCCTGAGTGTTCAGTATCCCTGTGTGTAGGTTGGGGCTGATGGAGGTCACATCCCTGTCTAGCCTGAGTGTTCAGTATCCCTGTGTGTAGGTTGGGGCTGATGGAGGTCACATCCCTGTCTAGCCTGAGTGTCCAGTACCCCTGTGTGTAGGTTGGAGCTGATCGAGGTCACATCCCTGTCTAGCCTTAGTGTTCAGTACCCCTGTGTGTAGGTTGGGGCTGATGGAGGTAACATCCCTGTCTAGCCTGAGTGTTCAGTATCCCTGTGTGTAGGTTGGAGCTGATCGAGGTCACATCCCTGTCTAGCCCGAGATTCCTCAATCACCGCCACTTCAAATAGTGAGCGAGCGTAATGCAGTTGGGGTTAACGCCGCTTTTAAAAGTATTCCAGTTATATCACGGCATCTCAGCTTAATTTTGGAGGAAAGCCTGAAGTGAAGTCTTATACTTTGGTGAAGACCAAATGGTACTGACAAACCTATAGACATAACTGGAGCAAACCAGGAGTTGAACCCATGATAGTAGTTCTCTGGCATGCCCAAGGGACGCAACTGTGCACAGCAAATAGCAGCAGCCTCGACGACTTGGTCACCCATGCCACCAATGCAGCTTTGAGCAGTAATTAGCTGCACAGCATGTCAGTGTAATACAGACAATAACTACCCGGGAACAGCTCACTTACCCCCATAGTAGGATTACAATAAGTTTGGTTATTTGTTGTTTACTGCCAAACTCAGCAATATGACAGTGGTAGCCAGTAAATAATCGAGTCAGGACCAGCCAATCCAGTGATCGATATTGTGAGCAAAGATCCACATCAACCAAGTCACTGAGTTTGACCACTGGATCCATCAAGTCGCGTCCTGATGACCCGTCCACGAGAGCAGCATTTATTAGCATGTGATAATGAGTGATCAAGGAGTACTCACAACAATCCACTTCTTGTCCTGGAGTTGGGTGAGAGGTGGCCTGGAGACAGCAGCAGGGGCGACCTTGGCTTCAGGCTTGGGCGCTGTCTTAGGAGGCCCAGCAGCCTTGAAGGGGGCGGGGCCCTGTCTCAGGGCAGGGTTCTTGTGGGTCTTCATATCATCAGAGACCTTCTTCAATCCTGAAACAAAACATATCCTTTACAAACCTTTGCTCACGATCTAACATTGTGACACAGATACACGAGGAATAAGAAAGTTAGACACGGAAATCCCAAAACAAGCTCCCCTAAAAAGAAAATACTTTACACAGCTGACAATACAAGCACTCACATGGAACAGAACAGGACATCAAATCTATGTTAAATACATACACTTTTCGCACAACACTTGTTTTCAATGCATCCGAGATCCATACAAAGTATATAGAAGCCTGGCAAAACATGACAAATACTTGAGGGGGATCTGAAGGTTCCGGTGACATTACCTGTGTCTCCCAGCTGCGATGGAAAGTACAATCCCAGTGACTTAGTATGGTCCCTGCTGTCAGCTTAGACAGACTGATTAGGGAAGGAACTGAAGAAGGCTAGCTGTGAAAGCAGGCCAGGTTTGGTAGCATGTGACTTAAGGACAATCCACACACAAGGAGTGGGAGCACATCTCCTGGCCTGACTGTATTTGATATAACACGTTGTCTTGTCAGCTCGGTGTTACACGCTCTGCTATTAGCACCATGTAAACAAAGCAGGCGGCTGGCCTATGTCGTTACACAGTATATCCCAAACACTGACTGTCAACATGGCACAGGATAGCCACCACTTGGAGAGAGTCGTCAAGACGTTTTCTCTGTGCCAACTTGATCACTACTAAAGGGAAGTGGGAATAATGCTTCATGATATAATTCATTACAAAAGTATATCCATATACGAAGAATTACTGATACTTTAATCAGGAACTTTATTGGGTCTGTATGGGTCATTTGCTCTTGTTATCAACCGCTGGTTTATAGGTCAATGTTGGGGGGGACTGACACTATAGGGAATTGCACCTACTATCAACCGCTGGTTTATAGGTCAATGTTGGGGGGGACTGACACTATAGGGAATTGCACCTACTATCAACCGCTGGTTTATAGGTCAATATTGGGAGGACTGACACTATAGGGAATTGCACCTACTATCAACCGCTGGTTTATAGGTCAATATTGGGAGGACTGACACTATAGGGAATTGCACCTACTATCAACCGCTGGTTTATAGGTCAATATTGGGAGGACTGACACTATAGGGAATTGCACCTACTATCAACCGCTGGTTTATAGGTCAATATTGGGAGGACTGACACTATAGGGAATTGCACCTACTATCAACCGCTGGTTTATAGGTCAATATTGGGAGGACTGACACTATAGGGAATTGCACCTACTATCAACCGCTGGTTTATAGGTCAATATTGGGAGGACTGACACTAACCCAAGACCTGCCACCAATGCAGTGAGTGTCACGAAGTTGCTTTTTCCCACTGATCCCACAATCCATCCAAGAAATACCATCCATCTCAATAGGCTGCTTTGACCAGCACACTATACAGGGTCCACATGAGACATCAAAAACCACAGCAACATGTCAACATGTCCACACACAAGATGGATATAACCTAAAGAGTCAAATGTCTTAATGTGGCCCCTGAAAAGAAGGCTGAACTCAAACACACCCAGATGTCAACACAAAAGTAACCTGAGTTGAGTTTCCTTCAGGTGCACACACCCAGACTTCAGATGTCCCAGGTCACTCGCAAAACATCTCACTCTGAACGGACAGAAAGTTAATTCCTCTCACACACTTATGTACAGAGAAACAGGTTATGCACCCTTTAATGCTCTTCATACTTGGTCGCTAACACCAAACGATTCAGGAGACAGAGCAAGTCCCTTCAGAAAGCAGGCTAGGTTGGTGAGCATGCTGCTTTGAATATATGCCTCCAGTGGGAGAAAGTTCGAGCAAAGTACTAAAGTAATAATGTAAAGACAAACACAACAAGACAAAAAGTGAGCTAACTCACCAATTGCCCCGACTTCGACTCCCAACATATTTCTTAGTTCAAAACATGAAAAAAGCAATATTTTAAATTATAAATCCACTTATCGAACTTTGCACTGCACCTATCCTATTGGTTTAAAAACTGTACCCCCAATTGGAAAAGAAGTAGTTTTTAAGTTATAGGTCGCACAAATGTTGAAGTAAAAAATATTTGAAGTTTAAAACATGAAACAAAATAATAAATGTTTTCAGTAAAATACACATATCAAAATCAAACTTGCACTGCACCTCTTCTATCAGTATGGAAACTTCCCTAAATTTGAAAGAATGCATGAACTGGGCTGCATATATACTTTCAGGTCGAAGGTATAATAACAACATCTGACCTTCCAATAGTAAACTCAATGTCATTCCTTCCACATCAAATCAAATAGTATTCATAATCACTTCAACTGTCCCCCATACTACTGACTAACCTACATGAAAACACACAGCCGTAAACAGTCACAGATGAACAAGGATAAAAACTCCCCCCAAACAGTCTCATGAACCACTCACTTGACTTGTACCATATCCCTGCACATATCTATAACGACGTTATTCTCGGCCCTTACATGCCAGAATGTATTGATATGGATGTGACAGTGTTGTGATGACTTACCCCTGACATGGATGTTGTAGTTTGACAACAACGGGGAAGTGACTTGTAACGGCGGAAATACTTACAACTTCTCGGTCAGGGGCAGCGTACTGCCACACTTCTGAAGGAAATCTTCCAGCTTGTTTGAAAACTTAACTTTGAATTTCTTAAGGATTTGTAATGTTTGCAGGTTCTTTGCAGCTGGTTAAATAAATTCTTTGAAATAATTCACACATTCTATTGTGGGCATATATTTACTTGAAGTGTGAAAGGCTGCTACCGTAGTTACTGTGTTAAACATAATGAAGCATTAGATTGAAAGTGTGCATTCATGAAGCATCTTATTTCTTTCACCTAATTATGCGATAGTCAAACAATACTTAAGGAATTATTTACATAATGAAAGATCCCAGATTTATTAATCTCGAAATAAGGAAAGTCTAAAGTTTGTATTCAAGTACTGTATATCCTTAAAAATGTTTTTAGATCCAGATATGTCTTTATGAAATTATCATAACAACATCTAATTAAATTGTGACCTGGGTAATAACTGGGAAAATTACAGAAATGTCACGTGATCTTTTCGTTGGTGTCATGTTAAATCATGTTAATATTTAATAGAACTTTCATATAAATAGGATTCTGAGCACTTCCTTGTTTGGTCCCGTATCAACTTGAGCAATGTCCTTATGGAAACACACTCCACTCGGTCATATTTGGTTCAAATTTTTAATAATTCTGGGTCAAGATTTTCTATGTGAATAGTCCTCATAAAGTTTCGATATCAGTACAAGTTTAAACTCAAATTGAAAGCAATGTTTAGTGCCTGCATATTTTTAAAGAAGCATTTATTAAAAAAACAAAACTTTTACTTTTTTGCCTGTTATCTGTTATGAAAAAGTTAAAATAAATACAAAATATGAATGCTGTTTGATTGAAATTATACTTATCGTGAATATATCTTTTTATTTTTTAATTTTCTCATCTGTATTTTCAGAAAAATTACAACAAAAACCTGACATTTTAATGTCACACTGACAACTGAACAAACTTGGTCTGGACTTGATATTTAAATATTAAGTAATGATGATGATAACACAACAATCTGTAACATCCTGTTACTTAAAGTAATACCATAATGTGTGGATTTTACACAACTTGAAATAAATTTATCATTGAACCTGTTTAAAAAGCATTCAGCACTTTAAAACAGAAAAAGGGAAAAAAAAATCAAATTTAAAAAATGCATCAAGTTTTGTAAAGTTAAGATCATTCAACTCTAAGCAAACGTTCAATTTCCAAAAAGCTTGCAATAACATTCGTCTCCTAGTCGTTAATATGTGAATGAGCTGTGCACCTTAGCAATGGCAAACACAAGGTGTGCACAGGTTTAGGGTCAGGCAGAGCCGGAGGAAAACTGCATTTTTACCTGCATGTCCTTCTTTGTTTACCGTCTTGTCATTCAAGTAATTAGACCACTGCAGGGAAACTACACAGCACTGGGCTGAATCAGTTTATTTTGGCAGGTTTAATCAAATTGGGAGTACTTAATTTAAACAAACCTGAGATTCATGCTGCTTTGAATTCTCAAAGATGGCGTCTGCTTCATGACCAGTTTCCCATTTCAAGTCTAGATCTAGACACTGTTACTGTTGCCATTTGTGACATTGAGACAGTGTCCCTTTATCATCAGGGTAATCATAAAAAGTGTTTTGTTTGTTTGTTGCTTCATTCAGCAACATTCCAGCTACAGGAGAGTGGCCTGTACATAACCAAGTCTAGACCAGATAAACCAGTGATTAATGTCATGAACGGTGATCCATGACATCAGGGCACTTTGACAAGCTGTCAACCAAGTCCCCGAGCCTGACCACCTGATCCATTCAGGCGCCTGGTATGATAATCACAGGCTGGTGGAGCCCACTTCTAACTGGGAATCCCCCCCCATGGGGATCAACTGACACATCCGAGTTACTGGACCATGGTCAGGACCATGACAGAGAGAATCTGGCACTTGATACCCCGACCCTCATCCCTCGATTCACACAAGGGGCAGCGGGTATGGGCATTCTCGCCTGCTCCGGTTTTGACTGTTTGTTGTTTTAACCAGCATTCAGCTCAATTCCACCAAATTCACGTCAGCCTGTAAATAATCTCGTCCTGACCACACAAACCAGTGGTGGATGTTATGAAGAAATGCCTCATGCGGCAGGGTACAAGGACATGCAATTACCCAAGGTCACATCCCTGTCTATCCTGGGATTTCTATACCACAGACCCTTCACAGAGTGAGTGAGTGAACTTAATGCGGCTTTGAACAGCAATTATCTACATCATGGCATTCCAGCTAAATGATGGCAGTGGACTGTAAATAATCAAGTTAGGACCAGAGAATCCAGGGATTGATACTGTGAGCAAAGATCCATGTGGCTATGGTATGATAACACGCATTCAACCAAGTGACCACTCAATCCACTTAGTTACCACTCACAACAATCCTAACTCAGAAACCCATAGAGTCTTCGACTTAATTTGTATCTGTACCATCAGTTTTTTAAGTAACGTCCCACAACAAAGGAGCATCGGTGAGTCTACTCACCCTTTGTAATGTCTGTTCCTTTGTTGAGCTGACTGAACAGGGCAGCTCGTTCTTGTTCCGCGCCACCCCCAGAGGAGTCCACAGCTGCTGGTGGGGGTGGGGGTGGGGGGCCGGGTGGGGGTGGGGGCGGAGCACCTCCCCTGGCTGGGGCAGCTGCCGGTGGTCCCTGGAAATATACAAATTATGATTCTGTAGGTTTACATTTAATTGACAATCAGTCAACTTTGAGTGTTACAGTGAGCAAGATGAATTACTGATACCTGTACTTTTCATCTAAATAACGGCATGTCAGCCGTCACAGAACCCACAAATATGGGTATTGTGAGGACAAACGTTTGACCACAATCAGGACAAATTGAGGATCTGAACCCCCCTAACATAATTAGAGAGTTAACAAGCATATTTTGTTTGTTTGTTGTTTAACGCTGCACTGAGGAATATTCCAGCTATATGACAGTGGTCTGTAAATAATCAGGTCTGGACCAGACAATTCCGTGATTGCCATCATGATTTTTGCCACTTATAAGAGTACTTCAGTAACTACATGGTCAGCTTCATCAAAGCGGGAGGGGAACCCAACATGGTAGACATATTTCTTACAAAATCCACAAGCCTGGGCATCTGCTGACAAAGCATTGATCATAATCAGAGTAAATATGAGATTAGCACCAAGGTGTGTCAACTAAGGGACGTAACTCTGCAAGGTAAGATGTGTAGTTTGGGATCACTGGGCAAGAAGAACTTTGTTGACCCAGGAAGCTATTTTGTGATACTTTGGAGTTTCATATCTAAACCATCTCAAGCATGTCTCTGTTTATCATGCTTATCATGCTCAAATATGAATTTATTTTCACATCAGCAAGAGTCAAAAAAAGAGGAAGAATATAAGTTAGACTGGTTTCATTCAACATTCATCCACGGAAAACATGTTTCACAAAAATTGTTTCAGATAATAAAATATTCTCAAAATAGCTCTGCTACAGGTTTTTGGTGCTGTAAGATACCAATACAACCAGTATGACAAGGCATCCAACAGGAGTTTCCTCACAGAAAACTACATAATCCATTCATACATGTAGCTAAAAAACAGTTAATGATCATCAGTAACAGGCAATGAGGTAATCTGACTACATTGCAGATTTGAAGATGAACTCATCGTACGCAATGTGTTTAGGTTGGATTGAAGTACGAACAGAGTTGCCTCCCTTCCATCACTCACCTCACAGGCCATTTCTCCATGAAGAGGCACTGTTAGTCCTGCACCATGACCATGGAATATATTTATTTTATGAAAAAATAATAATCTAGAAATGCATACAAAAGCAAGTCTAGCCAGCTCAAGCTAGCTCTATTCCACAAATCAGCATAGGGAATATTTTTTTTTTTTACTCAAGAAGGATATTGTGTAATATAAGATTTCAGAGACTAAATGTTAGTCTAAGGCACTGTATGGAGCTTGATCTGTTTGCAATGTGAATATATGAACTACAAATCAAAATAATCTATGAAATCACTCAGGACATCGTTAGATGTTTTATCACTTCTGAAAGAATCTGCTTAAAGAATACCCGGACACAGGTAGTGACCAAAATTTCAAACCTAAGTACTCAAGTTGACCTTTAAATCTGATTAAATATGTACATGTACTTGTTCTGTCTTGAGCTAGCTATCACTAACATTGACATGTGAGAGTTATTATCTGTATCAAACTATAAAATCCACCCAGACCAGTATCAATATTTTTAAGTGATTGGTTATCTTTGCCCTTACCCTACATCTGGGTAGCTGATGCTGAAGCACCATAAAAAGTCTGTACGTTTCTCTTGTGAAGAGTTGAGGGAGGTCAGAAAACTGAACACAGTGTTACCAATCAGGGCTTAACCTCAGTAAATCCATCTGTCTGACATTCTTCAAATATGTTATTTGTCTTAAAAGTGTTTTATACTACTCAATAAACATGCTGCCTTCAAGAAACAAAACCAAAAAAGTTTCAATGCTGTTCTTTCAATTTTCTCTACCTTTTTTTCTGTTTCTGTTTTTGTAAGCATATGGTAGTTAAGCGAACTCGACCTTCCAACAGTAGAAATTGATCATATCCAGATCTGGCGTTTCACTTCCTATACCGATTGCTCCAACAATGACAGCATGGAAAACTGAACTCTTCTGGGATCAATCGGGGGAAGACGCTTGCCAAATTAAATGGCAGGGTTAGACGAAAAGAACAGAAAAAGTCGACATCTTCTTGCTTTATGACATTTCAAGTTGTCAGACTTTGTTACCTCTCTTCATTAACCTTGGCAGAATAATTTCAGACACAACCATACAATATTTTTCTCTCGTAAATAAAATGTTAGTATAAACTTTTAACTCACAATTAATTTCTTACAACAGGAGTGATGCATGTCTGTGCAAAAAGATGAAGACAAAGATGAAAGATAGAGCCATGAGACTCCGTAGTTCATCAGCAGCCATACTTAAACCTGCATCCAACTCTGTAAGTAAATCATAGGGATAGTACTAATGCTGGGATCATATACCCCAGTTTGACGTTCATGAACTCAGCAGTCACAGCAAAAGTAACACACCCTGTACCGCATTTCCAATATGGTTACGGAGGCAGTTCGCATGCAGTGAAAAATGGTGATGCACTCATACATGACATCCTTGGGAGCATCATAACTGGGGAACCTCGATGATTTTGTTGATAATAGATATTGCTGAAACACTTGGAATACCATACCAGTACCTTAATATCCTCTTGAATTATTAGGCACAAAAGGGAAATTCAATCATTACTACCACAGAGAATCACAAACCCAAGGTTCATCAACACCCAGTCTGGTACCTTTGGTTAACTAACCAAACTAAGTCTTACATTGGAAAGAAATACTAACACAGTTTGTCATATCTGGAGAATCCATGGCTGAAAGTAGCACCTACATCAGTCCTCCTAGAGCCTGATTAACACAGAGTGAAGCAGTGTGGGTTTACAATACCCCCTAGGGATTCTAGCACCATGCTGGTAATCCCAGCAACAACCTATACTTACAGCGTATTAGCCATATTAGTGATAGGACTACACAAACACGCACTACCCATATCCAGCCCATTAGGCGCTGTACAAACCCCCTCACCTCTGTGGTGGTACTGTGATTCCTTGAGACTTACATGTGCTTAGTCTCAGTCCTGATGCACATACATTGGGTCAAATATTCAAATCTTTTAAAATTTGTGCAATATCCTCTGCATAGAAATATAACAGTATATAATAGTGAGTGAGTATGGTTTTACGACGCTTTAAGCAATATTTCAGCAATATCATGGCGGGGGGACACCAGAAATGGGCTTCACACATTGTACCCATGCCGGGAATCGAACCCGGGTCATCAGCGTGACGAGCGAACACTTTAACCACAAGGCAACCCGACAGCCTTGCAAATAAAATAAATGACTTTAATTTGAATATAATTTTTTCAGGTGCCCAATGTAGAAAAGAAATGACTTGTGCTTTAGACATGTAGCTCGACATCGGCTCAGTCATACATGCCGTACTACCACAACCAATATTCTACTAATTTCAGCCCTTTCGTTCTGGTAAACACAATGGGGAGACTGACATTTCAATCTTCCATTCTTAGTGTACTGGGGCTGGGACAAGTCCAAATTTACTACCTGGGTACCCGTTGTAGGTATCAAGTTGGGTACAAAATGTTCGACTGGGAATTGTTTTACCGCAGCCCAGGGTAAAAAACTATCCAGATACCCATATGAAACGATCTGATAATGCATACACTGGAGCATTGACTGGAGCTTCTCTTCATTATTCAAACGTATAAAAGTCCGAAAGAATGCATGAAGAGTCCGAAAGAAATGTGAACATGAGCGAGTTATTTAACCATGGAGTTATAGTAGAGATTTTTTGTCATAAAACAATATATCACTTGATAATACGCTGGTCTGGGTAGTCTTGTGGGTACCCGGATCCTGCTCAGGGCCCACCCAACCTGAGTACCCACGCTAGCCTTTCCAGCCCTAAACAGGGAATCAATGCCCATTTTACGTCATGTCGCTTACTGCTAAGGAAAAGCCAAATGGGAGAAGTGCCGTCACTTGCACTTAGATCAAACAATAAAACTTTCCGCAACAACAATCTTTGAAAATTTAAACATTCTCTAAAAAGACCAGAGAACATGCTTAATAGGCATTTGTCAAGTGGCCTTGCATATTTGCAACATCTTGATCATCTTGTAAACATATCAAAATCAGCACACATTCTTGTTCAGAACAACAGTCCAACTCCGAAACATAATCTATCGGTTCATGATCTCAGATTCCCAAAACAGAATATTGCTCCAGTGATACGGGCAGGGCACCATCTGGTTTTTTTCCGAAGCTTAGTAAAGTACAGTAAACCTGCCTCACTCGCGTATAACTAACACAGAAAATTAACTTTGTTAATGTAATAGCTCCATAAGTTGCCAGTAATTGACCTCCAATTGTCAGGGTATATCACATATGCCTCAGGCTTCTCTCATATTTTTTACGCCATGATTTCATAAAACATCACTTAAACGTGGCTTTGTCACGAAAAAAGCTACTTATTGGGCACGTGCTTGGCACAAAAGTAAACAAACGGGCTCTTGGTTCTTCAAGAGACCATACCTGTTAATAGTTTGTGATTCCACAGCATGTAGTTGGGGGCGTTTTTGTCAGAGCCTGGTCTCGTTACCCCATGGCGTTGCGGTTTCCGTTGCCAGGCCAGTAGATAATGTTTATATATTTCTAAGGGATAAGACTGTTGGGAACACTCTAACCTGCATTAGTCCCAACAGCATCTGCTTTCTAGTCACAGAACCCATGTAAGACAACAAATATACCACTTTAACATAGATCAAATGCTGTTCCAAACTTTAAGCCCACCGCTATACTCCGCGACAGTGCTGATGGTTACAAGGAATCCTCTCCTTATATCCATCATTAGTGCTACTTAAATAAACTGTCGAAGTTGCTGCAAGGAGATTGTGGATGTAATAAGAAATAGGCTGTTATGATAAAGCTTAAGAATGGAATATTGACATTAAGCGAAAAAATAAGTTTTTTCTGATATATGCTGCACATTAATTTCATTGCCATCTTTCAGATAAGATATTTTTTAGTGTCCTTTTG